TACTTTTAACAAATTTTAATTAGACGCTTCAAGCCTTTAGTCGAATGGCTGAGTAGCACCATGTCATCTGTAGAACTCAGGTTTTTGACGCATCTGTCATCTAATCTGAGCCGAAAAGGGGTTCTGCTCAGCTTCACGATTTAATCCTTAAAGTAAATATTAATAAACAGATCTGGAGCAATTAACCCCCATGCCTCATCTTGCACAATAGCCTAAACTTAGCTGTCTTATAAATTCTTGACCCCGCCTGGTGTAAATAATGTTTGTAGTTTATTTTAACAATTTTAACTGAAAAAGCGTGGGGCGCTATTCATTGCAATGTTTATCAAATCAATTAATGTATTACGTGACGCATAATGCTGTAAAAATTTAATAATGAAGCGAATTCAATTATATCTATATGATAAAATAAACTATAAACATGGCTTACTCTAAGGCCCTAATGAAGTAAACAGAGAGTATATTTTGTTTATTTTTGGCTTTTTAGTGCAGTAAATAAAGCGTGTTTTTAATTTTTAAACTATTAATTTATTTTACTCTTTTAAGTTTCAGTCATCGGGAAAAATTAACAGAACATGTTAAGACGAATCTTATGAGCCCAACTCGATATGTTTACTAGTAGGCAGTCCAAGGTTCCATCAGCCACCTTCCAGTCCCATCATCAGACCAGCTCGATGGTACCATAATATTGTATTGTCACCTAAACTACACATAATTGCAAAGTTTTATTATGTTAAGGCGAATATCATGAGCCCAAACTCGATTTGTTTACTAGTAGACAGTCGAGGGTCCACCAGCCACCTTCCAGTCCTATCATCAGACCAGCTCGATGGGACCATAATATTGTTTTGTCAACTAATCTACATATAATTGCACAGTTTTATTATATAAAGACGAATCTCATGTGCCCAAACTCGATTTGTTTACTAGTAGGCAGTCCAAGGTCCATCAGCCACCTTCCAGTCCATCGTCAAGTCCTCGTCATCAGGCGAAATGAATAGAAAATGTTAAGTCGAATCTAATGTGCCCAAACTCTATATGTTTACAAGGAGGCAGTCCAAGGTTCCATCAGCCACCTTCCAGTCCAATCATCAGACCAGCTCGATGGTACCATAATATTGTATTGTCATCTATCTACATATAATTGCCAAGTTTCATGATGATACAAGAATTAGAAGAGCGTGTAATTCAGATTCTTAGATTTCATTATAGTTACATACAAGTGGACCTAATGAAAGCGTGTTAAAAAATAGTTTGCTTCTGATATCAACATTTAAGCATATCAATCGCCTTACTTGGCGTTGTAATTTGTCTAAAAGTAACTCATGATTTCACGTGTCGAATGATCCGCTTATATCCAAGAAACAAGCATTGAACAGTGGTCTTATCCATAGCATATAAAGTTTTAATATTGAACATCACATGCAATAAGAAAAACAAAATAAGTTTAGAAGTTAATTGTGAAAACATATCGAAATGTACGACAATTTCGGAAACTGCCGTTGGCAATGGGCTAACATCTTGAGTCCTGACACTATTGTTAATGTTAACTACTCTTCGTCGGTTTTCATATCATTTGGGTGGGTTTATTATTTATCTATGCTGACGTCAGAACCGCAGGTCATCTTAAATGTTTTTAAGAGAGGTATAGAGGGCTTATTGGATTTTCCGCTCAAATTGGAGCGCCCGTCCACCTTACAGAAGACCACAGTACAATAACATCTTACCATACCTTTTTTTGGTGTTCTGTTTCTGACGGTGAGTAAGGTTTCAGGGTTCCATGGGGTAGGCGATGGGGTCAGGGTAGGCAACGGTGTGAGAGATATTTTTTGTATCGCAAGGGTCTATAGGCTATAGTGGCCGCTTATCATTGGACGGGCCATTAGCTTGTAAAAAAAACGACGGGTTGTACTCCGGGAGTGCCGGCAGAAGTGAAAACTTGAATATTATCGTTATGAATTTTTGATATTTTGGAATGGTTAGGGAATAATTTTGCACGAATTGCTTTAATTATCAGTAAAAAAGTACTATCATTTATGTGGTAGAATACAATATTTATTTATTGCGCTATCGTACACAAACATTATAATTTATAGTATCTACATTAAAAAAGTTTATCTCTCAGAAAAATGGACTTACATGAATCACGTTTAAGCGCACTTAGCGACACTTATTGTAATAAAATTAAATATAATACGAAAAATAAAATATTACTATGTTTCGTCCAATATATTGAAATTTTATTGTTTTATTAACACGAGACAAATAGAAGCAAATGGGAAGCAATTGTTGGCTAGCATTTCAAGTCATTTAAATGCTAAATAAAATGAGTGACCTGCCATTCTTGCGGACTCGTTTCTCCTCCAATTCCGGGTAGAGCTGTCAACTCAAAATGTTGTCCTCATTAATTGATATCAATATTTTCAGAATCATTTTTTTTCTACAATATTTTCTATGAACACGGAGCTCGTCTATTACTGGAGTGAATGTGATTATAAATTAGCGCCAATCGTTGCCGGAGAGCGAAAAGTCACCAAATACACACATCAAAAGTGTCTAGGGATCAACATATATTTTTGCAATAACTTTTCTCCTGATTGATATTAATTAAAATTTTCTTTAAGGATTCATCAAATAAAGTGTTTTCGTTTGTCACAGTAACGATAAACCAAGTCACCTTTGCATTAATAAAGAAATTTGCCATTTTCCTAATAAAGGGATTTTTGACATTTGAACCACTAACACAAAAGTTCGAAAAAAAGACTGAAATAACAGTTTTCTCTAAAATTTTATTGGGTAACTTAAACAATTAATAATCCGTATTTCTACCGCGAACACTAACAACACAAGAACATCGGTTTGGCATACTCAAAATGAGTTCATCCAAATCACGCTGTGGAATGGCCGCCCATGTTCGTTGCAACAACAAAAAAAGGTCTTCTTGCGACTGGATACCCTCCATATTCGGCAGAGCTCTTCTCTGTAGCATATCCCATGCATGCTCAATCGGGTTCAAGTCTGGCGACTGAGCAGGCCAGGGGGCCAATCGCCTAACTGGATTGCTTTGGAAAACGCTATCGCTTACGATTTCATTTTGTTATTTCTAGCCGCCTGAGGTTTTCAAATGCCTCGCGCTCTTTTTTTTTCTTTTGCATTGGTAATAACAATGTTAAAGAAATTGTAAGAAATGGTATTTGAAAACCTTCGGCGGTTAGAAATAACAAAATGAAATCGTAAGCGATAGCGTTTTCCAAAGCAATCTGGTTAGGCGATTGGCCCACAGGGCAGGACATTGATGTTAGCTGCGGCGAGAGTCTGTCTTACAACTCTTGCGGTGTGCGGTCGTGCATTATCATGCATTAACTGAAATAAGGGACCGATTTGCACTTGTAGAGGAACGATGACGTCTGATACAATCGTCTCAGCATAAATTTGAGCGTTGAGGTTGCCTCTGATCCAAATCAACTCAGTTCTTCCGCCGATCCAAATACCCGCCCATACCATGATGGTTCCACCACTATAAGGATGGACTTCCTGGCAGGATTTTAATCGCTGTTGGCGTCCAGGGGTTCTTCAGTGTCGTATACGTCTTGTATCCGGTCTCATACCAAAACGAGACTCATCAGAAAAGCACACGAAACGCCATTGTTCTTCTGCCCAATTTCTGTGTTCAAGAGCCCATTGATATCGAATCCTACGATTGTGCATTGCTATAGGTGGTACCCGTAGCGGTCTTCGGGAATGAAGGTTCACTTCATGCAAGCGGTTTCTGACTGTTTGGTCGCTAATTAAGTTCCCTGAAGAGTGATGAAGCCTCACGGCTAACATCATGGCGGTTATTGTTGGAGCTCTTCGAGTTAAGATTTGAATGTATCGGTCTTGTCTCCGTGTGGTGCAGCGATACCGTCCTCCATGGCGCTCAGCCACGGTATCAGTGCTTCGGTATCGTGTCCAAAGTCGACTGATAACACTCTGACTTGTATTCAGAGCTAAAGCCACAGTACGTTGCCGGGAACCAGCTTCTATCATTCCCACGGCTCTGAGCATTTCTTCCCTGCTTAAATGACGTCGCCGCTCCATAATAACGTTGGTTTTAATCAGTAGTAGGGAAACAGTAGCACTAATAATGTCTTCAATACGTTGTATGTTTTTATAGGGAAAATATTGACAGCTGATTTTCATCTTTTACTCGAATTTGATTCACAGTTCCTGATTCAAATTATGAAATGCACCAAAAAGGATCCATATAAATTTATAAAATCATAAATTTATTACAAAGCCACATCTCAATCTCAAGAAATCCGCATAAAAATGCTTGATCCCTAGACACTTTTGATGTGTGTAGGTCAAAACTTGTTTTAAGTTATAGAGGTTAAAGGTTAAGTTAAAATTAAGTTTTATAACTCTTTTTTGGTATAGGATCATCCTAATTTTATGGTTTTATAACTTATAAAATTTAGATAATAAAGTTTTTAATAATTAGGTACACAAAAATGAAAAAAAAAACTAAATTTAACATTAAAAAATTAACCAATTAATTAATTTCATCTTATTTTTCCACCTATAATCAAGTACCAACATTTTTTGGTTAGCTGTGTACAAATAGAGTTAGTCTGACTTCTTATCAGTGTCTGGGTGACATTTAAAAAGAATAACCAGTCATTCTAAAACTAATCAAGTCATTTTTGTTGATTTTGCCAAGAATTACATAAGTACGAGTATGTTCTAGTTATGTTTTTTTTGTAAAGAGGAAACTAACTTATCCAACTTAGATAATTAAGCTGTAGTCCAAAAGTACAGTTAGTGTTTTTTTTGCACTATCTAAAATCAAAACTGTTCTTGTATACAATACATGACTGTAAAGTTGAAATAAATAGAAAAATGTGTGATTTTGATGATATACATAATATCCTCAAAATCACTTTTTGCCAAATGTCGATCTGGTAACTTTTCGCTCTACTGCGACACAATATTTTATCAAAATAATGTTTATTACGCAGGACGAGAAGGACCACAGAGAAACAAAGTCACCGACGCCGGTCGTTGGTATCAAATTAGGATGGATTCAAGTAAGTTTTTTCTATAAATATTAAGTAACTATTTTATAAATCAATGAAAACTGCTGTCTACTTAATCGCGACTTAGATAGTTAAGTTGTACGAAATAAACATACTGAAATATACATTAACATTGAACTATTTCAATTTAGTTTTCTTTGATATTTATTTTTTGAATTGCTATCGATTGACATAATTTTGCCACATAAAACCGAAATTTAAAGTCCAAACCTTTCTCTTTTTACTTAAAAGTAAGAGTACTTAGAAACATAAAGCCTTTGATGAAAGAGTGCAAAGTTCATGACTGATTGGAATTATTTGTAGTAACATTTTCTATAGCTAAATAAATCTCGCAGTTACATAAAACAATAAAATAAAACCTTATTTGTAGGGAGTGCTAATACCATGCCTTCTCAACATTTGGGGGGTGATGCTGTTCTTGCGAATCTCCTGGGTGGTCGCCCAGGCGGGCATCGGCATGTCCCTGGTCATCATCGCGATATCGGCGGTGGTCTGTATAATCACCACGCTTTCTATGAGCGCCATCTGCACTAACGGCGAGGTGAAAGGAGGTATGCATTAGGATAGATGACATTTTTAAATCATGTTATGTTATGTACAAAATATGAATGTTGCACCCAATGTGGGTTCTGCCGAATATTCGGTTTAAATATGTGTTAAATTTCGCGTACAAAAAAAATTCTAAAAATAATAGAAAACATGAAATATCATTTTGTTACAACAAAAAAAAAACTAAGTGAACATCGTTTAGTACCGCATCATTATCTAAAATAAGTTGCAAGGAAAAAGGAATGTTACTTTAACTAGTGCTTATTACAACTGTAATTTTTTTAAAGCATATTTTTGATACATTAATGTATCGAACATATTATATTTTATACTAAGTTAAGCTAAGTTTTTCTCGTCTAGGGTAATAAAAACTTTTCTTTTCACTTTTCTATTTCTTATTTTTATCCACTTACGCTCCCGAATTTTGACCGTTATTCGGGAGATCTAGCCGAAATTTGACCGAAGACGAAGTTTGATAAAAGCTACCGAACTTCGGTAATACCGAATGTGTAACGAATTTCGGTCCATCTCTTAAAATATATAAAAGGATACCGTTACTCACTTAAGCAACAAGCTGATGTTGATAGTAATACAAATTAGTATTCATCGAATTTTTATAGCGGAAAATTCTGTTTTAAATTTGTAGTAGGGTGGATGTCCCGGTCTCAAACCAATTAAATGAAATTATTAACTTTAAAATGTTGCTATATAGCCTAACAGCGATATTTATTGCTAGTTTATTTTTTATATTGTAAGTTATCTAGTTATAAGTTGTATTTGGGAAGGAAAATATTTGATTTCTTTTTGTTTATTTTATTATTCAAGATAATCGGTATAAAACTGGGATGTACCCTAATTTGACCAGCTGGCCCACGTTGTTATCAAGATTTGTACCAGAGGTTGACCATTTATAAAAAAGTGAAATAATAACTACATTCACAATTAAAAGCAGACGTATTTTATAATCAACTTTATGGTTTGCTCTTAGGACTAATTGAGATCAATAAGTAAATTAAATTAAGGTTAGTCTCAACAATCACAATAGTAAATCTTAAATCTAAATGGCACATTTTCAAATCACCATAAAATAACGAATCATAACTTCACTTAAACTTTGAACTTTTTAAACAATCTAAAGTTTTGGTTAAGTAATTCTTCGTTAATATCAAAATTAAATATTTTTTTTAATTGTTAAAAAAATATTTATGTTTCATAATTAAATTCACGTAATGATCCAAAATTAAAAACTGCAAAATTAAAAAAGGAATCAGATCCAAAAAAGATACTTGGTTATTTCTGGTACTTTATATGAACCTCTATTATTAATTGACACAGGAGCATTAATTTTCTCCACTATGCTGTCATTAGCATACCAAATTTTATCTTCTTTATCTGGCCATTTAAAAGTATTAGAAGTTGATATCACCATCGTACTAACTTCTTTACACTTTTGGTCAATATTTTTGACAATCCTGGGAAAATACTCCTCTCGTAGTTTACTATAACATATGATCCTATTTCCTCGTCTGATCTATCTTTATTACTGTAATTAAATTGATCAAAGGTAAATTATCCTCATCGGAATCAGAATCAATTCTATTCTGATCTCTCTTTTTTACTCGTTTTGTTTTAGGTTTCTAAACATTTTTCAACTCTTGTAACTTCTTTTTTTCTTCTCTTGCTAATTTCCTATTTTCTTTTCTTCTTGTTCCTTACTTTTTTTCATTCCAGTATTGCATCCACTCTACTGATGTAACTGCATCTGGCAATCGCTTTCTATTGAACCGTTTATTACCACCTTTTTTTAGTGGTGATTCTGCAGGCATTGTGCATTCTTTTTAGAATTAAAGTCCCGTTTATTATGTATATTTGCTGTTGATTGAGGATCTGACAAGTTGCAAGCATTATTATTAATTTTAATTTCTTTTTTGGTGCCATATTGTATCTAAAACAAGAAAACAAAACTCATATTAAGAGTTTGGTCAATTATAGGATTTGTATGCAGTACCAATGTCAAACCACTGGTCAACAAATGGAAACGTAAGCAATTTACTCCTTTAAAATTGATAGTCGAGTTACAACTCATATTCTGGACATGAAACTGTTTAAAAAAGTTAAAAAAAGAGTACCACTTCAGTGTACTAATCGTTGACCAATTGGTCAATCACAGGAGCACCCAATCAAATCATGTACCTTTTGTTAACCAGTAAAATAACTCATGAAATATATCGTTTGCATTTGAAATTCATTGAAAATCTTTATAATAAACATAAAATGATTACAAAAAACAATCATCCGAACAAGTTCATTAAAAAACAATACAAAATAAATTAAAAGTGTTCTTACCTTTCTAAACATTATCCTTACTACAATGGCGGCTGAATGGCAACTGTCAGTGACAAGTCAAAACAAAATTAAATTGTAGCTTTCACTGGTTGTCTCTTTCTAGTCGTAATGTGATTGGTTGATTTGTATTAGTACCAACAAGATGTAGCCAAAATGAAATGAAACGCTTAATCGCGGGAAAGCTTAATATTAACACTCAAAGCCGCAAGTGGTCAACAACCGGTGCGTGGTCAACTATAGGGTCAACCATCCTACATAGTAACGCAAGTTTGTTTGTTTGGTAGTCTGGAACTACTGAACCCATTTAGAAAATTATTTCAAAAGCAGAAACCTACATTATTTCTGAATGACATATGCTTATTTCATTGCCCTAAAATAAAATTCATCCGTGCAAAGCCAGAAAGGATTGTTTACTGCATAAATACAATGCAAAACACGAAATTCTGGAGGTCTTTCTAAAGCTTCTTTCGAATTAAGCAAATATTTTGTGTGGTATTTTCAAACACAAGAGCTAGGATTTAGGAAAGCTTTCTCTTGCAGGTGGTATTTACTACATAATATCCAGGTCTTTGGGGCCGGAGTTCGGCGCATCAGTGGGAATTATATTCGCGTTTGCCAACGCCGTGGCAGCCAGTATGAACACTATTGGGTTCTGTGACTCTATGAACGAACTGCTGAAGACCAATGGGCTCATTATCATAGACAACGACGTGAACGACGTGCGGATCATTGGCACAGTGGCTCTGGTAGTCATGTGCGTCATCTGTGCGATCGGCATGGAGTGGGAGAGCAAAGCACAAGTCAGTATTCAACCTCATAAAACAACCTAATCACACTAATATTATAAAGGTGAAAGTTTGTGAGTGTGTGTATGTTTGTTACTTCTTCACGTCTAAACGGCTGGAGCGGATTTTAATAAAATTTGGTATGGAGTTAGCTGACACCCTGGATTAACACATAGGCTACGTTTTACTGCGGGAAAATATCCCTGATAAACCGCGGGTAACACCACGGGGCACAGCTAGTATCTTATAAATATACCTGTACCTATATATATATAGCGGGTTACAGAGCAGGCGTCCGCTCCGCATGCAGTTTTTATTTGATTTCATAGAGACCCGCTGCGCGTGAGACTCGCCTCACGCAGCGCTGCTCTATAAAATATCATGAAACACACATGCGGAGCGGACGCACGCTCTGTGCTCCCGCTTAAGCAAGCGCAGGCTCTTATAGTTCTTTTTAATCAAAATATTTTACACTTATCGGTATAATTATCTATACACAAGATCGAATAAAAAACAAGTTTCTGCTTTTTACTAACGGACAATTTTTTTTACTAACTTTAGAAATGGTAACTTTTTAACATTATTTTGCGTGTGCAATTATTTATCATCGCCAACCTATTAATGTACTGAATAGGTAAAGTGTAATTATCAACCACGCGGGCTTAAAACGAATAAGGGTGTGCTTATAAATGCACCGGAAGAGTTGAATATTAAATAAATAAATATTTGCAACACTCACCAATTATTAGCCTAGCCCCAAATTAAGCAATGTTGGACTTGTGTTATGGGATAATTGGGTAGCGGATAGAATACATATACGGTACATATGTAAATATATTTATATAGAAATACATATTAAACATTCATGACTGCTCAACAACAAATGCTCGTATTTATCACACTAACATCTGCCCCCACCGGGATTCGAACCCGGACCTCTCGAGTAGGCGACACCATGAAACCTGGCGTAAAAACCACTCGACCACGGAGGTGGAGTTAAGGATAATTTTTTGGTCACGTATGTATGACCCATTATTGTCAGTACGAACGCGCACTAGTTACTGCACTGTGCACTATCTAGTTCCTGCACAATATTCTATATACTAAGATACTGCGTCCCTGACGAGTCTCCAGAATATAGTATATGAGAAGTGTTGTAGAGATTTTAATGTGAATGAAGTAGCGTAGCCAGCATAACCATAAAAGGACGAATATAGGTAAAACTCTGCTTCGTTATCTGTTGGTACGTTCACCTCTTATAATACTATTTTATTAATTTTGTGGAGTTTCTTTGGCCAGTTTTTCTTTCTTTTCCACAACTAAAAGAAGTTCTGAACTGGTGGCATTGTAGGACAAAATGGTGGCCTAGTCAAAAAGATATGAATTTATTTAAGATAACTATACTTTTTTGACAATTATATAATAACTGCAACATCCGAGTCACACACAAAGACAAGGGGGGAAAAACGAACAACAACAAAATCGCACGTCACAAAAATAGGATATTAAGTCGGCAAAACCATTTATTTTTTAATTTGCGTTTCGAAAACTACATTTTTTTCTCTATAAACTGGTAAGATAATTGTATTTTAATTCGAAATAGTTTTTGAATTATAGCAGCACATGTCGTCAATTTCTAGGCAAAATGTATGATTGTGAGTTTTCTAAACAGTATTATGTCAATACCTTATTTCCCGTCCGGATTAATAGAAGTTTGAAGTTTTATTTCAAATAATACCCTCTGGCCTGTTCAATTTTATTTAATATGTTATTTTCAGCGAAATTATTTTAAAATGACACTAGTTGTAATTTTAATTACTCATCATGTATTATAGAGTTTTCTTTGTTTATATTAATAAAATACTTGTATTGTAAAAATAACGAACAAGAAAAGCTAAGATAAAACCATTAAGTTTGTTGTTGATAACTGAAAGCAGCTATACTAAACCTACCCGTTTGTTTATTGGACAATCTATAAAATATTGTCCTATCGTTTTAGAGAAATTAGAAAAAAAATACTTATTGAAACTGTGATAGCTTGCATCATCAACTCGTAACAAAAACATTTTTTAAACCTCAATACTCAAATTCACTACTCGTCACAATATATATATAATATATATAAATTTATATATATAATCCATACAATTCATACAATTTCACAGTCTACTTAACACTTTACTACAATAGACTCATAAACCACCTCGTGTAAAATGAATACTTAAATGGCACCCAGCCGGTAAATTTGTGACATTGTAAGTTTTTCGTCACGGCATGTACATTTGCATATTACTCTCGCACATGACACGAGTAACTAGTGATTACATGTTAAATCAAAATATTTTATTAAGATTGGATATATTAAATCAACTGTATATTAGATAAACTATGAACAGTTCAGATTTTCTACAATCAGTTCAGAATTTCTTTAAGCTGTGGGGAAGTAAAGGTGAAAGAAAAACTACAACACTTAAAAAATGTAGCTAAGTAGGTTTTTTTTTAATTCAGTGTCCTGCAGAACAGATCAGTTTAGTTTTAATCTAAGTATGTAGCCTCAACGATATCAAAAGCATTTTTAATATGTAAGGATGGGTAGCCTTAACAAATTCTTATAAATTGTATTCTATGAAGGAAATGATATGCATAACCTCGATATATACCAATTGACCAACTTCGTTTGATCACAGGAACTGCGCTGATCAGTATGTTTTATTTCGAGACATGTTACTTATATCCAAATAGTTAATGCGTTCATAACAAATATGAACATATCGTTGCTAGAAATAGTATCCCGCATTCATATAGTAAACAATTCAGAAAATTTATTTGATTTTGAACCGATTACGTTCTACTTACGAGTATACCTATAGCCTTTTGTATAGTATGACTATCCTGAGATAAACCCTGATAGTATCTTTACGACAGACAATTGCTAACATGTTTTATGACTTATTTTACTATTATTATAACATAATGACATCCGGCTTGTTATACGTGTAACAATCAAAATTATGATGGCCTTTTTAAACATCACCTGTATATTGCTTTATATCTATCATTCATTCTTCTTGCAAGCTTATCTGCCATGTTATTAGTTAACAAAGGCTGTGTAAGTGGATGATTTCTGCCAGAGGTTGAGAAAATTATTTTCATATTTCTTATATTGCGTTTTATCATATTTACGAGTAGTAATGGTTTTATTTTACACATCTAATATATAGATAAGTTAGTAGAGAAACTATTCAGGATTGATTTAAGACATAAGTGAAGCCTGGATGCACAGTAGAACTCGAATAATAAGAGGAAAATTGCCCGGAAAACTTTTTGATTTTCCGGCAGTGAAAAGCTGAGTAGATGGCTGCACAGCTGAGGGGATAAAGGACTTATCAAACAAGGTTTAATTTTTCATTAAAACAGACTATTTATTCCTTTGGTATGTTATTGTAAGTATGTATGAAGCGCGTTTTTATTATTTTCGTAATCACAATATTACTAATTACCTAATATAGGTTATTTATAAGTAGGTTAAGGAAATTTGTATTTAAATATTATTGATTTTCTGTACATATATTAAACTTAATAAACCTAATATAGGTATTTTACAGCTGTATTCAGAAAAGTCAAATTATTTTAACGCTCCATTATGTCACGTGTTTTCTCATTCTATAGTTATCGCAAAGAAGAAGTTAAAGCACCAACTTAATAAAATCGTCTACTCTAATAAGCGTAAGATATTTTTATTCCATTAAGAAACACTTTTTTATTAAGTAGATATTTTTTTAACAATTCCATAAGCAAAACAAGATTAATATATACATTAAGGATTGCGTGCTCGTAATAACTGTTGCTCTATTATCACTTACGGCTCCATTCATATATGTAGTAAACTTGTTATGGAATCGGGGCAGGTCTGACGCCCCCGCCCGCCTTGCCCTAATGACAGGGCAGCGGCCGTTTCATGCACGCGGTGAAAACAAACCTTCGATCCCTACAAACATAGCATTAACTCACTATAGTAAGGTATATATGTGGTTGCGTATTGACCTGTTGAATCCAGTTCCGGTTATCGTTGCAAAATAGTTGAAAATATAAGTATAATGAAATTGATATTTTAAGATACATGTTTATAACTTAAATCCGCTTTCTTTATGTAGCTACTTAAGTAGTATTCTCGCAGCACAAATTTGCATAATGCCTTTCTTCATTTCATCAAAATCGGATCGGTTTTGCCACGAAAGTGTTACAGACAGTTGACGTTTGGCTTCACCCTTAAATAAAAGATCGTTACTCTGCTAACTACAAATTTAAGTAGAAGTCCATGACCTTAAAACATGAGGGATGAACAATATTTGGATCAGATAGCTTAATTACGGTGTATGCAATCCATTTATTAATTTGATTATGGCCCAACACTTATGGAAAAGTCGTATGATAGTCATTACTAATTGCCGGTTTTCAATGAAACTGAGTATTTTAATGGTTAAATACTTAACTTGAAACATAAAATGGCTTTAATTAATTATTACATTCAATTACTTAAGCCGGAAATATATTTATCTGCCGTGTTGTGTCGTGTCCGTGACGCGTCGTTTTCATAGATTTCGTACTTTTAGAATTACATATATTTGTCTACCAAAGCCCGAACCTCCCTATTCCATCCAATATAAGTATAATCAAATGAAAATAGGGAAGGCCTGTGGTCCAGCAGTGTGGAAATTAATAGGCTGATGATGATGTGTCGGCACCGTACTTAGCCTAACCATACTAAATGTGATGACCGATAGTTACTGACGCGTCACGAGTCACGACACAACACAACCGACAGATAAATATATTTCAGGCTTTATTTTTTTGAGTTACTTTCCGTATTTTTAGGTTGATAAGTGACGTTTTTTGTTTACGTTCAAAGGTGCTTACAAATGTCGTCATCATCTAACATATTTATAGGCAACGGTTACAGACTGGCCGATCTGTCAACTCACAGTTCAAGATTACACTGAAATTTTGTACACAGATAGTTACTGTGTAATAATTGATATTGAATAAAGATTTATATTTCTTATGATACACTGTCCACAACTTGACCATTAAAGTGTCTGTGGGAGACTGGGGTCTAAACTAGGCAGTAGTCTGCCTGTATTTAGAAAATAAGGTCTCCTTCCTGCCATACAATTCAACATTCCAGAAAACCCTAATACATGTACATATTTATTTAAGGTAGAGATAATGGCAAGAAATATTTACTTATTGTGAATTATGCGCATTTTTCCTTAGTATTCACTGTATTATTATTTTATTTTGACGCTCTCCGTGGCCGAGTGGTTTGTACGCCGGGTTTCATGGTGTCGCCGCTCGAGAGGTCCCGGGTTCGAATCCCGGTGGGGGCAGATGTTTGTGTGATGAATACGAGCATTTGTACTCCAGTCATGGATGTTCTATATATGTGCAGTATATGTATTCTGTCCGTTACCCTAGTATCCCATAAAACAAGCCTTTCAGTGCTTACTTTGGGGCTAGGCTAATTGGTGTGAGTATTGGAAATATTTATATATTATTGTAATTTTTATAGAACTTCTTGATCGCCATCATCGTGGGAGCCATGTTCAATTTCATCGTGGGCACTATCATGGGACCCAAAGACGTCAAAGAGATTGCGGAGGGATTCGTTGGATTTAGTAGTAAGTTAATTTAATAACCTTCCTTTTTATTAAACTTCTATGGAAATTTTTGATGTAGTCTCCTTGACCACAGATAAGTAATAGATCTGTGGCTATTTACCTTTATTTACAAATTGAATAAAAACAAAATATGCTAAAAAGATTTTTTATAAGTATATAAAGTTATTTTTATAGGTTTTAGTAGGTACAGTCGCCGCCACGTTTTGATAAATATTTTCATATTATTAGCCAAGTATATTTTATTTAAGCAGTAAACTGATTATTTTTCTTTCTACGTACAGGATAATAAATTTAAGTTTTTACTAAAAAAACAACTAGGTCAGGGTATCAAGTTGCAGGTAGTTCATTGTCGTCAGTAAAATTGTTCATACTTACCCATTTCTAACCTACCGAATCTGTCTTTGTGTTAGGATGCGAACAGCTAAATTCTAGGCTCAATCAAAAATCTGTGGCTTTATCAGCCACATACATATAAACAAAGATTAAACAAAGTCTATAATCTCAGCAATGAGTTGATTATAACAGGATTGCGGCAATAATTAAATAAGGATTAACTTATTTCCTTCAGCGGCGACATTTGCGGAGAACTTCAAGCCTGACTTCCGGTTTAGTGAACGCGTGCACCAAGACTTTTTTAGCGTGTTCGCTATATTCTTCCCTTCGGTGACCGGCATCCAAGCTGGAGCCAATATCTCTGGCGACCTCAAGGTAAATTATACTCACTTTAAAGGAAAACACCTATCCTTTTCCACAATTTATGAAGAATATCTCAAACGAAATGAAAAACACGTTTCGATTAATAGTGTTAAAAAAAAGGACATGTATCCTTCCTAACTAATATTATAATTGCGAAAGTAAATTTGCTTGTTTGTAACGCTTTCACGCAAAAACTACTAAACGAATTTGGATTGTGGGATTCTCAAAAAAGTAAATAAGTAAGAATAAAAGTATGTAAGGTAAGTAAATATCCATCACCTTAAAAATATACTGGACGACGCACCGCCCTTAGTTTTTACTTATATAAATATTTTTTTATATCGTCTTATGCCAAGTTTAACTAATGTACCTAAAGGCATCTAACTGGGAACAAAGTATATACCTATTTTATAAGTTGTGCGGTTTTTGTCAGACGATGCGATGGTGTGTTGATGTTGTAGTGTAGTGTGTAGCTAAACTGTCAAGTGATGGCTTCAGTGACGTCAAGATGGTTTCATTAGCAGTCGGCCGTGGGTGCGGGCGACCCACGTCCGTCTAGTGCTTTCAGACATATCAACTCGGAAAGGGATCGTCGCAGTATCAACTCAAGCCGTTCAGTAAGTATTTATTGTATGGAACTCCCTTCTGCAACGCACACTTATCGCAATCGTAACGTATGTAAGTCTCGCCTAGGGACAAACTCGTGTTACTTAGTTACGATTCCAAAAAGTGCTCCTATATACAAACTGTCACCTGAAAAACGATTTAGAAAATAAATAAAAAAATAGGAAATTTAATGATTAACTCATGTACCGCAGAGAGTAAATATTAAATAACTAGCTTTTACCCGTTACTTCGTGAATTGTATAAAGTAATTGCCTCACGGAGAAACACGAGCTTGTCCCGAGGCGAGGCGATTACGTTACTATTCCGAATTGTGTGCAGTCCCTACTGCAACGCACACTATTTCATACAAAGAATACGGAACGGCTCGAGTTGATACGATGACGATACCGAGTTGATGTCTGCTACGACCTTTCTACGTATTTACGGAAACAGTTTTTCTACGATCGTCTTTTGTCGTGGCACGTTCTTTGATAGAGTCAATTATCGACAAAAAACTATTCTCTGCTTTTTAAACTTGTACACCTTTTTTGTGATTAATTAACACATACAAAGGTTTTCATTATTATTATAAAGACGTAACGCAATGCTACGTTTACGAATTACGTTCTTAAAAAGCTAGCTCCATACTGCTAACTAATAAATTTATAAATGCCTATAAAAACATATAAATCCCGAAGTAATAAAATAAAAACGAAAATAATTTAATAAGGGAGATGATTGAAATATGAGATACTTACTTAATAACTCTATGGCGGCACTTTACAGGCCATTTCTGGGCAATCTAAATTAGCAATTATATTTTATAGAATAATTTTATCCGACATTTTAATCACAATTTAATAGTATGGCGGCTTGTGATTTTTTTTGTATCCATCCAAAGATATTAGTTACCGTGGCGTGGCCTCGTAATCGATCCCTGGCCCTACCACGTGCCCGTGCTGTGACAACGAGAACGGTGGGTACATACTGTGGGTACATACAACGTGCATACCTATAGAATGAACCATCGCAAACTATGACGTCAGCACCCATCGCAGGTAACCCCAAAACGAATCTACACGCGTAATTTTGCGGTAAAACGGAAGCTCATTTAATTACATCATTATATGGACTAAGTACAATATTGGTGAGCGATGAAACATCACCTGACGTCACGGGAAAATGAAACCAGTATGACTTTATTATGAATTAATATCGTTTCTAACTGCCCCAATATGACTTTATCATGAATCAATATCGTTGCTAACTGCCCCAGTATGACTTTATCATGAATCATAACATTATTGGTGAAGAGTGTTGTATCGTATCAAACATTATTGGTGAAGAGTGTTGAGTTTAGTAATTTCATTTGTTCTTCGATATTGCTGAATTTGATAAAATCCAATCAACGTTAATGTAAAAAAGGTAAATTTAAAAAATCAAAAAACCCGACTGCTTAATTATACTTCAAATAAAAACTGAAAAGAAAAAAACAAGTCCAGTAGTCTTTAATTCTGTTAATAAGGAACAAAGCTACTTTAACAGTCGGGACCCATTAGATATTCAAGAATACATAATATTTTTCAATAATGGGTCCCGACTGTTAAAGTAGCTTTGTTCCTTATTAACAGAATTATAGATATATCTACATAATTCACAGAAACCCAATATGTAGATGCCAGAAGTTAACTTCAAATGTTGTTAATCACCCTATATACAATACCAATCAATGACGTTTAAGTCGCAGGTTGAAGAAAGCAGTAATTCCCTTCTGTTGTTTTGGACAATGGTGGCAGTAGATCACTAAATTAAATAATTATGCAATCACCAAAGCAAAGTTAATAATATTTGATTAAACTAAAGGCGCATAATAAAATTTTCATAACGTTAGGTAGAGCACCATAGCAATCTCATTTATTATCAATTTATAGTTCTCTTTGTAGTTTTCTTTTAAAGCGTTCACATATAACAGGTCAAAGACTTTTTGATCAACCCTTTTTTATTGGTAGTGTAAAGCTCGAATGAAGAGTACTTTCACCTATCAAGCGTGCTGCTACCAGCCTAGTAGGTATTGCAAATAGTGCAATCACGGCAATTATTTGCCAAATTTTTTTTTGTATAAAAATACCGAATAACATATCACTGTTAAGCACAAATGCTAAGTAACTTTTACAAATATAATCAAATAAACCTATTACTTACTTTATTTTTAAATCTTTTTCATCAATTAAATACTATTATCCTAACTATCTACTATATTATAAAGAGGCAAGATTTTTATGTTTGTAACAAATAATTTGTCAAACTACTGAACCGGTTTCAAATACATATTAATTCATCATAAGGTAGCTACATTATTTATTATTACATTTTTCTTTATTTAAATACATCTTGTCCGAGTGACATAGGCTATATTTTATCCCGATAAAATAAATGTACAATGCCGTACAATAATTATAAATACGTATTATGATAATTTATTTTTCATCATTTAAGAAGAAGGAACTGTATCACAGTTTTATTGTCAGTACTTCGTATAGGATCAGATACTGCGAATAGCCCACTTTTTTCTTTTTCGCCTAGGTTTTATCCTCGTTTAAAAACACCTAAATTAAATTTCTTCTCTTAGTATTCCCGCAGTCTACTCCTACATAGTACACCGCGCTATCACTTTGTCATCATTGTAACTTTTTAAATATTTGTCGAAATGACATAGTGTAAAAGGCAAAGTTTATCGTCTTTAAATATCAAAAGCGATAATAGTTATTTATTATACAAGAGTGGAAAGTTCCTTTTTAACCGCGTGCTCGATTTGGATGACCGAGCAAGCGAAGGATTCTAAAGTTGAATCACGAGCGCAGCGAGTGATTCTAAATTAGAATCCTGAGCGTCAGCGAGGGAAACAAACGAGCACAAGGTGAAAAATCTTTCCACTCGAGTGCAATACGTAACTTTTCATCCCACCTCAGCGAGGAAATGACAAAATGAAAAAGAAAACAATTTATAATGACAAAATATTTTTATTTCAATTAAAACACATTAAGATAATCTATAAATTGAAGAAAATAATAAGAAGTAGAAAATAATTAAGAAATATTAAATGTAACGTTGCTACAGTTACTTATGTTAAGTTTAATATTTTTGTTAGGTAATGTTATGTTGGTGTTTGTGAATTGTGCGCTGTTTTGTGGTAAACTACTCGTATCAGTAATTTTAAATAGTTGTGCCGATTCATTGGATTCTATTGGCGTAAATGTTGGCGAGAGAGGGCTATTGTTTCCAATCTTATGGGGGCTCATTTTAGATGTAGAAGGGCGAGACCAAGAATCTGACAGAGGTTCTTTCAGCGTTATGGCCTCCACGATACTATTACAAATTTTTGATTTACTTTGGATTGAATCCTCTATGTATCCCTCTACAACCGAATTAGACTTCCAGCCTCCATGGCGCTTAAGCGATAGAAGATCAGCCCCTGATTCGGCCAAAAGTGTGGCTGAGGTTCTTCTAAAACAGTGACCGGTGTATAACGGGGGTTCTAAAAGTCCGAGAAAAGTTGCTATTTCTCGTGGAATACTGCCAATTTTATTCTGACCCATAGGTTGTCGGATACACTTTCCGTTGCGATATTGTAGAAAAAATCGTTCAATTGGGGTGTTAGAAGGACGTAAAGCTTGATATTTCTGAACAATGTTTACATATTCCTTGCGAATAACGAAGTTGCGGTCTTTTTTTGTCTTGGTATTTAGTACATTAATTAATAGCAATTCATCAGAATTATGAGAATATTTTGATACGTTATTGACATTAAGTAGTGTAAGTTCATTTGTTCGACATGCTCCGGTTATACCAATAATAAGAACAACCTGTAACAAAAGAAGTATTTATAATCGTAAATAAATTAATCAAATTAAAAATATTGTAAGTACTATGTACAATTTTATCAACAACAAAAAATTACACGTATTGACTTACTTTTGCCGCTAAATATACGGAATCAGGTGCTTCATTAATAAACTTTGCAATTTCAGATGCTGTGAAAACCTTCGATTTTTTTGGTTTATAACCAGATGAGGCTCTTTTTAAAAATGCCACTAATTTATGATAGGTGTCGATATGAACGTCTTTCTTCATCTTAATTGTTAATTTTAGCATTGAATACGTACTCCATAGCGTGCTTGCTTTCTTGGTCTCAGATAATTCTATAAAATATGCCAGCAAAACGTTTTCGGAGAAAGTTTTTGCTCCTTTAGCTAGTCGCCATATGTTAAATATATCGTACTGTTTCAAATACTTCTCTCGTGATTGCTGAGGGAGAAGGCTCATTTGCGCATTATTAACTGTTTCAGTTAACTCAGTTGGCGTTAGATAAACTTCATCGTCGCTAATGTCACTCATTTTAGTTGACTTTTTTGGACAGTTTTTAGGTTATGTTAATTATATTAAGCAATAAAACGTGAAAAACTAGAATGGCGCGAAGCACGCAAATAAAACAAAGAAACCAAGAAGGTTCCAAATTTAAATTTTTTCACAATTTAAAAAGTTCTAATCATAAATTTGGCACCATAGAGGTTACATTAAATAGGTTTAATGACGTTTTGAATTTACAATTATATTGAGTACTCATTATATGTGATGTTCTAAATTCAAATCTACTTTGCCGCTCAAGCGAATAAAATAGAATTTTCCAGCCAGATTTCGAAGCGCAAAATTACACTTTCCGAGGTGGTGGGATGAAAAAGTATTTGTTTTGATAAAAAATAATTTGTTAATACAAAATGTGCATTTTGGAAATAGATATCAAATAATATTTTAGTTTTGATTCACTATTTTAGTGGTAATGGCTTACACATTAAAAATAGATATATGGTGTCACGGACTTCTTTTTAGAACTATTTAAGAGATACATTTTCACTCTACATTACATTTATGTAACTTTTATTGTTTTTGCAGTGCAGGCCAAAATGGCTCGCAGATGGGAGTTTTTTTCCGTCTTATGTGACACTTAAAGCGTTGTAGATCCTAAACAATCATATAAAATGAAAAATGGTGTTAGGAACCTAAACATGATTTTCGATTATCTAGACAGTGATACCCCACTCGACATATTTTGTCAACTTATTTCTTTTACTTCGTCACAATATGGCGCCTAATTTTGCCCATCTTGAATTTTGATTACTATCATATCTTTAGTAGCACTCCCATGATTGAAATGAATCGATTGATGTATGAATCATCAAAATCGGTCCAGGCGTTTGGTCTCTAGTGTGCCACAAAGGAACAAACATACATATATAGACTGTTGAACACTATACCCTGTCTGCGCGTCGCGCTTTGCGCTCTTGCATTGCGCAGTCGGGTAAAATCCATTTAATATTTTTTAGGTGAAAGAGTAACAAAGGTCCATACAAACGAAAGATTAGAATTAAAAGCGCAAGTGGTAAATATACATCTTTAAAGCGTTGTAGATCCTAAACAATCATATAAAATGAAAAATGGTGTTAGGAACCTAAATATGATTTTCGATTATCTAGACAGTGATACCCCACTCGACATATTTTGTCAACTTGTTTTTTTTACTTCGTCACAATATGGCGCCTAATTTTGCCCATATTGAATTTTGATTACTATCATATCTTTAGTAGCACTCCCATGATTGAAACGAATTGATTGATGTATGAATCATTAAAATCGGTCTAGGCGTTTGGTCTGTCTCTAGTTTGCCACAAAGGAACAAACATACATATATAGACTGTTAAACACTATACCCTGTCTGCGCGTCGCGCTTCGCGCTCTTTCATTGCGCAGTCGGGTAAAAAGACGTACGACTTTGACCTTAAGCCAATTCGGGAATATACCTACTACTTACTGAAATGGAAGGAGTGCCGATTCAATAATAATTGAAGTCAATTGGTTGTTGTCCGTTGATTTGAAAATATTATTACGTGTTTTTCAAATGATTCAATTTGAGAATATTGATTTAGTTGACCTTCCAAGACAAAGTGCCGAGTTCATTTCAGTTGTACTTTAATGTATTCTGTGGTTCAAGTGCGAAATTTGAGCGAGTAATATAAGAAAAAAATATCTCAAGTATTTTGCTAATATTCCAGCTAAAGGTTTCCGAGTATTTATCCTAGCGACCTATAATCTGCTCTATTCTATTGGGAATGAAAACTAACCGATATGGCTGGTAGAAATGTGGATAACGCCCCTCTCATTAGGGAAACATGTTGCTTGTTTACCACAATATTACTGTAACGGGGAATTTAGATCACAGGTAGGTACTGAACTGTTGGCCGACCAAAAGCAATAGCTAAAGCAGGATTATGAATCTTAAAATTGTGATCCAGCTCTACATTGTATATCAGCAATGTGTCATCAATCAATTCATTCAGTGACGTTTGCGTCTCATTGAGAGTTCATGGTTTAATTTGGAAAAGGACTGCAAAATGGTTACTAAAGCTTCGCTGAGTAGGAGGTTGGTGGTTTTATGATGAAGGGGAACAGTACATTTTCGGGACATCGGGACGGGAACATCCCTCGGTCGGAGTAATAATTTGTCATTTTTATTTTATGTTAATAGCAAACACAAATAAGAGACCAGAAACTTAAAAATTAAAACGTCTTTGCCTTCTCTGTATTTCAGCTAATATCGTTGCATCAAAGGTATTTTTAGTAATAACTAAATATTATAAACGAAATAAATAGCTCCTCTCCACGACGATTGATCTATTTCATCAGATACAAAATTAAGTATTATAGCAATAAAAGTAATAGAAAATTACAAATTACTCTAAACCATGGACCAGACGAAACGATACTGAAAACGTAAATTTAATTGATATCGCTAGAGCCAAGAAATTAGATTTAGAACACATTCTTCAGATTCCTTTTTCGTTAGCATAAATTATAGGTTGCTTATTTCTGATAAAACCGGAAATCCTAAATTTAGGATTTTCTTTTATAGCCAAGGGTAAACGGATAAATCTCAGAAGATCCATTGACCAGAACAATGAAGATATTATGTGTTTTTTTATAAAAAAATGATAAAAAAGAGAATTATTATACTCCGAACCTCTTAGTCATGTATGATGCACTCTTGGTGCTTTTTTGTTATAATGATTTTATAAATAGAAAACGAAACGAAAATTAAAGTTAAAATAAACGATAAGCGCATATTGAGCATTCCTCTGTTTAGATTAATAAATCGAGCAAACAAATGCTTTAAATTAAATATATAATTAACTGCATAACGTTAGATTTTTTTTGTTCCAAAAAAATTTGCAAAAAATTACATAGGTGTTTTCTGTCCAAAGAGGAATTCCTTTTTCGTCAGAAAAAAGCAGCCAACATTGGGCCAGATCTGGCACTTCGCACACACACGGTCCGAAGTTCGGACAATATAAATAGTAGAAAGGTGCCAGTTTATCTTACAAGAATTTTCGAAACTACCCTGTCAATTATTTAATTTTGCAGAAAAGTTATCAAATGCGAATATTAATCATCAACTCCGCCTTGTCTCCGCCGCACGACGCGACGCCTATCTGCTGAGCATAAGCTCCAAGGGTCTTCACACCGATCGGTTCCGCGAATTTGAAAACTTGATTTATATTTATTTACTGTTCGGCACAGGATCCAGGTTCAGCGATACCAAAAGGGACGCTGTTGGCGCTGCTGATATCTATGCTGAGCTACGCGCTAATGGTATTGTTCTCCGGGGGTGGCGCCCTGAGGGACGCCAGTGGCGAAGTGTCGGACTTACTGATGGCCAACGGGACAGTGATCGACACTAGTGGCCTACGGGACTGTCTCCGCAACGCCTCGTGTGCATTCGGACTACATAACAGTTACTCGGTGAGATTCGGTTATATGTAAATGAATAAAAAAATACTTTAATTATGTATTTCGTATTTTTCTGTCGCGTTTAAGGGTTAAGGGACACAAATCAGATGCGTATGTATATTAATATTTCATGTGACCTAAATGTAAGTATGGTGATGGTGGTTAACTGCCCAATTTCTAACAAATAAACTTCACACGGGAGTATTTATACTTACGTTTATTTTACCGCATCGCCGAAGACTACAGTTCTACATTACTGAAGATTGCATTAAAATCAGTTGCGTATTTTTAAGGTTTTTAAGGCTAGCCATAGAACGACTGTCGTTAGTCAGTGTACCCAGTCAGAGTCAACAGCTTTAAGCTGCCATTGCTAACTACTAGATAACTACTAGAGCAGTTCGTACCAACTGCTCCAGCAGATCGTGTAAACAAAACAAAGCAAGCCGGCGAGAGGCGCGGGCCAAGTGGAATGAAGGGCAGGGTGGAGATAACTGGCAAAAACAGTCAATGTATGCCTCCCGACTTCTTGAAATTTCAAGCAGTTGGGTCGGGCAGTTGCCCGAATCAGTCGCAGCGTGAAGCAGTCCACCCTGACCGCTTCAAGCTGTCCGTGTATGGCCGGTCTAAGTATTCAGACAAGGGGAGCGATTTTATACCACTTATATATAATTGTAATTCACCGATTGGCGATTACAACTATTTTATATAAAAGATTTGACCGCAGTTGATGTTAAGCAACGATGTGGTCAAGTCTAAGCAGGAGCACGAAGACTCAAATAATGCCTATTTACACTTGGCTTGAAGATCTCTATATTATTAACTACAGGTGATGCAGTTGATGTCAGCATGGGGCCCTCTAATCTACATGGGATGCTGGGCGGCGACACTGTCGACGGCGCTGACCAACCTGCTGTCGGTGCCGCGGCTCATTCAGGCGCTGGGCGTCGACCGCATCTACCCCGGACTCATATTCTTCTCCAAGCCCTACGGCCCCCACGGCGAGCCCTACAGGGGATACGTACTCACGTTCTTGGTGTCGCTTGTTTTTCTCCTGATTGGTTAGCTCGCCTTTCTTTATTAGTATTTTTTATGTGTTAACATAAACACTTGTATGAAAAAAGTTGGGTAATTTTTTTAGTATGTATGTATTGATAAAGTTTTAAAGGGAAAAATTATACACTTTTAACTTTTTTCTATATAAATGGCACGTATTTTATTTTTATGTTATTTGTAAGGAGGAAACGTGTTTTGGACATACATTGGGGGCTGGGATTTATTTTATAAGCCGGGGTCTAGTTGAAAACCAGCGTCAGCTCTTTGAGCTGACACAATGCTGAACTTAGATCCTATTTGGCGCAGGCAGGCTACGAAGACTTTCTACCAAATTTGCATTATTTACCTTTTTCTGTTTTTCGTTATACATTTTCTTTTGTATTGTTAAAGATATTCCTTTATATTCTTGCATGTAAATTGAAAATGTACCTATTTTAAGCCTACTGCGTCAAATAGAATTATTTTGTTTTTTTTTTTTAATTTTGAACTTGTTAGTAAATGCTTGCTTTCAAACGTATTTTAAGATTCTTTTTTTTATTTATTTATTTACAAAGATTTGAACTAATCTTACCAAATAAAGTCGAATGACTCTATTTTTTTTAAACCATATAAATTAAGATAATACAATGTTGTTTTTATGGTTCCGTATCTAGGGTAAAAAGGGGACCCTGTTACTAAGACTCCACTGTCCGTCTGTCTGTCTGTCAGCAGGCTGTATCTCCTGAACCGTGATAGAAAGACAGTTGAAATTTTCACAGATGATGTATTTCTGTTGCCGCTTTAACAAACAAATACTAAAACAGAATAACATAACTATTTAAACGTGATTTTTTTTGCCGTTTTTGGTCTATATTACATAGCGAAAATTTTACTAGAAAAAAGTCCACCCGAACGAGGCAGCAGACTGGACTCGAACCCGCACCCTTCACTATCCGGGTGAATGTACTGACCCTTATGCCACCGCGGCCGTGTCGATTTTCTCTAGCCTTTCTTAAGCTGCAAGGCAGCGACATTTCTTCGAATTGTAGGTAACTTGTAAAGGTATTCATTTGACATTGTGGGTTATGATGTTGCCAGAAAAGTTCGAAAGCAATTATATCTTTCTCTATATTATATAAATTTAAAAAGCTTAAAAAAATGTGCTGTTTCCATCCAAAAACTAATGAAATATAGATAGGAATGAATGAATCTGAATATTTAATTATTATTTACCTTTGCAGCCGATTTGAACACCATTGCTCCTCTGATCTCCAACTTTTATCTGACGTCTTACGCGCTGATCAACTTCTGCACCTTCCATGCGGCGTTGGTGCGCCCGCTCGGTTGGAGACCTACCTTCAGGGTGAGTTCTTCCTACAAATGAATGAAATCCACTCTTATAATAATATTATAAAACTGAAGAGTATGTTTGTTTGTTTTGCTGAACGCGCTAATCTCAGGAACTAGGTACTGGTCCGATTTGAAAAGAACGAGTGTGCGTATGACCACACGGCTGAAGAGAAACTTCTTTAGCTCCATCTGTATTTATATATATATGTGTGTGTGTGTACAATATATACATGTATGTACATATACATATTTTATTTACTAGCTATAGGAGAAAGAGAGAAAGAAGATGTGCGCGCGCACTGCTTTCGCTTGCTATCTTTATATCCCCCACTCAACTCCCGTTCGCCTCGCCCGATCACAGTTTTCGTAACGTGTTCGACAGCTTAATCCCCAAGTCAAGCGTGTGTAAAGAAGTTTGATTTCAAAAATCCTTTTGTATTAGATAGTCCAGCTATCGAAGAAGGCTATAGGCTATATAACATAACCTTACGACTAATAGGAGCGGAGCACTAATGTAAAATGTTGCAAAAACAGGATAAATATTCCATTTGTGAGCTTCTGCTGCGTGCGCTGCGTAAATGGTTAAAGTTACACAGAATCATGATTAAGTTTATCTTTTAAAGGTGACCCACTATAACCCTTTTCCTTAAACTAATGCGGGTGAAAGCGCAGGGCAGCTCTAGTAAATAAAATACTTATAATACCACAAGTAGGTAGGCTTTACACAGCAACGGCCCTTGGTTTTCGCTAAAACGTGTCTAAACACGTGTGGTGATTACAAGGTGATGAAGTTAAGATCGGAGATGGTAATTGAAACAAGGTTGAACAGAGAGTGTTTTTATTATTATAATGTAAATTAAAAGTAAACTATAATTGCGTAATATAACATGCCAGCTTAATACATCCTGACCTCGTTAATTTGTCTTGTCTGTGGAATTTTATTATTAATGTTATTAAATTTTCATCATCACATATTATGCACCTACACACGTAAGAAAATTTTATCGAAAGCCAAATAACTTATTCTGGCGTCTCTTGCCACATTATGTCTACTAGTGTCTGACACTTTTACTCATGAGAAAGGTTTCCCGATCGGAACACTCCCTTCAAAAAACGCAAAAAATTTTAATGTATGTGACACTCTGAAGATGTACAATAGATGTACGTACTGTACATCTTCAGAGTTAAATAAACAAATTAAATACACATTCCAAGATTTATTCGTCTTAGTGGCGGTCCACATCTCCACTACGACGTCGTCGACGTGGAAAGGTGCGGTAACGTTGCAGGGTGAGTTGACAGAACGTGCAAAACGAGGCCTACTCTAATTCAACGAAAAACGAATTTTCGATCGAAACTTCGCACGTTTGTTACCATTTTTCTTTTTCGTTTCTAATTATAATAATATTAGTTCGCACGAATATAGATTGAGGTTTATATTCTCTAAGCCTACTCAATGAAAAATTAAATTTGATAGTTTATCGTTCAAATCAAGTATAATCTTAATTTAATGTGGTTTGAACTTCTTTACCGAAAATTTCGTTTCGGAGAAAGTGAGTAGAACTCCTAGGTCGTTAATTTGCACGTTATGTCAACCCGCCGCGTTGTCGCGCCGTTCCACGTTGACGATATCGTGACGTGGAGATGTGGACAGGCACTAATTGACGACGTTAATCTCAATGGGATTGCAGTACTACAACGTGTGGGTGTCGTTACTCGGGTTCCTGATGTGCGTGGCCATCATGCTGTTGATCAGCTGGGTCATGTCGCTCATTACCTTCGCCATCTTCTTCACACTCTACCTGATAGTGCACTACCGCAAGCCTGGTGAGTATACTGATTAGTCAGTTTCAAAATTTATAAGTAAAGCTATAAGTAGTTACTCAACGAGTAAACTACTGAGAGGTTAAATTATATGTGTAGACTGGGCAGATAAAGTTATGAGTATCTAATCCTGCTATGGGCTAGGGCGGATACCTCCGAAAAAGGTAAAAAGTTGGAAAAAATCGGAACAGGATGAAACCTGTTTTAATAGGTGAGGTTACTTTTTAGTGAAAATTTTCACTAAATTTCGTGAAAAAAGCTTATATTGTAGGAGATAAAATGAAAAACCAAAAATGTTTTTAGATTTTGTGAAAAAAAGTGTAAACACCAAAGTTGTAGGTCTTTTAATTTTCCGATGAAGTCTTTAATTGCGCTCTGCATGATTTCCCTGAAAACTTTCAGTCTTATCTCACTTTAAATAATATATATAATGTGACTGTCAATGGCAATAACTCGTAATTTTCAATGTAGTGTTTTTAGATAAATAATGAAATTGTCGTTTGACCAGACGTGAACTGGGGCAGCAGCACTCAGGCGCAGATGTACAAGACGGCGCTGTCGAGCGCGCACAGCCTCGCGCGCACCGGCGAGCACGTGAAGAACTACTGGCCGCAGCTGTTAGTGCTGGCCGGCGCACCGCACGCCAGGCCTGCGCTCGTCGACCTCGCCAGCCTCATCACCAAGGCGGGCTCGCTCATGATCGTCGCCGACATCACTGAGGTCAGTGTAATGGCCGCAGCTGCCGGTGCTGGCCAGCGCTCGTCGACCTCGCCAGTCTCATCACCAAGGCGGGCTACCTCATCACCACTGCAGAAATTACATATCATATAACAAACCATTCGTCGCCAGTAACCAGTCTTGCGTTATTCTAACATTACAAAAAATAAGCTAATTTGTTATGAAATTATTTCATCAGGGAGAAACAAATTTTTAGGTGGGAAGTTATTATTTCAGCAAACTAATTTTAAAACACTTTTTATCATCGCAATTATATTATGTTATTATTTTTAAGCAAATTTATTTTTAAGCATGTTACAATAAATAAATAAAAAAATGAAAAGAATTGATTATTGCTATGAAAACATTAAAAAAATCGAAAGTATCTATTAATACTTAAATTATGTAACCTTTTTCTTGCCACAGAAAAAGCTCTCGTACAAGGAGCGGTCAGCACGTTTGCGCACGAGCGACGAGTGGTTGCGCGAGCGCAAGGTGCGCGCCTTCTGCAGCGAGGTGCACGGGTTCAGCATCGAGCTGGGGGCGCGCGCACTCATGCAGGCCGCTGGTGTAGGCCGACTAGCGCCCAACGTGTTGCTCATGGGGTACAAGGGGGACTGGGCCGCCGCGCCACCGCACGACCTCAACGCGTACTTCAACGTACTCCAGTAAGTGAAGCTCACGCAGGCCGCGGTAGCAGGCCGCCTCGCTCAACTACAGACATCAAATTTTATGAAAACCTGACCAGTGTGCGTTAAAGGTTTCCCTTTATCGTATCTAATAATTTTCATTATACACAGATTGCTCCTAGCTCTAAGCAAGTAACAACAACTAACGGCCTGCGCTTCGCAGTCCCTAAAACAGGGAGAAGTGGGAAGGTGGCAATCTTCTTACAGTTAAATTAGTCCCTGAACACATTTTTCGAAGAAGAGCCTAAACTTCTACTATGTATGTATGTATTGACGACCTCCGTGGCCGAGTGGTTAATACGCCGGGTTTCGTGGTGTCGCTGACTCGAGAGGTCCCGGGTTCGAATCCCGGTGGGGGCAGATGTTTGTGTAATGAATACGAGCATTTGTACTCCAGTCATGGATGTTTAATATGCGTTTCTATATAAATATAGGTACTTATATATGTACAACTAGAGGTCGCCCGCGACTTCGTCTGCGTTAACTTAGTTTCTTGAAAATCCCTCTGGAACCTAACATTTTTTCGGGATAAAAGTAGCCTATGTGTTAATCTAGGGTGTCAGCTAACTCCATACCAAATTTTATTAAAATCGCTCCAGCCGTTTAGACGTGAAGAAGTAACAAACATACACACTCACATACTCACAAACTTTCGCCTTTATAATATTAGTGTGATTAGTGTGATGTGATTAGTGTGATATATGTATTCTATCCGTTACCCTAGTATCCCATAACACAAGCTTTACAGTGCTTACTTTGGGGCTAGGCTAATTGGTGTGAGCGTTGGAAATATTTATTTTATTTATTTATTTATGTATTCCCACCAGCACGGCGTTCGAGAACCGCCTAGCGGTGGCGATCCTCCGCATGGCTGGCGGTCTGTACTGCGGTGCGGCGGAGAGCGCGGGTCCCGCGTGCGGCACGCTCACCGCCACCTCCAGCGGCAGCGGCGACTTGCGCGTGCGCCGTGCGCATACCAACATCATGCATGCGGATTCTGACCTCGACATACGCTCCTCCGACTCGCAGCCATCCAGCAGGCATAACCTCACCAGTGAGTTTACACTGAGCATGATCCACTTTGTGGGGAGCAAAAGATTTTAACAAAAACAATAGTCAGTAGTTGCGTGACGCTTGCAGCATCTTAATTATGCTTCACCATCCCTTTTTGAGTGAGATTCTCAATTAGCCCTACGACTTACTTATTGGTCACTTTTAAGTGGCTGGCGAATCCCTCCCACCCACTGAGCTAGCCCTATGACCGACTCAATGGCCGCTCGGGTAGACCTTCCTACCACATAATGTTATCTAAAGAATGCATGAACTGCACTTGCATAGGTTAGTTTTAAATCAGTCAAGTCATTTTCTGTTGTTGCAGATCTATTAGCACTGACGACGTCTCGATCGTTCACGATATCAGAAAAAGAACCAAAAGACAAGAAAAAATATAAGAAGGCGATTGATGTTCACCCGCAGATAATCTACAAAGCCTCGAATGGTGTCGAGATATCCAAAGATCAATTATCTCAAATGACAATATTCCAAAGGAAACAGGTGAGAAGTTATTATTTCCTGTAGACATTTCATTAGGTTTTCTTCATGTAATTACATATTGAGTTACTTCTAAGTGACTTGCCACGTGTCCGGCTTAAAAAATTGAGAGGCGTTGTAAAACAACACAGCTGATGGTTTCTGAACCTGTGCATTCTGCCATTTATTTATTTATTTATTAAAGGTCTGCCAACATTTTACACCTTAACTTACATAATCACACTTATATGTAACAATTTTCAGCATAGTGCAAAAACAATTACTGGCAGACTCAACATGAACAAAAAAAAAACGGAAATACATATATATATAAAGTATTACACTGGCATTATAACTAAAGGATATTTAATATAATTCTTACATTCGTCTATTCGCCTGTAACAACCAACTCACCACACCAATATCATAAATAACCATTGCACATTCAAGAAACTTAAACTATACTAAAAATTAGAACAAAAATGCATTAAAACACTAAGTTAAATGGAATATATATTAAATTAAATTTGAATTTGGCTTATAGTTGGAGTTCTTATCAGATACAGTAATTTTCGAAAACGTAACAAAGAAAGAGCATACAAGTCAATCGATCTACAAAACCTATTATACTCGTCACACAGTCTATTGAGCACACTATGTGCGCCTAACTTAGTTCTAAAAAATTTCAATGAAAAGGGTTTAAAATTTACCATTCTGGTGTTTGGTCGAGGTATTTTAAATTTCACATTACTTAGTAATTTAGGGCACTCTGCTACACTGTTTACAATTTTATATAACAAGACCTAGTCGGCCACCCACCTACGATCCTCCAGCGAAGTAAACTTGAAATAGTCCAGTCTATCCCTATAAGATAACAAATTATATTTTTTACCCTGATGCACAGACAAGAAAAATAGAAACTTTTTCTGGACCTTTTCTAATCGTTCTATATGACAGTTATATTTAGGATTCCAAATACTCGAGCAATACTCAAGTGAACTGCGCACCAATGCAAAATAAGCATACTTTAGAGCATCAATTTTCTTAAAACGCTTGCAGTTACGCCATATAAAACCAAGAAGCTTTAAAGATTTTGCTATGATGTGATCATAGTGATGACGAAAAGAAAGCTTACGGTCTAAAACAACCCCCAGATCACGAATGGTCGAAACTTCTTCTAAAAGATGGGAATTGATAGAATATGATGTATTTAAAGCGTTGCGCTTTTTTGTGAATTTTATGTGTTTGCATTTATCCGGATTCAATGGTAGTTTATTAATTGAAGACCACTCAGCTATTCTATTGAGATCCTGTTGCAGTAATATGGATTCATTAAAATTTTCAATTGTTTTGTAAACTTTTAAATCATCTGCAATCAGTAAACATTCCGAATGTTGAACGACATTGACAAGGTCATTAATAAATATTAAAAAGAAAATAGGTCCTAGATGAGAACCCTGGGGGACGCCTGACGGAACGTAAAAGGGACTCGACTCATAGCCACATGCAACAACTTTTTGACACCTTCGAACAAGATAAGATCGGCACCAATTCAAGAGGGAACCATGCACACCGACTGAATGAAGCTTCTTTAATAATATTATATGGTTAACCTTATCAAATGCTTTACTTATATCAGTGTATATAGCGTCCACCTGTCGGCCCCGGTCTAGCTCCTCTGACAAATCCGTTATGAAGCAGGAGAGATTAGTGACAGTAGACATTTTCTGGCGAAAGCCATGTTGTTGCGAAGCAAGAACAGATTTAAAAGTATTAGCGAAATACTGACAAACAAGTGCTTCGAAAAGCTTAGAGAAACCAGACAGTAATGAGATAGGTCGGTAGTTTCGCACATCATTAGATACACCGGTCTTAGGGATTGGCAAAACATTGGCTTCCTTCCATCGTGTCGGAAAATTCCCAGAAGAGAGTGAGTGGCTGAATATGAGATATAGTGGATAAGATAAAGCAGACGCGCAGCTACGAAGAAATATAGGTGGTATACCGTCTGGTCCGGCTCCTTTCTTTGGATCCAATTCCTTCAGAGCTCTCTCTATACTAACTTCTGATATGGAGATATTGTTAAGGATATTATTTAAGGAACAATCTGAATCGACATCTTGCTTTTGAGATCCATCAGCATCAGCCACATAAACAGACGAAAAATGCTTAGCAAACGCATTACATATTGAACTCGGGGTATCATACCTGCATCCATCCAAATACATTTGACCTGGTATAGAATCAGTATTTTTACGTTTATTTTTAATGTAACTCCAGAACGCCTTAATATTTCCACAACTAATAGACTCCTCAACCTCTCTCAAATAGTTTGTATAGCATTTCTTGATTAGGTGATGACATCGAGATCTAGCTTCGCTGTAATCGAACCTATCAACAGGATTATTGTACAATTTTACTTTTTTATGGAGTTTTTCCTTTTCACGGATAAGCTTAATGAGAAATTTTGGAGTACCAAATAGGGTACTTACCTGAGTTGCAAGACGACTTCGGAACGTGTTTTTCAATTATTGAATCAACTATCGAGTAAAATGTTTCAACCATGCCATCAACGGCATTCGTGTTCTTAAATTCATGATCCCAATCAATAGCGGATAAATCTTTGTTAATATCTGAATAATTTGCTAGCTTGAAGTTAAATTTATTAATAGTTTTCTTTTTCAAAAATCGAAGTGGTGAAAGATTAACAGAGATTTCCAAAGCCGGGTGATGTGGATCTAGATGCACTAGGCCATTCGGCCAGACTATCCAATTATCAATGGTTTATCCTACCGAGACTTTAATGCCTGTTTCACATTTTTTGTAGTGGCTATTTATGAATAATTGTGGTGTCGTTCAGGAGCCTGGCTTCATCGACGTGTGGTGGCTGTACGACGACGGGGGGCTGACGATGCTGCTGCCGTACATCATCTCGCAGCGCTCCGCGTGGGCCCACTGCAAGTTGCGCATCTTCGCTCTCGCCAACCGCCGCCACGAGATGGAGCTCGAGGAGAGGAAGTGAGCAAGCATTCATCATCAGCCTATTTACATCCACTTTGAAGGGGCACATGCGTTCCCTATAGATTAGTTGAAGTAGATGACAGGGTGGGTGAAAACTTCATTCAGACTCCTCGTTGTAGTCATCGAAACCCGTCGAATCGGCCGACTCTAAGTACCCTCGCATCGCCTGAAATTTAAAGAAAACTTCAGCATGATAAACCTATTAATGCCCACATTGCTGAACTGCTGAGCTGAACCACCACGCGGACACAGTGCGGATTGGTGCGTGCTAACCACTGCAGATGCAGTCGGGACCAAGGGCTTAAGTTTAAGTGTGTTCCGAAGCACGGAGGACCTCGAGATAATAAGTTTTTGGTCACCCATCCAATGACCAAGCATTGCGAAAGTGGCTGAACTTCCACGATCGCAGATCGAATGCACTCACTATCTGCGCCATCGAGCTCCTCGCGCATACATTACTATTCTCTATCCAGTATTAAAAAAATAAAAATAGAAAGTCATCATACATCAGTCCATCATTTGTTTTCGCAAAAATTCATCTCATAGCTGATGGAAACTGTCATCGACTATCATAAAATAAATCCTGTACTACTGATGTGCTATGCTACAAATAACAATTTTCTTCATCGTTTCCACTGGTAAAATAGAATATTTCAATCGTTAGAATCATTAAAAATTGTGTTCCCTTTATAAAATCAATCAATCATTTATGAATTGAGTACCCTACCTATACTAGATATATTTTCCTTTTAATTAGAATGAAAATGTTATTATGTTGTCCATTAGTATGGCCAATCTACTGTCCAAATTCCGGATAGACTACTCATCGCTGACGATGGTGCAAGACATCACGGAGGCGCCGCAGCAGGACACCAAGAACTTCTTCAATGACCTCATCAACAAGTTTACCTCAGAAACTACAAGCGAAGGTAAACGAATGCCAAAAGTTACGGACACATTTCAGGTTCAGGGGTCACAAGACCAAAATCTGGATCATCATCATCATCATCAGCCTATTAATGTCCTCACTGCTGGGGCACTGGCCTTCCCTATGGATGGCATAGGGAGATTGGGCCATGACCCACCACGCGGGCCCAGTGCGGATTCGTGGGTGCTAACGACTGCAGATGCAGCCGGGACCAACGGCTTAACGTGCCTTCCGAAGCACGGAGGAGCTCGAGATGGTAAATTTTTGGTCACTCATCCAATGACCGACCACTGCGAAAGTTGCTTAACTTCAACGATAGCAGCCGAACGCGCTAACCACTTGCGCCATCGAACTGCTTTGGATATGTAATAGAAATGATAAATAGAGTATATTTTTTCACCAGAATGTCGCATCAGTGAAACAGAAATGCTGACATTGGCGGAGAAAACCAACAGGCAGTTACGACTGAGAGAACTTCTTCTAGCCAATTCTAGCGCCGCGCGCCTCGTCGTCATGTCGCTGCCTTTGCCCAGGAAGGTAAGTCTCCAATGCTATCATAGCATTTTTACAAATACATTAAACTATAAGCACTTTTAAATCTCTATGCATTTTAATTATGGGCAGAAAACTAGGGATGCAGGCATTGTAAAGAGAAATTAGCGTCGATATATCGATAGTTTTTTTACTAACATCAAAAGTTTTGTGTGCAATAAATTTCGATTTTTTTTTTATTCCATTGAGCAAAACTTGAATTGGGATATATACGTTTTAACATTATTGTTTCAGTCAAAATTTAAATATAGCAAAACTATCGAAATACATATTTTAAAAAAATTGGGCTGTCTAATTTCGTATTGATATACAAATTCATTCATAATAACGTATTATAATAACGTAGTATATGTTTGGGTAATCAATTGAGAACATCGGTGGTAATTTATTAATAAATCTTTGAGGTTTCTGTATTATTAACGTAGGTATCGTTTGTATTCCTATTTAAATGTAAAACTTTTAGTACTTTTGCATTCCTTACTTATCTGTTTGTTATGTTTCTTATTTTTTTATTATTTAAAGCTGTGGTGAATATTTCTTGATTTGTTGTCCATTTCTAACATTTTGAGAGCAATTGTAAGCAAAAATTCCACTGTATTGGTTTGCTAAAACGTTATCATACGTTGTTTAAGGTCAAAAATTTAAGTATAAGAACTTCGGTTGATTTGCCTTTGACCCTGTTGTCAGTTAATTGATCAATTGCATTTAAAAGGTTAGAACCATTTATAAGTATTTCTTTAAATAGAAGAATTCCCATCACTGCTTTGTACATCAGGCAGGCTTCCCTAGCGCTTTGTTTACGTTTGCTCTTAAAACATATGAAACCTTAGATTAAAACAAAAAGGAAAGAACGCTCATACTAGCATGAAACAAAATATGCTCCGTCTCAACTACATAAGCAATTCTCACGCGCATGCGTGTGTGCATACATTTCTGTAACAAACATTCAATCGAGCAAGCGAGACAGAACTGTACGCTTCAACACAGCGCGAGCAAAACGGCGAGTCCGCGTCGCTTGGCTACTGCGTTTTCTCTTCTCTCTTTACAAACGGTTGAGCTGTATTGTTGTCCTTTCTTGATAACAAATGGCAAAAAAGTAAATAACATTATTGACAAACCGTGATTTTTGAGAAAAATAAATGTTTTCATAGTTTTACAAATGAAAAGTGTTGTCGTGAAATTTCTTATTTGATCTTTAATATTTGTGTTCTTTATAAAAGCATCGAAGGCATTGTTTTGTCTTTATAACACACAATATACGCACATGCAGCGTTTTTGAATGTCCAATTGTGACTTTTCGTCATGCACCACAATTTAAGCGGATCACTTCTAAGCCACGAGTGCCGTATCTTCCCTTTTGATTTAATCTAAGTTTGGAACGTATTACAAATTTAACTATTGTGTGTATAGGGTTCGGTGTCGGCGCCGCTGTACATGGCGTGGCTGGAGGTGTTGAGCCGCGACATGCCGCCCACCCTGTTCGTGCGCGGAAACCACACGTCCGTACTAACCTTCTACTCGTAGAACAGTTGCAGTTGCATCCAGGGCTGATGTTAACCACAAAAATTATGCAGAACTACAAAATCCGAAATATTATGGCAGTAAACCGAGCAGACCCCGTGCAGCAAATTTCCTACACTAAACTCCTGCTCATAGCGACACCAATATTGAGGGTGCCAGTTCTTCTAGTTAATATTATGTTAACTTTATAACGCTTCATACCAACCTGTCCAAAGCATTTTAGATGTTTTTTTGAAGTGAAAACTTCTTTAGCACCTTTGTGATTTGAGCCTCGAAGAAACGGAAGTGGAGTATTGGACACAAGATAGGTATCCATAATTTTGTCATTTACCATAAGAGACGGATAGCCAAACAGTAACGGTCTTGGGGTCGACACTAACTGATCGATGGTTCGATCTGAGCTCGATATTTTTTTAAATTATTATTTTTTCTTTTAATAAGCTATTATTTATTTTTCGAAACAATTTAAGTACCTAGTATAAAATATTTATTTTTTCCTAGAGAGTTGATTTAAACACAAGTGTTGTCTGTGAACAGCACATGTCCGTTATTATGGAAATTTTTGTTTTTGTACTAATGTACAACTACAACCATCATTAATTATTTTCTAAGCCAGTCAACACCATATCCATAAAATGCTAGAAGAGTATACAATGCTTGATATAGATACTAACCTCACCCCTAGTGGTACAGTCATATTAAACTTTTTATTTTAAACTTAAACTATCAATAAAAATAAATATCTATCAGGCAATGTGTACCATAATTTGGGTTATGTACTTTGTATCTTTAAAAGGCAGTTTTGTTTTAGAGCTATTGATATTGTGATACATTCAGGGAACAATTAAGTAATTACCTACGGCGCTGCTAAGTTACTCTCCTTACCTAATTAATGAAATTACGAATATATTTTATCATGAAAACTTAACAACAATTTCGTTGAAATAATACATTTCTAATTAAATTGTCGAATCTAGGTTACTTGGATAGGTTCACTTATTACTTATAATTAACTTAACTTTTATTTACACATTTAATATGATATAAGAACCAATCGTATTATTTTATTCCATCTATTTTTGTATTTTGGATCGGTCACTTACCAATCTACTTAACTTAAAATGTTTTGTCTTAGTCTTAGCTAAGCTTTTCAAAATTAGCTCTGACCTCTTAAAGTCAAAGTTTGAAAGCCAACACAAGTTGTGGGAGCGCTCTCTGATTCAAAGTTTTAAATAGTTTATTATTTGTCTTGCTGAAAGAAGACAAATAATAAACTATTTAAAACTTTGAATCACTTCTATAATAATATGGGATCAAAATATTAAAAGGCCTTACGTACAAGATATTGCCAATTTTATTTTAATAGTTTTAAGTATGTAGATACAAATATACAATTATATTACACTAGACCAAAGTAAGTACTTACACACATTTTACTTAAAATAACAATATTCTTAGCTAACATAAAACTATATAAATGAATATGTACTAGGTAGTGTATATCGACGACGATGTTCGAATGCCCAAGCGCCTTGTTTGACAGCTTAGTAATCGTATCGCGTCGTCAAAGTTTCCATTTCAACTAAGCAGATAAGCCCTATCGTAAGTAAGAACAAAATTAGCACTATACAAAATTTAACGTTAACGATACGAGTCTCCGTAATCGTCAAAATTCGTCAAAAACTGTCAAAATTCGTACTTGGGCCTCAGGTCAAAGAATGCCGTTCTACCTCAGTGCCCCGTCATTTCCCTATCTCTCTCTGCTGCATATCAATTAGGTATCTAATTCTTCTTTGGAATAATCATTGCTATGCAGACGATATTACAATGGACGCTGGATATTTCGGACAGCGACTGTACTGGAAGAAATCAAGGAGACTTTTCTCCTTGATTTCGCAGGAGAATCTTGTCCTTTAACTCGATAAGAACTTATTTACTTCAATGCTAAGAAAACCTAGGTTTGCACTTTCACAGCAAAATTGTCTACATTCCTTCCCCTCCCTTCTCTACAAATCAGTATACTGGCCAGTGGTAATGACGTCACGAATGTGACGCCATATTGTACTGGTATGATACCATATTTTAACCGTGAAAACGAATATGACGTATGACATGGATGCATTCGAATTTTATTTCTTTTTTATATAAAGAATAATAATTCCTTTTAATTGATGAGGTGAATAAAACTTATTTTCGCAATATTTTTGTAGTGTCGATTCATGACGTCATTAGCACTGGCCAGTATACTGATATATATTACGGAATACACTATATTGAACAATATCACATAATTGCTGGACCTGCTATCTTCGCTATTTGACTTTACCACCACTCTACATCAGATAGAGTAGAGTAATTTTCCTAGCTAACTATAAAAAACTCACTACCTACTGGACATTGGCGAAATTTCTGTGTAAAACGGAGAACGCCACAGAAAGAAGAAAAAAAAAACTATAAAAAAATAAATTTACTAGCAATGATTGTCAAAATTACTATAGTTTGACTATCATCCATCTACACACCACCAAGAGGATTTGAATGGAAGAGATCAAATATCAATCAGTTATCAGACAGCAGCGGGCATGTTCTGACGCCAATGAATTGGCAGCAAAACTTGAGAAGTTAGAATATATCAGCAGCAATTTAGTCGAAATGAGAATTTAGTAGGTATTTTCACAATCACTTTGTGGCGCCAATTTTCACAAAATCACCTAGGAGTTTTTACTAGTTGATACATAATTGAATTCTACGTCGAACGAAAGGCATAGATAACTCATATTGACCCCATAGACTAATATTGTATATTGACCCAAAGTGTCAGTTAGGAGGTAGAGTCTGTGCGGAAAGAGAATGGGATTTAGATTGGAGGGCGCTGTGGTGCTTTTCTACCGTATTTGTAAGGTTTTACCCCTTTTAGACATGATTAAATACAAAGAATCGCAAGAAATCACAACAACAAACAAATCCGTATCAATACAAAACTTTGACGTTTGACAGATTGCTGGGTTTGATTGCCAAATAAAAATCTTAATGATAGTTCCGTTTTTGACCACGCCCATTCTCTTTCCGCACAGACTTTATTTGAACATCGTCGTAGATATGAATCGGTGGGTACATTTTATATGGCCTGTAGTTTACCTACTCTTATTTATAAGTTTAGTATTATATGTACTTACCTAAATATATAATAAAATAATGTAATACTAGAAATAAAACTGTGAAAGTATAGGTAGGTACTTTGTTTATATACGATAATCAGAACAAAACACTAAAGATTCATGGTTGTTCAGAAATAATTATTATTTTCACTTTGTACGATGATACCTAGAGATTAAGCATTTGTTAGTTAATTTGTTAAAATTTATAATATTATAATTATTTATTTGTATCCTATCAGTACTAGGTAGGTACATTATTATGTATTATATTTAATGGGAGGAGACAAATCCCATTACTTGAAAAGTGTATTCATTAGTTGTTTTGAACATTTGTGAGCTCTCTTTTTCATAATCTTTTCATGTTTTTACAAATTATGTTCATTTGATACTATGCTTATGATTATTACTATAGGAGGTATTTTTTTTTACTATTCTACTTTAAAACTTTTGTTCTAAATTCCGAGTAACGATTTCTACTAAAGTTTTAGTACCTCATCATTGTCATTACTTCTAGCCAATTTGTTGTCCAGTTCTGGACATAGGTCTCCTCCAGTTTCTTCTTCTTCACTTTTGGGCTTCAAGCATCCAGTTTTGACCCACATATCATCTGATATCATCTCCCCATCTCTGATGCGGGCCTCCAAAAAATCTGCTGCTAATATGGGACCTCCACTCTAACACACGCCTGGTCCACCTTTCTAAGTATTTCTAATTAACCTGTCGACGAGGTTTTAATCAAAACAGTTAAAATTACAAACCGATAATTTATTTATTTCACTTTAATAACCATATTTTTGATAAAATACCTATAAACACCATGTAACTAAACCATTACGATAATAATTCTAATAATACTTGTAAGAATGAATGTGATAGTTGTTAATAATTTATCTACTTGGGTAAGACATTTGTATTTAATGTTTTGTACGATAACATAGTTTTAAGTATCTAAAAATGAACTAATAGTTTTATCTTTACCTATTGTGAATATTTTCATATAAAGATTGTTGTGATCTATTGAATTTCATTATTTTATATTATCTTGACAAATTAATATAAAAGGAAAGACAATTTTGTATGAGAATAAATTGTTGTAAATGAGTTTAGCTTTTTATTGTTACCAATCTTTTCTTATTGATTTGATTAAGGAGTTAACTGCTTACTGCTACTCAGTTTACCTGTCCTCTGAAACGGAGCGAGGCTGCGAAGCGGAGAAGTATTAACCAATAGGATTGCAGAAAATCTCCGCTCCTTTTCAGTGGACAGATTTTACGCAATGCTATTGGTTAATATTTCTCCGTTCATACATACTAATATTATAAATGCGAACATCTCTCTGTTATTTCTTCCCGCTTAAACCGTTGAACCGATATAGATGAAATATAATAACGCATCCGAATATATCGACCGGTATTAACGCAGCTATGTGGGGAAGGCCTTAATTTGTAAGTGCAGCTGAAGAGAGTTTTGAGCAAGCGTATTTTAGTACCAAAGCTTAGTCATGCAGGTGTGGAATAAGCATGAGCAAAAGTTAAGAAAATTAATAATTTGTCTATTCATCAACCCCCATAAAGCCAGCCTCATGTCAACACCGATGCCATTTGGCAATAGTGAGCTGTCTTGTCTGTCTTGTCTTGGGATGGGACAAGTAGTCAGAGGTTGTTTTCCAATTACAGAGCATAATGCGACTCAGTGGCTTACAATGTCGAATTATGCTGATGCTTAATAGGAACATGAATTAGTTTTCAAATGCACCAGCAGAGTGCGCTAAGTTCAGTGTTGAAAAAAAAGTCAATGTTTGTACCTTCATCCATACTTATATTTATTTTTTTAACACAGTTTGAATTAACTTTGATTATTTAAAAAAACTATAATGAAACGAAAGCTTTAATAATTTATCAACAATAAATAATATTACTAACGATAACATATAAATAAAACATTTCGATCAATGCCAACTTAAAGAAAAAACACTTGTTAATTTTCTGTCACTGAGTTGGTACGATTGCACGCATGACACGAAAGCATTAGTTTTGACAGTGCTCGATTGTGCGAAGCGTTGCTGTAGTTAAAACATTCAACGTTAAGCATTATGCCGTATAATGCGCTCTAGTGCTGTAATTGGAAAACTACCAGATATTGCCCAATAATTCGACACAATAGGGACGCAGAGAAAGAAAATTATTTTCTTTAGCTTTGCTTGAACGAAAATTTTGTACTCTAAGCGAGATTCGTCGTCCTAGTTCTACACTATACCTAAGGTTGTTCTACGGTATTCTGAAATGCAAGTATGGACGAAGAATTTCTGTTGCGGGTGCTTTCAAATCCAAGCAATATGCAATAATCTCTTTCATTCATAGAGAATATTCAACAAAGAGAAGTAACCTTTTCCTGAAACCTTTTCTATGGTTATTGCTTTGACATTTAAATTTCACTCTCAGGTTCTATGCATAGAGAACTCATAGAGAAAGGTAAATATACCAGGTTCTATGGTGTTCGGGTTTTACGTTCGGGTTTGACTCCTCTTTACTCAACGAAATTGAATACGGTTTCACTTACTAGATAAAACTAGTTTTTTTTTCCATTCCTACGGGTGCTATCTTTACAAATTTCACAAAAAAAATTGCAAACAACTGCAGTTACTATTCTACAGGTATGTCGCAACGATTTCGGTCGGATAATAGTTTTTAGGTCAAGGATGAATCGTACGCAACACGTATATTTTTTTACATTTTACGCTTACCATCTAGGAGATATCCTCTTCCGTGGAGTACAGCGGATACCTCATGGATGAAATTAGGCACCTGATTCCATATAGACATAGTTTAAAGTTTTAATCCAAGATGTCTTAAGTAAAAAAAAAACCTGCAATGTTTGCGTACAGCACCAGGTGCATCAGCAAGAGTTGAAAATAGTGGAAAGAAAATAGTGATAGTTTGCCTGCGTATCGCCTATAACATTTCCAATACCAATTGGTCCATACTTGAGAAATAGAAGCAGTAATTTTGACTGCGGTTAAATAAGCAACTGTAGTAATGGCAGTCATCTTCTACAAAAATTATATAGGGTTTTTCCTCCATTGCAGCATCGTTATAAGGTTGTAATGGCGCCGGCGACCATTACAACCTTATAACGATCCTACCAGGTGGCTATAAACGCCGCAGCGGTTTCCAGTAATAAACTTGAACATGTACAGTCAGATTATGTTTAATATTTGCTTCATTTTGATCTTAGAGGATTCATCAAGTCATCATCACATACTTTAAGTAGTAGCACAGAATACACAATAGAGTAGCTTTAAGCTAAGTGGTAAAATATTATACGAGGTCGAAGGTGCAAAAAAAGCTACGAAACTATGTACCCAAGGAATAAATGTAGATAGATGTATTGAAATCTCACATAGCCATAACTCAATGATGACCCAGACCAAGACACACCCCAACTAGGGTTAGTGTGCATTAATTGTATTTAATTATGTGCTGCCAGGCATTCTTTAAGATCATCGGCAACAATAGGCAGTAAAAGATCGACAGAAACCGCATGAACTATTTATATTTATATAGGTAGTTTGTAATTACCCTGCTTGATGACCTTTGATAGACTCTTATAATATGATAGAAAAAAATATTGAGTTATCTGCTCCTACGTTTTTATGCATATCTAATGGTACATCAGCCGTAAAGGGGTTATTACTTTGTCAATAATCAATCGATTATTGCAACACAAATTATTTTTAATGGGGCAATGGTTGGAGTAGCGTCAACACACGACTGATACTTATATATTGCAAGCGTCTTCCCTTCAGGCCATATTATATGACATGGTGGTTTCTTACTATGAGACTGACTTTACGTTTGTTTGCCACTCCTCATAATAACAAATATAAGTAAGTACCTACTGATATGCATAATCTTTGTCTACTGAAAATATATTAATTAGATGATTTACCCTTCCAAGGGCTAAATAATAAAATTATCTGTAGCAAATGAGAATATTTCTCGAAAGTAAAAGAAATTAACCTTTCCATTACTTCTACAACAGGCAATGAGCAATCATTCTTCTGGTCACATGTTGATCACAAAAGCGAACCCGACGCCCGAGCTAACAACTTATGGCATCAAACTAGGTTGGATTCAGGTAAAATCAATAAAATATAAACTCAGACCTGGAATGTTAATAACATCAGGCACATCACAGGTTTTATAATGAACAGAAAAATCTGCTTTTTTGAATGAATGGTGCAATGATATTTATATCGTTGGAATGGTGTTAAAACAATAAAAGTACGTAAGTTTAAGTAATTAAGTTTTAATCTAAAGAAAAGTTTACTAGAAAAAAAACCACGCGGACCAGGCAGCAGACTCGAACCCGCACCCTTTGCTATCTGGACGAATGCACTGACCATTATGCTACCGCGGCCCTGACGGCCGTGTCGATTTTTTCTCCAGCCTTAGGCTGCAAGGCAGCACCATCTCTTCGCATTGTAGTTAACCCACACTGTCAAATTAATACTTTTACAAGTATTATATTTTAAAGAAGAAATAGCAATTTTAGTTCTTTTTTTTAAGCCTTCAACTGCTAGATGTTTCAATCTAAAGAAAAGTTTACTAGAAAACAAATCCACGCGGACCTAATTAAGTTTTGTCTAAAAGCAAAGGCGAATAACACCAAAAAAATATAATGTCTATCCTCATATTCGTATTACCATCAGGGCGTGTTGATTCCTTGCCTGCTGAACATCTGGGGTGTGATGCTGTTCCTGCGCATCGCTTGGATTGTGGCTCAGGCCGGCATGGGGCTCACCATAGTTATCATTTCCATTGCCAGCATGGTGTGCGTCATCACCACTCTATCACTCAGCGCTATTTGCACCAATGGTGTGGTGCAAGGAGGTACTATAAATTTTTAAGTCACATAGATTTTTGAAATGTAGGGGAAAACCGGGAGACTTGCCCAGGTGGGAGAGTTGAACCATCTTTCAAAATTATATTTAAATTTTGCGTAAACAAAACGTCAATTCGTTCATTAATCGTTGTCGTTCATTCGTAGCTCTATAACTTATCTGTGTTATAGTGAAAACCGTATACGAAAATACGTCTTAGAACAGAAGTTATAAGGAAGAGAGTCGAGAGCATCGTATGAGGCTACCGGGCGAGCATCATATGATGCTAGCGGTCGTTGACGGTTTGTAAGCGCGCGCATCATATGATGCTTACGGCGTTTAGGACACGCGAGACGCCAATCGCAACAAAATAGTCTCGCATGTGACCAATGAACGAATTGACGTTTTGATTTAAATACAATTTTGAAAGATGTTACAATTCTCCCACCTGTTCGAGTCTCCCGGTTTTCCCCACCTTGACCACAAATATCTCTTTTTCCATACTCTATCTTGCTTTTCTCTTCCTTATAGGTGGAGTGTACTACCTGGTGTCGCGAAGTCTTGGTGCGGAGCTTGGAGCGTCCGTGGGCATCATATTCGCGTTCGCAAACGCGGTAGCCGCAAGCATGAATACCATAGGTACGTATTACCTACATCTGAGGGAAAAGGATAAGGCTTCAAACAGCGTGGTCTAAGAAACCTTATATACCTACTCTGCCTGGCAATACTTAAGTATACTGAGCATTGTTCGTCTGCCTGAATGTATTCTATAGACATATGTATATTCTTCTTCTTCAGTGTCTATATCTATTTTTTTATTTGTACCTTAATTTTGTTTGTATTTCAATTTTTTACTTAAATATGTATAATGCAACTAATCCATGTGATGAATTTGATCAAATCAAAAGATTTTTTCTGAAATATGATTAAAATGGTTAACCGTTTTATCATTTGCCGAGATTACATGAATTCACTCTCTTTAATATCACTAGTTTTACCATTTCCCTGTGACATATTATCAAATGAATATACGTAGGTTTTTGCGAATCACTGAACGAGCTGCTCAAGTCGCACGGCTTCAAAATTCTCGGCAACGGCATTGACGACACCCGCATCGTGGGCGCCATAGCTCTTTTCGTAATGTGCTTCATCTGCGCTATCGGTATGGACTGGGAGTCCAGGGCTCAGGTTCATTGCACATTTTCTTACACTTAATTTGAGTTTTAAGTAAACTTTAATTTCATGATAATGTTCAAAGAAGTATAGGGTTGTTGCTACTTCGTGGATTGTAACCTCTTGCGTTACAATATTTCTCCCTTGATTAGACTCAATAGTTTCTTTTATCTTGTAATGATATCAGCAAGCCTTCAATTGGTTGTCGTCTAATATATTTTTTTTTTACTTTTAAGAAATTATTCGATTCTATTCACTAAGTTATAAACATAGTACTTGTTTGTTTTAGAACTTCCTGATTATAATTATTGTGTTCGCAATCATTAATTATATAATAGGAGCTTTTATGGGACCGTCTTCTGATTCAGAAAAGGCACATGGATTTTCCGGCATAAATAGTAAGTACCTAACTACCTTTTTAGTTAATGTTGATGTTTTCGCCCGAATATTGTACTGCTACTATATGTAAATCATATGTTTACTGAATAAGTATTTTACCATTATATTTCAGAGTACACCTTTCAACAAAATTGGCTACCCGATTTTCGTTACAGCGAAAGCCAGAACCATAATTTGATCAGTGTTTTCGCTATATATTTTCCGGCCGTCACTGGCGTTCAAGCTGGCGCTAACATATGCGGGGATCTTAAAGTAAAAACAACATTTTCTTCTAAGAATAAATTGAAAAATATGATTTTAGGCTTTATTTAGGTATTTATTATCTTATAGCATAATCATAGCGCATAAAATATTTTGCATTTTTTAGATCAATCTGCTCCAGTTGCAATTTTTATTATCATTATCATCAACCTATTAATGTTGCCCTGCTGAGGCATAGGCTTTTCCTATGGATCGAACAGAGAGATGATCCAGTACTCATGGTGAGTGCTAACGACTGCAGCTGCAACCGCGGGACCAACGGCTTAATATGCCTTCCGAACCACAAAGGAGCTCAAGATAATAAGTTTTTGGTCACCCATCCAATGACCGACCATTGCGAAAGTTGCTTAACTTCTATGATTGCAGACCGAAGTGCTAACCACCTGCGCCATCAAGCTCCACAATTGCAATTTTACCAAAAGTAATAATTTGATAGGTATTCATATTCAACCATTCCAGAACCCAGCAACGGCAATTCCTAAAGGCACGCTGACAGCCCTGGTGATTTCCGTCAGCAGCTACGTGGTGATGGCGACGCTGGCCGGCGCGAGCGCGGAACGGGACGCCTCGGGCAACGTGTCGGACTTCTTCAACGGAACACTGGCCGCCTGCAAACCTGACTGCGCGTATGGCCTGCACAACAGCTATGAGGTGTTAAGATCCCTATTGAACCATGGAAAAAGAGAATTGGGTTACAACGATATTAAATACCCGAGACACAACAACACGAACAAAATCGTGGCCGAAACCTGTCCAAAAGGTACATTGGACGATCGCATTGTCAAAAACAATATAAGGCATTATTTAAACATTGAAAATCACCTTTAATGCATACTGTATAAGGTATTAAAACGGTCCCCGCGTGCCTATGAACCAAGAAGTGCTTTAGTGGAGTTCAAGCACTTCTTGATTGGGACACATTTGAAGTGCACATGGTGTATCTAGGGTATTTAATATCGTTGGTGGATTATCGTTAATCGAAAATGAAACCTCAACATTTATTTTCGGATTATACGAATATTTCATGAAGTTCAATTTAGACGACTTTTTGTGCCATTACTTTAGCTTGTTATCTTATCATCGCGTCCTAAGCAGTGCAGGAAAGTGGTAAAAGCAACTGAGCGTAATTTCGAAAGCCACCAACCAACTTAATTGTAAAAAAAAAGTTCAACCTCAAATATATACTTAACACTTACGTTATCTTTCAAATAACGTACCAGAAAAGTGGGCATTGTTATCTTTTGTGCAGTTCTATTTTTCCTATCTCCTCGCTTCGGTTTCCTCAATGCTGAAGGCCGTGACCACCTCCTCGCAGTGAAAGTTTGTTGCTTGACGCCATCCGTCTCGATCTGCCGCAGAGTGTAAAAGATTGTGAACTGTGAACACTTTGCCTTATATTCACGACATAATTCCAGATAATGCATTTGATTGCGTTATGGAGTCCACTGATTTACGGCGGATGCTGGGCGGCGACGCTGTCGACGGCGCTGACTAACCTGCTGTCGGTGCCGCGGCTCATTCAGGCGCTGGGCGTCGACCGCATCTACCCCGGACTCATATTCTTCTCCAAGCCCTACGGCCGCCACGGCGAGCCCTACAGGGGATACGTGCTCACATTTTGTATTTCCTTGCTTTTTCTACTCATTGGTACGATAATACAAAACTGAAAATTTAGACTAAGAACTCACGGAGCGTTTTTTTCCGCACCCGCCGCGGCCGTAGAGCGATTTTATGCGATGCTGCAGCTGCCGCGGTTCCGAGATCGGTTGGAATCCGCCGCATCTGCGGGAGATCGCGTCCCGCGCGTGCCTGCAGCGGGTGCCGCATACATCCGCGAACTCTGCGGACGCAAATTGCGCCGTGAGTTTTGCTTTTACGTTTTATTTACAATTCCACATTGTATGCGAGTTGCGGTCCCACAGTGGGAGAAAATCCCGACGTGAGTTCTTAGCCAAGGCATTTGCTGACTTGCCATCCTTTCCAACTTAAAAAATATAACCTCATGAATTACGAATATAGAACTCCTAGATTAAGAAACCACATTCGGAATGTAATAAAATATTATCTACGAAACATAATAATATGTTTCGTGAAAGCTCGTTTTATATTATAACATGAACAGACACTTTCTTTACTTTATTTACTTGCCCGATTTATTTTAAATCGTATTTAAAAAATTAACAATTTTGTGAGAATGCTGGCTACCCTGTTATAAGTTACGTCATATTTTTAGTGTGTGGCAGCTTATAACGATAATGTCAGTGGTGAACTTAGTATACCAATTTATTATTGATTCTTCGTGAAATAAAATGTGTACGCCCAAAATACCTAATAATGGATGAATTCTGGTATGATTCTCTAAACTTAAAACTAAATTTCACGTCAGTCTCTCCTATTCATTCTGTTAAGAAATTGACAAGGAACCACTATTGTCAAATTTAAGTTTAGTTTTAGATAATCATACCAGAATCGACACCAATGTAATGAAAGGTATACAGAATAATTACACTGCTTTAGTTACCTATTAAATTGAATATATTTGATGCTTTGGCAACAAAAAATAGATAAATAAGTATGGTATATGAAAATCAAAAATTATATAATATCATATTATAATAAAATTATCTGAAAAAACCGAGATGAAATAAATTCTAGTTTTTTGGTAAACAATTTACAATTAAGTGCACTACTTCTCATAAAAAATTCGAGTCTGTCAGAGACTTACTACCGCTCCCCCTACAAATTTGAACCGTCTCCTTTATTTTGACGTTTCCCAGCGGACTTGAATACGATTGCACCGCTGATAACCAACTTCTACCTGGCATCGTATGCCCTCATCAACTTTTGCACTTTCCACGCTGGTTTCACCAAGGCAATTAGTTGGCGTCCCACTTTCCGGGTTAGTACCTTAGTTTATCAAATGTCCGTAATTACATGTAACTAATTCATTTCATTCAACAAAAACGGAACTCGGAAGAATTAGAATTGCCTTGAACAGTTTTTGTTAACAAAGAATTTCTCGGAATTCTTTTTCTAAACGATTTTTTCATTCCCTACGTCTCCATTACGAAAATATCGTTGTTTCTCATAAGGAACGCGATTTGTGTTATCACTCGGTTATCTTAAATTAGTTGCCCGCCCTCGCTTCGTTTCGGTGTAAAGCTGTAGTGTAGACTATAGTTTTTGTTCAATACACAAAAACTTTCTTCATAATAATTATAAATCTTCCATTCCTAGTCAAAAATTTATTGCGTAGTTTTGGACCCGTTGTAGCGAAAGCACCATTGCTCTGCTGCTCCGATTTGAAAAAATATTTTTGTATTGGATAGTGTTTTTATCTATATAACATCAGGCTACAATCAGTAAGTGCGGAGCATCGATGAAAAATGTTGCAAAAACGGGTAAAAATATTCCATTTGTGAGATTCTGTTACGTACGCTGGGTTAAACGGTTAGTTACACAAACAAGGGCGTCGCCAGCTTATGACTAATGGGGCAATATAATAGGTAAGGAAGTCAAGTGCTCGCACTTTGGTCGTTTTGCGGCTAGCTACATATTTTGATCTCTAGCTCCAACGGCGACGCTTGACGACGCCCTTGTAAACAAAAATCATATATAACGGAGTTGTTCCCTTTTAAAAGTTCTGTAAAAAAGTCCGCTTTTTCTTCAAATTAACGCGTCTGAAACAGCAGGGGACCTCCGTTGTGACATAACTGTGATATGCATATGGTATCGCAGACTTTTTTTTTTAGATAATATGTTCTCTATAAAACTTCAGTACATTACTTTGCTCTATTGTCAATAACTTCCGCAGCGTACGCGATATAAGGTTATTTTTTACACACGTTGGGTTACATTGCCGAAGTTTTCATACGGAACCCAAACTTTTTTGAAAATACACTGTAGCCTATGTTCATCACGGATAATGAAAGATTGTAAATGTGCAAGAATTTTTCGAATTGGTCCAGTAGTTTCGGAGCCTATTCAATACAAACAAACAAACAATCAAATCTTTCCTGTTGATACGCTGCCATTATCTATTAGTATAGGTAATGGCAGCGTATCAACGAAAAATTAAATGATACTAGTATATTTATATATCTTTTCCCCAAATCATTGTCACAAATTCACAAATCGCTATTAGGCGGCAATAAGTAATATTTCGGGTTGCATTGCATATAATATAACACGTTTACAGTCCGTCACCGGAAATAGGTAGGTAGGTAGATACTAGGTAGGTAGGACTTCTGCGTGCTACAGTTGTTGCATTGCATAATTAAATTTTCTCTAGTTTCCAACATGTTTTAATAGTCAGAACAAATTATGCAACAGTGAATTGTGTTTTATTTGGAGCACCCCTTGAGTAATACTTTGATATCTTATTATATAGTTATTTTTCCTTTTGACGTGACAACGTCTTAAATTAGGTTGCGGCTGGGAGTCACTTATGAAAAAGTGTAACGCTCGGTAACGTTACGATGAGTCTCTCGTGTTAAGTTTAAGTTTACATGTACAATGTTTTAGTAAACAAAATATATTTCTATAGTTAAAATTTGTGCAATTCTTATTTTCATTCAATTCCTTGTTCCTATTGTGCAATTTAATTATATTCATATCAATAAATATTCTACCGAGAAAAAGACGTTGTCACGTAAAATCTTCGCCCGTAAAACCGACTTTACAGGCAACCATTTTTTTACAGTATTACAATACTTGGTTGTCGCTGTTTGGATTCATCATCTGCATAGTGATCATGATCCTTATGAGCTGGTTGATGGCACTGATTACGGTTTTGGTTTTCTTCACGCTTTATCTGTTGGTGGTGTACAGGAAACCTGGTAAAATAAATGTTATAAATTGTAACTTGCTTTATTGTTTAAGTATTAGGAAGTATTGATAGCCAGCCTTCCACTTTTGAAAGCGATTCTTCACTCGCTCTCGAATTTTGATATTCTATGCGTCCGTTGCCACGCCAATAGTCTGTCTGACGCGACGTTTTAGATGCTTCGACAAGGTTTTAAATCAAAAATCCTGTCTGGAGTGGTTTATTTAGTAAAATTTCCTTAAGAACCAAATAAGCTATTTAAAAGTAGTGTCACGTTTGTCGAGACGCCCGTTGGGGCAGCAGCACGGACGCGTACAAGTATCGCGAGGCGGTGTCGGCGCTGCTGGCGATGTCCGCGCGCGCGGGCCACGTGAAGGAGTACAGCCCGCGGCCGCTGGTGCTGTGCGGCGCGCCCGCAGCCCGCCGCGCACTGCTCGACCTGGCGGCCATGCTCACCGCAGACGGCTCCTTCATGATCGCGGCCAACATTACCGATGTGAGTCCGCGTTATTACATTCCTTCACTCATAAGCCACGTAAAGAAGCACACACTGTTCGACCTGATGACGTTGCTCACCGCTGCTGAAATGTTAGATAGACAGCTTAGAATAATAACGCCTAGAATCCTAGTACGCGCACAAAAAAGGCGCAACTCAAAGTGAGCAAGATATGGCTTAGTTCTTTCCGCGACCTTAGGAGCGTCGTCGTGGCGAACAATACTCGCAAAAAAAATGATAGTTTTTACTATTTGAGAATAGTTTTTACACATATGAAGAACAAAATAAAGTGAGAGTGCATTTCACACAAGGAAATGAATTCGGTACGCTTTTGCACGCTTGTTTTCGTTAAGGCACGGCTTCTAGGCGTTATTATTATAAGATAGACAGATTTAAATTTTACAGTATGTTTGCGACTAAACCTTATGACAAATATTAATAAAATTTGTAAATATAAAAGTTACATTTTGTAAGAAACCCTTCGTGTGCGAGCCCGACTTACGACCGAAATTAGGTAATTTAAAATTATACGATAATTATTATTCTTGTTGCAGGATACTTTGTCAAACGATGACTCTCTTAAGCAGAGACATAAAATGGTAGAATGGTTACACTCCCACAGATATCGAGCGTTCTATCTGTGCATAGAAGGCATGAATTTGGAAAATGGTGCCCGAACACTGATGCAATGCGCTGGTTTGGGTCGATTTTCGCCCAATATTGTCCTCCTTGGTTACAAGACCGACTGGTGTGAAAGCCCCGGACAGGATTTAGTATCTTACGTTGAAATAATAAGGTTAATAGAAAATAAGATTGAAATCAAGAGTAAGTTTCACCAAAACCATCATATGAGCTTATTATGTACTCACTGCTGCGACACAGAGGCTTTCCTTACTGATGTGATAAGGAGAAGGGGCCACGACCTACTATGCTTACCCATGCGGATTCGTAAGTGCTGACGACACGGCAAATGCAGCCGAAATCAACGGCTTTAGGTGCCTTCGATAGCACAGAGTAGCTCCAGATAATATGACGATGACTTACTACTTAGACGAGGAGTTTCTTAACTTCCACGATCGCAGATCGAACGCGTTAGCCATTGTGCCATCGAGCTCCTCCAAGCATTTGTCGGTTATTAATTTAGATTTTTAGGTCCTACATATTCCCCATAGAAATACAGTATTGGTTTCTCCAAAAGATGCGTGAAGAAATTTGTAATGGGTCGGCAGAGCGCAAATACAGGCAAAATATAGACCACGGTGCCGTTTACCATTAGGTGGACCGTGTGCTGGTTTGCCTTCCATCTATACTAATATTATGTAGAGAAAAGATTTTTATGTATGAAAAGACTAAGTACAAAAACTGCTGCACCGATTCCAATCATTCTTCCACCATTATTTGAATGCTACATTATCTTTGAGTAAGATAAGGTACCAATGACCGACAGGAGCCGTGATCGACATTTTTTCATGTTACCATGTTGTTGTTGTTACCATTTTTAGTGATCGGTTGCCTATTCTTATTTTCATTGATCACGGAAGGGAATTCGAAACGAAGTCTGACGGAAGTCGATCATTCGTTCTTGTCGAAAATTGATGCCACTATCTTAGGCTATTTTTTATTGCGTTAAAATTAAATTAGTGGCGAAATTTATTTATTTTAAAGCTGGGGCTGATCGCTAGTGTAATGAAAACAAGCTAATACAATCTATTAGGTTGGCATTCGAACGACAGTTTGCAGTGTGCATATTCCGTATGCCGCGCCACTTGCGTGAGTGGCCGGCCGCGGCGTCGGCGCAGGCGGAATCGCGTGACGCGGCGGAGGCGCGCGCCGTGTTCGCCGTCATGCACTCCAGCTCGGACTTCCAACTGGACGAAGCTGGTAGGATAATTCAATCATTTGAGATTATTGCACATTGATACCTTTGGTTTCATTTTTATGTTTATGCAGGCAAACGAGCTGACAATCCACCTGATGTTAAGTGGTCAATGCCTCCCATGAACACTTGCAGCACCAAGGGTTCCACTCAGGGTGTCCGGTTTTGAAGGAAAAGGTTCACCCGTCTTTTGAAGACCGTCATACAATAGCTAAAGAGGAAAACCGCTAAGGGAAGTTCGTTATAGATCTTGCTAATACGTACGCAAGATAATGGAACTTCTCAGAAATGAAATCATACGCTCTCTCGTTCTGATACATCATCACACTACATTAAATTAATATAACGGGGAAGCCTAAAAAGCCTTTTGAGAGTAAATTTGAGATTTCAAAAACCTCAGTGGTCTAAGTTTATGTGTTTAGGAAACAGGAGAAAAAGATTTCTCATTTTGATGAACCTTAATAGGGCCTAATCTTTATATAGGCTATCCATTATAGCTACTATTCATTCATTTTATTAGATAATTTTATTTAAACATAGGTTTATACATAGTATAGGATACATAAGAATATATGGGAATGACTGCCGGCGGAGGCGGCCTTCCCTTTTCTTGAGGAACGCAGGCGCGAAGAAACGAAACACAGAACTTCGTAGAATATATTTAATGTATGCACATTCACAATACAAGATTGAGTTACGTATTTTAGGTACATAGTATGAACAGTTACTACGCGACACGTCTGTACCGAAGAGTCGCGCCTGAGCAAGAGAGATCGCTGTGGCGTTCTATTGCCAACCACCCGATCATTGCGGCGTGGTTGCCAACATAACGAAAATATCGTGGCGTTCGGAAACGCCACACCACCCCCCCACGGAGTAGGATAAATTGCAAAAATAAAACAGCTTAATTACACTACGTATGGTAAAGGAACAATTACTATGTAAACACTAAAAGTAGAAATAGTCAATTTGGTCTTTAAATTTGACTTGCCGGCCGGACCGTGTGGTCACTGTCTGTTTGTCTGGTAGAGGGACTATATCAGAGGGAGGGATGATTGGTTGGGTTGGGACAGGGTTCTGAGCTGAGGGGCTTGCAGGTGTGATAGTTTGTTGAGCTATCGGCAAAGTAGCGTCCTGATCAATGTAGGCCGGTTTTATGCGGTCGACGCTTACCACAACCTGTTTGCCCTTGATATCAAGGGTGAGGTTTTTCCATCTCTGGATCGGTCTACTATGGCGAAAGGACCTGTGTAGGTTGCACAACCTGTTTGCCCTTGATATCAAGGGTGAAGTTTTTCCATCTCTGGATCGGTCTACTATGGCGAAAGGACCTGTGTAGGGAGGTTGTAATGGACGTCGAACGGTATCGTCGCGCAAAAATGCGTGGGATGCAGTGGAGAGATCCTTAAAGACAAAGGTTGCTTGCTTGTTGTGGTGTGAAGCAGGTACCGGTCGTATCTCGGCCATACTTCGTCGTAGTCGCGTTACATAATCTGCTGGATCATCAGATGTTTCTGTGCCGGGTGGAGGGGTCAGCAAGCATCTCACCGGGTAAGCGTAGAGGTTCGCCGTAGAGCATCTCCGCTGTGGAAGTTTTCAAGTCCTCTTTGAAGGTGGAACGCATTCCGAGCAGGACGAGGGGAACTGATGAGAGCCAAGAGTCACTGCGACACATGAGGGCCGCTTTTAATTGGCGATGGACACGTTCGATCATGCCGTTAGCACACGGGTGATAGCTTGTAGTTCTGGTACGTTTCACTGCACAGTGGTGTAGGAGTCGGTTGAAAAGATCGGACTCAAATTGACGCCCTTGATCTGTGGTGATGTTGCAGAGAACCCCAAAACGAGAAATCCAACCCTGCATGAAAGTGTCGGCAACCTCTTCAGCAGTTATGCCAACCATCGGCCAAACCTCCGGCCAGCGGGTGTAACGGTCGATGGCAGTTAAACAGTAAGAGTAGCCTCTTTACATATCGGCAGAGGGCCGATGATGTCGATATGGACATGTTGCAAGCGGGCTGACGGATTGCTGAAGTGACCAGTATGCGAGACATTGTGCCTGGGACTTTACTTTTTTGGCAAGGTATGCAGGATTGTACCCATCTGTGACAGTCTTTTTGACTGAAGGCCAGACGAAGCGTTCAGACACCAAACGAGCGGTTGCCCGTGCGCCAGGGTGACTGAGGTTGTGCAGTTTTTGGAATATCGCACGTCGGAAGGACGGGGTGATATAGGGGCGTGGTCGTCCAGTGGACATGTCGCAGAGAAGGTCCAAGTCAGTTCCAGGTATTGGGATCTTTTCGATTTTTAGAGATGATTGGGGAACGATGTTGCGCAGCTCGTCATCGTGCTGCTGCGAGATGGCGAGTGCAGCAGAGTCTTCTTCCAGGGAGGTCATTTCAACGCGAGAGAGAGCGTCAGCGACTACGTTGTCTTCCCCTTTGATATAAACTACATCGGTGGTAAATTGGCTGACGAAACTAAGCTGGTTTAGTTAGACAGGCGGAAGTTTTTCACGACGCTGTTTGAATGCGAACAGGAGGGGCTTGTGGTTGTTGGGCTTCCAGGATGTGTCGAAAGTGCTGCACACTTTTATACACCGCCAGTAGCTCCCTATAATATGCAGGCCACTGAGATTGTCGTGGACTTAGCTTCTTGCTGAAAAAACCGAGTCGTTGCCAAGCATCACCAACACGTTGTTGAAGACAGGCACCGACATGGATGCTGGATGCATCTGTGAAGAGACCCAATGGAGCATTGCAGATGGGATGAGCAAGCAAGGTTGCCGTGGAAAGGCTCTCCTTGCACACTTCGAATGCTTTGTGCAGTTCGGGTGTCCATGGCACAGGTTTCGCACCTTTGCCGTTGATGCTGACAATAGCGTCGTTGAGGGGGGCCTGGACTTTCGCTGCCTGAGGAAGGAATCGACGGTAGTAATTAAGCATACCAAGAAAACGGCGTAACCCTTGTACGGTTTTCGGCGGTGGGAACTCCTTAATGGCCTGGATGCGTTCGGCGGGTGGTTGGGTACCTGCAGCGCTGATTTTGTAACCCAGGAAAGTAAGCCGGTGGACGCCGAGTGTACATTTTGCGGCGTTGAGTACTACGCCGTAGTTCTCAAAACGCTTGAAGATTTGGCGCAAATGTTCGGCGTGTTGTGCGGAATTCTGGGAGAAAACGAGAATGTCATCTACATAAGCAAAACAGAAGGTGAGACCGTGGAGCACTTTGTTAATGAAGCGTTGGAAGGTTTGGCCAGCATTGCGCAGACCAAACGACATGAAGGGAAACTCGAAGAGTCCGAATGGGGTGGTGATGGCCGTTTTGCACACATCCCTGGTGGCTACTGGTATTTGTTGGTAGGCCTTAACGAGGTCCAGCACGCTGAAGATGGTGCATCCCGAGAGTTGATGAGTGAAATCTGCAATGTGCGGGACAGGGTATCGATCCGGAATAGTTCGCGCGTTGAGCGTACGGTAGTCGCCACACGGTCGCCAAGTGCTGTCGTTTTTTACTGCCATCTGCAATGGAGAACTCCAGGGACTCTTGGATGGCTTAGCAGTGCCGCATTGCAGCATGGCCTCAAACTCTTTCTTCGCCGCGGAGAGTTTATGGGGCGCGAGGCGGCGTGGTCGACAGGAAACAGGTGGACCATCAGTGGTGAGGATATGATGCACAGTATCGTGTTTAGTGACTCTAGGTGTGCCTGGGGGCTGCATAATTTTGGGGAACTCCAACAGGATATGTCTAAATTTCGAGTCTTCTCCGATTACTGTTTTGACGCTTGGCTGGTCAACAGAAGATACAGCGGCTACACAAGAGAGCCCGGTCTTTCCATCGAGTAAACGCTTGCTGGTGCAGTCAGGAAGTAGATGGAAATAGGCGAGGAAATCGGATCCAATAATGGCTAATTCTACTTCCGCAACCACGAACTGCCATGTGAAGTCCCTTCGCAGTCCGAAATCCAATTTAAGGGTGATTAGACCGAAGGTCTTGATTGTGCTGCCATTTGCGGCGCTGAGCTCCCAGTCACAGGAAACCCTCTGATTAGGTAGCCAACGGTGTGGGTAACAACACAGATCGGAGCCTGTGTCGACGAGAAACTGGCGCTTGGAAGTAGTATCAGTCACAAAAAGGCGGCGGCCGGTGGAGTTGATTGAGCAGCAGTCCGTGTCCACCTTTACTGACTGCTGCTGTTCAGGTTTCCCTGAGCCGGTTTAAAATTACATGGTTGAATACACTTTATCGCTTGGGTACCAAACTTGCTGTGGTACCAGCAAAGTCTGGATGTGCTTTCGGCTGGTGTGGAACTGCGGGCCCTCCAGTTCGGAGAAAAACTGCGGCCCCTGAACCGGCCTCGCTGCCGGTTACTAGAAGTGAGGGCTGCAACTTGCTTCGAAAGCCGGTCAACACACTCCGCAAGCGAGGTGAGAGTAAGGGTAGAGCAGTGTTCATTCACGCTGGCCACATGATGGGGAGGAGAAGTAGGCAGCTCCATGATTCTATCCGCGAGCTCCGCGACTTTGTCTAAGTTGAGGTCAGCTTGAGCAGCGAGGATCGCTTGTACATGGTTGGGCAGACGACGCAACCAGAGCTGGCGAAGTATGTTTATATCCTTGGTTAAGGTGCCAGCAAGGGACCTAAGGTGTCTGAGGAATGCGGATGGCTTGCGGTTTCCAAGCTCCTCATCACTAAGGAGACGGTGTAATCGCTGCTCCTCTGACGCTGTAAGTCAGCGAATGAGTTCCTCCTTGCGTTTGTTGTAGGCTCCTGTAGCAGATGGATTGAGTATCTTCGACTTCTCCAATCATGCGTTGATCGATAACAGACAACACGTGATTAAATTTGGTTTGCTCTGTGTTGGTAATCCCAGCCAGGTGGAATTAATAAATTATTAATAATGATTAATTATTATTTATAATAATATTTTAATTAATTATTAAATTAATTAACAGAATGGAGGTAGCTTTACTGATACTTTGGACACACAAAGTGGTTTCGCTTCGTGTTGGGCAGCAACGTCGGCCATCAAGGCTGCGTTTTGCTCGAGTTGGTTTAAACGAGCTCGAAGAATTTGGATGTCTTCGTCCATTATTACCTACTGCTGTGTTATTAATTATATTATTTATATAAAAAGGAACAGAAAGAAACAATAATAAAAAATAATAAAATCCTTCTCCGTAGTGAGTGGTTATGCAAAAAAAAAATATGTAATACTTGTTAAATGTGCAAGTAGGTATTGGTTAAATTACATAGAAATTGTCATAACCTAAGTTTAAATAGGCAGTTTGATAAGTTTTTTTTTATACCTCATAATTATTTACAACTTAAAAATTACAAAAGATAGTAAACAATAAAAAAATTTAAATTATGCACACCACAAAAAAACTACAAGGCTACACCATTGGTCAATGCGTTAACAAAGATAAAATGATATCTAAAAAAATACCTACTTATTAAAAATATATTGGTAAGTCGTGGAAAAAATCAATCAATGGCCTTAGTTGCAATATTAGTTTAAAATGGAAAATACACAGCAACAATTAGTAAATAATAAATTGTTTAAAATAAAAATTGCTAGCATGTATTTCGGTTATACAAAATATATTGGAATGAAATGTGACAGACAAAAAAAATCGCTTACTTGATGATATCTAACTTAATTAGCTTAGGCAAGAATATTATAATCTTATGAAATAACAAATTACGTCTTTTTAAAAAAAATATATTAGATCTTGTAAAATATAAATCTGACTATTGAATATGTTAAGTAAGTTTAAAAACTAACTCAGTACCATGAAAAGTAAACATTAGTTGAATAAACGTAAATTAGTAGATTAAGTTGCAGTAGAATGTTAAATGATCTTGATGCATAAAATAAGAAATAAAAGTCTATAGATACCTGTTTTGCTAGTGTTTGGCAAACCTTGTTGGTCGCTCTATTCCTTGAATCACTAATGACACTGTCACTTAGGTCTATTTTATCTCCTATGTCGTACGTCACGGCACGGAATTTGCGGTGAGTGGAACCGAATAAGTCACAGCACTTCACAGCAGTAATGCAAAGAAGAAAAAAAATAGCGGGCGTTAGTTGAAAGCTTGGATTAATGATAGTTTTGAAATGGAATCGATATTTTTTGTTCGATATATCAATATTTTTTGCCGATATATTTTGATTCGATATATCGATACAAAATAACCAATATCGAAATTCGTATCAAAAACGATATTTTTTTAATTATTAGCGGCATATCACGATCTAACTAAATTCGTATCTGGAAAAATCGTAACTGGATCTCAGATTAATGATATACAACATATCTATGATCTGTGCGGTATTTAGTATTGTCTATGTCATCATTCGAAAATAGGGTCTATTTTTAGGGAGATAATTTTCGTTCCATTATTATTCCGCGTGTCATATTTCGTGAGCGATATATTTGGGAAAATTGGTCCGATATATCGATATATCGATGTTTTTTTCGCGATATATCGAAGCCGATATTGATATTTTTTAAAATATCGATGTATCGATATATCGATATCTTTTTCAACTTTCGACATCCCTAGTTCACCGGGTCGTTGGGAGTCGCTCGACTTTCAGGAAACGTTATGAGGTCTCGTTGCGTTGTTTGCAGTTGCGGACGCTGTTCATAGGTAGGCAGTACCTACGAGCGAGCGTGGCGTAATTGTCTATCGTCGTTCGTTGTGGTGCGCGTCGAAGCAAAAATGGCGGCGTGTTGCGATGATGAAAAACGCGTTCGGTTTTCTATCGGAGTCACCAATATGGGAATGACTGCCGGCGGAGGCGGCCTTCCCTTTTCTTGAGGAACGCAGGCACGAAGAAACGAAACACAGAACTTCGTAGAATATATTTAATGTATGCACATTCACAATACAAGATTCAGTTACGTAATTTAGGTACATAGTATGAACAGTTACTACGCGACACGTCTGTACCGAAGAGTCGCGCCTGAGCAAGAGAGATCGCTGTCGCGTTCTATTGCCAACCACCCGATCATTGCGGCGTGGTTGCCAACATAACGAAAATATCGTGGCGTTCGGAAACGCCACAAATATATCTTTCTTATCTTTTCAGAGAGCCGAGAAAAACTATTGAAAATAACAATGCCGAGACATGAACTCGCTGAATCAGACATTCACCATATCGTAAAATATCCCAGGCCCCAAAAGTCTTACCTGAAAATGGCTTTTCACGTTGATCATGTACAGTATAAAAACTTCTTATTCACGCTTTTACTATTCGCAGATTAAATTCCTATATACTTAGTAAAAAAAACGGCTATATCTAATCGAAATAAAAAGGATTCAGTACTCTTTGTTAACCCGTTGACAGAGTAATTATAAAAGTAAAATAGATCTTGTTATAAGCCTAAAGTTTGTGTCTAATTCTATGGCCGTATACAGAAAGAAAGCCGAAAGCCGATCGGCGCCGATCGGCGCTTATCGGCGTCTATTGGCGCTGATCTTTTTTCTATGGACCGGCGCCGATCGGCGCCGATAAGCGCCGACACGCGCTGGTCCGAATAATAAATAATTTGTATTTGAATTATTATCCTTACATTAAATCAATCTAAGTTATAATCTTTTTATAAATCTAACAACTTTATCTTTTATTAACTAAGCGCTAAAATTATTTGTTTCGTACTTACCGAATGGTGACAACAAGTCTTTCTTCTGGAAGGATTGGTTGTTTATGCCAATTGCCCCAATTTTTCGTCAAACGGTTTTTCACTAAATCCAAAATGTAATAAAATGTTTCTTGAATCATTCTTGTATATGTATAAAATCTTTGTTCATCAAATTTATTTTTTTTTACAAATAAATGATGGTATTCTCCGAAACGTTTCCTTTCTCTATTTATAGGATGTATAGCTGTTTTTCGCATTTTTAAATAAACATTTTCTAACAAAACCAAATCATCGTCCGATGAGTCCGACATTTTGCTTGATCTGCTTTAATCGGCTTCCTTTATATAGGAAGGATCGGCGCCGATAAGCGCCGATCGGCGCCGATCGGCTTTCGGCTTTCTTTGGGTGCGGCCAGAGTGCACTCAGATTCAGATTCAGATTCAGATTTCGAAAACAAGCGCGAGAAATAAACAGTGTAGTCGAAGGGTACGGCCAGATTGCACTCCTGATTCAGATTCAGATTCAGACTCAGAAAACAAAGCGCGAGAAAAAGCAGGCAACCTGCTTAGACTACACTGTTTATTTCTCGCGCTTGTTTTCGAAATCTGAATCTGAGTCTGAATCTGAGTGCACTCTGGCCGCACCCTTTCTGTATACGGCCTATCGCCTTTCCCTTTGATATGAACCGCCTTCGCTTCGGTAGGTGTTTTTGAGACTGTAAATAAACAGAATAATGTTTAAAAATAAAACAATCTTATTAATCTATGCCTAAAGTAGGTATATTATTAAATACTACCACCATAAATTTATTAAACATTGTGATCGGGTAACACGTCTCTTCCGCTGTGTTCCTAATTTTTAATGTCGACTAAAAAAAGAAAAAAATGTCCGACGCGAAAACAGGGCTACAGCTTAAAGTAAAAGTACTTTAAGCCCTTGCCAAAGACTGAGTAAAATTTTATCAATATTGTGAAAAACTTCCATTAAATTGATTATTTAAAAATATTGTTTCTTTTTTTGCCACCTAGGAACGTATCCCCGTAATCCAATATAAATTACCAATCCATATTCATGGTTTCTGTATTCGCGGCATATTTATGGAACATAAGAAGCTTTTACTGTATGCGATTAGCGCATAATTTTAATCGGTTTCGTGATAGAATATAACTAATTATTAGAATGCATTTCAGACCAGCAACGTTGATACGTGGTGGTTGTACGACGATGGAGGTCTCAATATATTATTGCCTTATGTTTTAACAAATCGTGTTGTCAAAGAAAAATTACCCCTAAGAATATTTGCACTACCAAAACAAAATTGTAAATTGGAAGAGTCACAGAAAAGGTAAATATTGTATTTTATTTGAAGGATTTTCAGAATACTGTCCTACTGGACTGCAGGGTAATTATATTACGACCGTGTGTACTGTAGGACATAGGTAGGACACACCCTAAAGGCATAGCAAGGAAGACATTTTCCTGATGATAACAGTGCGGTACCTAAACCACAAGCGGCGCGGTCACTTACTTATGTTTTTAATTACTGACTATTCAAAATATAAAATAATGGAATGGTATTAAGTATTTCATATTATGTAACTTAAGAATATCGAAAACGACTTCTGTACAACTACGATACTACTACATACTTACTAATTAGCTGCTGTTGAGCACGATGCAGGTACACAGAAAACAAACCTGACAGAAGCCACTACCCCACCACGTTCTAGCCACTCAGCTATCGAGTACTATGAGGAGAGTTGAATGCGAAAATATAATGTCAGCACTTCACATGGCTATTCGTATTTGTCATTTTACAGCAGGTTTTCCTTATCATACTTTAAAGGGAGTGAAAGGGAAAGTCTGTTATCAAGTTAAATAAAACACAAATAGCAAATACAAATAGCCATGTGAAGAGCCTAACCTAACCTAACCCTGTTTTTGATTAACCAATAAATTTAATATCTCTCAACAGCATTGAAACGCTGCTTGCCATGTATCGAATAGATTATTCTCAACTTAAATTAGTAAACGGCCTCTACGATGCCCCAGATGAAGACAGTTGGGCACTGTTTGAAAGTATAGTGGGACATTATAAATCGAAAGAGCAAAGTGGTAAGCTTTATTACAAACTTTTTATTGATGAAATGCTAGTTTTATTACTAATGGCCAGTTTCAATAATCAAACTCCTGTAAGAAATAGGTTTACTATAGCTTTGTTGACTAGATATTTTTTTTATTAATATTTAGATTACTTATAATAACAATTGTTGCTAAGAAATCATCCAGATAATCCTTGCTTTTTACTGCAGGTAGATTTATTGAAACTGGCTGTCTGTGAATAATCCTGATGAATCAAATTACAACAGTGTGCAACCCATTGCTTTAAGTTGCGAGGCGACCATCATCATCATCATCAGCCGATGGACGTCCACTGCTGGACATAGGCCTCTTCAAGGGATTTCCACATGGAACGATCCTGCGCTCCTCGCATCCAGTGGGTCCCCCCGACTCGCTGGATGTCATCAGTCCACCTCGGGAGTGGTCTACTGACACTGCGGAGGGCCTTAGCTTTCCGCAGCGGATGGGGGGCGGTACGGTGGGCACTAGGCCGCGTACTCAGCCCCCACGCGCGGGCCTACCTGCGCACGTCTGCGGGGTCCCCGTAATACTGCGGGAGACCCCTGCCCTGGAGCCCCGGCGAGGCCGGGAAGCTGCTGGGGGCGGAGCCGTGGTAGAATCCCTAACGGAGACCCTGCGGCTCCGCACTAAGCAGTGTTGAAGGTATTCGCAGGACTTTTTTAGCGGATATTATACCGTAAAGCGCCCGTATATTATACGCGTTCAAAAGGGTGTTGTCAGATTTTTTGAAGAAAAGCACCACCATGCTCCTGTGCCATGCCTCCGGCGTTATGCCTTCGTAAATGACTGAATTGAACAATCGCTGAAAGATTTTTCGTTCTAATTTTCCGCCCGCTTTCAGGAATTCTGCTGTGATTCCATCATCTCCTGGCGCCTTGTTATTTAGTTGTTTAAGAGCGTTACTAATTGGTGGTGGGTTAATTTGGCTCCGACTCCGCTTTAATTTCGCTGTATCCATACTAGGTATATCAATATGCAACGGTTAGTATGAAATGTACAAGCAGAGTGTGACAAACCTCGTATCGCATCTCACTTGAAGGAAAAAGTTATTCGATTGAGATTTTAAAATGTTGATGCCGAGACTTAGCTTTTGAGTAATATGTAGTATGTACTTTTTAGTAAAAGAGCACCATTCATCCACAAACAGCCTCGTATCAAAACGTTGAGGTTCAACGTTCAACATTACAAACTAACCTATTAATTTTTCAGAATGTTATGTTACTGAAGAAGAATTAATAAAGCAACATACAAAGACGAGCAGATATCTACGATTACGGGAAGTGGTTCTAGAAAACTCTTCAGAGGCTGGAATGATTGTAATGTCACTGCCAATTCCTAGAAGAGTAAGTTATTATGATTATCATATAACGCCCAGACAGTTTGACATACCATTTAAAATAAAGTAGCTTCGTAGCAGTACTGCATGGGAACATTCCCTTGATAAGTTATACTTCTGATATTGGGGTATAATGTGCAAGTGATTTATCGAGTCTGATATTAAATATGAGATAACTCTATTACTTATAACACCAAGTAAGTTTCAATATAATAATAGATCATATCCGTTTAGTTCTACTATTTGCAGTATGAATTTTAATTGGACTAAACGGACAATACTAGTTAAAAAGTTTATACCATCCGCTTATATACATAACTAGCAAACCAGTTAACCAAATGCTCACCAAAACCTGATTAAAAAAAAATGTATTTAATTAATTGAGAACTTCGGAGATTTTGTGTGGTTTCGTTTGAAATTCGTGATTTCTCGAAAACCGGAAGTGCTACGTTACTCAAATCCGGTTTGTAGTCTTATCAGACTATTCTTAACTTATAACTTAAACATTCTCTTTATCTATCTCTTACGGTTTGGCCGCTGAAACAGCACCACAGGCAGACGGACGGACGGACGGACTTGTCTAATAGATAAGAGATAATATTGATATTAAAAGTTCTGCGTCACAAGGTAGATGGGATACATCGGTACCATGTGTACCTTCAATGGTGCTAGTGGGATAAATCAGTGCCATGTGTTCCATCAATGGTACTACCTAATGGTAGTACCATTGATGGTGGTGCCCCGTTTTAAGATATGGTAATGAATATTAGGTTGGGGGATTTTTTTTCGAATTTTATATAAAAACAAGCTGTGCCCCGCGGTGTTACCCTGGTATATAAGGGATTTTCCCGCAGTAAAACGAAGCCTATGTGTTAATCCAGAATGTCAGCTAACTCCATGCCAAATTTTATTAAAATCACTCCAGCCGTTTAGACGTGAAGAAATAACACACATACACACTCACACAAACTTTCGCCTTTATAATATTAGTGTGATCAAATCATTTTTTATAAATTTTATTGACATTTAACTAAAGTATGTAGGTGCCATTTTGTTCAATAACTTTTTGCCATCTTGTAGATAGGGACATGATCTCATGACTATAGACATTTCGGGTCTTCTGATCAAAAAATCGCGACAAGTGGTTTTGGCAGTCCTCACGTGATGTTAACCTGACATTGCCTAAAGAATTCTGAAGGGACCGAAACAGGTGGAAATCTACAGGTGCAACGTCAGGGCTATACGGCGGATGCATTAACACCTTCCAGTCAAACTCTTAATTTTTGCTGAGAGGCTAAAGATGTGTGCGATCTAGCGTTATCATGATGAAAATTCACACCCTATCTGTTGATTTGATTTGGCCACTTGCTCTCAACTTCTTGCTTTAATCTCATCAGTTGTTCGCAATAGAGTTCAGAATCGATGGTCCTCATAATAATAATAATAATGCCCTTCCAATCCTGCCACACACACAGCATCACCTTGTTGCGAGTTAATCCATATTTCGCCAGTCTGTGAAGCCTGACCGGCCCTTGACCACGACCTTTTTGTTTTTGTCGTACGTGATCCACTATACACCATCAGATATCAGCTTCTTCAAAAATGGTTCAGTTTCATTACGTGTTTTGTGGTCAATACCCAGTTCTACAGCTACGTCGAAACTACTGATATGGCGAACTTTCTCCACTTATTAAAAAATGGCATGCATTTTATCCGTAAAAGGGCGACCACAGCAAAATTTGTGCTACTGTCACAGACACTTGCGGCTTGCCTTGCATTTTTACCTTTTTTGTAGTAAAATTTTAAAATATATCGAATTTCTTCATTAGATTAACTCATCTTGACAGTAAGAAAAACAAAGGAAAATCACATATTTTTTTTAATTAAAACTTTTTGATGATACCAAAACCAGCCAGATACAAATGCTATAGCCAAAGGAATTTTAAGTATTAAAAGTTTATACATACACTGCGGGTTACTTTGACCTAAAATGTGCACTTTTTTATCAAATAAAATTGTAGCTTCTCTTTTTGATGAATATGTCACGTTTATATCTGTCCATTGTGAACTTTAAAGTATAAGTTACAAAGTTATCATACGAAAATAGGAAAAAATAATATTTAAGGGTTCATATATTTTTTTTTTAATTTTGGGCCAAAGTTGGCCAAAGAGGGTTACTTTAGCTCATTGAGTTTTCTCTGTGAAAAAAACTCATTTTAAGCCATGTTGGGGTTAAGTAACCCTTATAACAGATCACCATTAGCATACTAAATACACAAATGGATGTTTTTACCCAAAAATAATTAAGTTAAAGCAAAAATTGTAAACTTATCGAAAACCACAGTTTTGAGAAAATTTGGGCGTGAACTTGCGAACTATTTCAGTTACAAAAATTCCCGCGTTACAATGACAACTTGATACAGGAACGATGTCGGTAAAATAACACCACACTACGCGCCTATATGGCTATCTGTGATTTTCAACTGGAACTATTACGGTCACCCAAGAGATACTGATGGGGCGGCAAGTTCAATATTTTTTCTGATTTGGGACAAAGTTACCCGCCCGAGCTAAAGTAACTCTCACTAACGGTACTATAATGCGAAGACTTTCTCCCCAACCTATTAGTATTTTAAGGTAAGACATTGCTCTACAATGCCTCCCTCCTCCCTCCCTAGTTACGGCCTTGCCAACGGTTAACAAATTAACATGCTGTTTTCCAGAACGCAGTATCGCCGCCACTGTACATGGCGTGGCTGGAGATGCTGAGTCGCGACTTACCCCCAATGTTGTTCGTGCGCGGAAATAACACGCCGGTTCTAGGCGTCTAAACACACAAATCAATCAAAACAAACTTTAAACCCCTTATTAATAAACGAAGAAATAGCTTGGATTAGTTACTCCATATTTTGTCTCTGTAAAACACGGCGTAACTAGTCGAAGCTTATTCCTTGTTTTATTAACGGGGTAATAGTCCGTTAGGCGCTTTGCAGACGGCGGGGCGGAGTGAGCCGGTCAATTTCACCGCGAACGATAGCACAAAGTGAATCCTATACTACAAACGCACACAGAGGGCAAAAAGACCGCGCCGCAGGTGCCCGGCGGGCACTGGAGTCATTTAATGTAAATGATCTCTCTCTCTCTTTCGCACTATGAATATAGGCAGTCTTTTTTCACTTCAGAAACAAAGTAACTAATTGAAAATTTATAAGAAATTTAATTTCGTTAAGTGTTTAATAAATAAAACAAAGATAATTATATATTACAAGATTTTTCTTTATTACACAAGGTTTTTAATTTAGGTATAACAGAAAAATAATATTTACAGATACATCATCAACAGTGGTTTCAGATCAACAATTTATTACTCTTAAATAATATGGGAAACTTTAATATCTATAATTAACTAGATTGAGACAGGTGGTTTTCTGTTGCGAAAATTGTCATTCCATAAAAAGCTTTCAAAAATTCATCGGCATTATCTAAATATAAATTTAGCGCAACAGAAAACTGTCAAAACCTAGGGAAGTATGCTCCATAATTTTGGATGTATTCGTTAGTTGTGTTTTAAAGCAGCTCACTAGGTTGAAGACTGAGAACAATTATTAAGTAGATTGATGTTAAATTATAATACTTTTCGAGACGACTACGGCGATATGTAAGTTGCGCGAAAGGACGGTGATTTCAAACATTGATTCACTACAGATATGTCGCTAATACACAGCTTGAAAAATAAATAATGCATCTGCACTCTCATAATATTTCTTGTTTCTTCTAATTTATGTAAATAGTTCGTTTTATTTATATACTTTAGTTTCGTTAGATTTAACATTGAACATCTTTCTCATTCATAATATTTCATCACGCTTAACTAAATTGATGTGCGGTGGCGACTAAATATCTATTTGAACCATAGAGGTATAAGAGTAGTGTGGGGTAGGCGGCTCTAAAAATGTCCGTCTAGTAGAAAGAGAAAGAAGATGAAAGACCGCTAGCTATCTCTCTCTCTCTCTTGTGACGCATGGCATCCAATGGCATCACATCGAAATAGTAAGATGCTTACGGTTGCGAATGCGCATGCGCGATTAGAGAGAGAAAGCTAGCGGTGTCTCATCTTCTTTTTCTTTCTATTAGAGGGACACTTCTACTTTTAGTAGAGTCTATGTCTCCCCTACTCTGTTCTTATACCTCTATGATTTGAACGCCGCTAGTAAAATTCTGGAGCATATTAACTTTACTCAGTCTATGTAGGTACAGAGCTTTTCACTCGTTGGCGCGCAGCCGTCGTGAGTGAAACAGCCTGCATTTATATAAATTATTTTATATAGTAATTCGTATCATACATGATTCAGTGCATAATCCGAGAGACGGCAATTGCAGCGAATATAAAAATGTTACGATGCAAGTTAATGAATGAAACAATCGAATGAAAGGTCGAGACATGAACGATTTACACTACCAGCACCTCCACATATAAAAACGTATCAAACTCGCGACGTCGTCGTCATTATGTATAAAAATTCATGTATTACAAAATCGAACGCGTTAATTTATAACCGAAAGTGGCGTGCAATGATTCATAACGAAACAAACATAACTATACAGACGTAAACTTCACACAGCCATATTTCTTACTAAATAAATAGAATTCTAAATAATTACGGAAATATTTTTGGTTACAAAATGATTTATAATGCAAAATAAATACTCGAATCGCGCGTGCCGAATATAATATTACTATCGGCAAACTCGCGCTGTGGGAACGTTCCTTCCGTGTATACAATATTCACTAAACTTACACTAGCGTTCGCCCTGCCTTATCCGACGAATCACTATTAAATATTATTGTCCACAAGGAAAAAAATAACATGCTGATAATTTTCACTGGTAAAGTCCAAGACCTGCCAAGTACGATTGATTATAATATCAACAAAAAGGAACAAGATGATTAATTGTATTATACCGGCACTTCACATGGTTAATCGTGTTTGCTGTATGTCAATAAAAATCTTTGTATATATTTTGAGAAGATTTCTGGCTCAAGGATGTTTCGCGAACATTTTAATAAAATGTTGACCGGTTACAGTAGTTGGCAGGGCGGGCGCGACACTCTTCATTCAGACTCTTCGTTGTCGTCATCGAAGCCCGACAAATCAGCCGACTCTAAGTACCCCTGCATCACCTGAAATTTAAAGAAAAGTTTATCATCATCATGAACCTACTATTAATGACTCCAATGCTGGGGCACAGGCCATCCCTATGGATGGAATAGGGAGATTTAGCCGTGACCTAGTGCGAATTGGTGGATGTCAATGAATGCAGATGCAGCCGAGACCAACGGTTTAACGTGCCAGCCGAAGCTCGGAGGAGCTCCAGATAATAAGTTTTTGGTCATCCGTCCAATGAGTCCTTTACGAGTTGCTTAACTTCCACGATTCTAGGTCTAATGCGCTACCGATCTCCTTTCGGTTACTGGCCGCGTACTCGAGCACGGCCAGGTGGCAGAAGGCGTACTGCTTAAGCATCTGTATGGAGTGTGCTCGGACAATAGGCCTCGGGCGAGGGGGTGGTACTGACCGCGTACTCGAGCACGGCCAGGTGGCAGAAGGCGTACTGCTCAGGCATCTGTATGGAGTGCGCTCGGACAATAGGCCGGGCGAGGGGGTAGTACTGACCGCGTACTCGAGCACGGCCAGGTGGCAGAAAGCGTACTGCTCAGGCATCTGTATGGAGTGTGCTTGGACAATAGGCCGGGCGGATGGTGATACTGACCGCGTACTCGAGCACAGCCAGGTGGCAGAAAGCGTACTGCTCAGGCATCTGTATGGAGTGCGCTCGTTGCGCTCGGACCCGCTCCACAGTGCCACGCACCTCAACCAATCCTTCGGCCGCCAGCCGCATCGTGCAGATGTCCAGCGTTAGAAACGTGCCTGTCACAACACGATACAATGATAAAATCCTCGCAATAAACAGCTCACGAAACTAGGAGAAGAATGAAAGCATAAGGCCGCGTTTACACCTGCAAGAAAACTTATGTGCGAAATGCCCGACAGTCTGTCCGACAGCAACTTGCTGTCGCGAGCCTATTACGTCACTGGATATGTAAATGACCGTAATTGACACACAAAATGTGACATTTGCAAAGACGGCGGCGTTAGTTTAAATTTTCGTTACAATCATAAAGATCCTTGTCGTACTGTTACGCAGTTTACATTTGCAAGTTGCTGTCGGACATTTCACACAGAAATTTTATTGCGAGTGGAATGGCGGCCTAAAGAACCTGCCTTCCACGACATGACACAATGTCATAACACTTGCAATAAACAGCTGATGAAACCAAAACACAGCCACAACCATGGTGGAGAAGAGTGAAGTAATCTTGGCTCGGCTGTATTATAAATTGCCTGATAATCTTATGAAGTTAGACGACATAAAATTCTAAACTATATTTACGAGTTTTGATGAAAAAACGGTATTATAACATAAGGACATTTTTAAAGTATGCGCAGATGACGGACTTTTAGTATGTATGACCCCTTTTTCCGAACAAAACAGAACTGCGCAACAGTGTGGCATGGCGGATTATATTTACGATACGGTGCTTTTGTATTAAAACATGATTAAAATGTAAACTTTGATTTCTCGCGCGTATAAATAAACTTCAAAAGCTACACTTCAGGACCTCACTCAACAGTGGCGCCATCTGGTTAGACAAAAAACGGTAGCCCTCATCATAACCGTGTCCTGATGTCTAAATAAACAACGTTTTGCAAACAAAACAGTTACAGATATTTTTTTAACCACAAGGTTGTGTTGTGTCAAATTAACTAGAACTAGACCAGAGTATCACTTTTACTGTTGATAACTTTACTACTCTAAGGCCGTATACAGAAAGAAAGCCGAAAGCCGATCGGCGCTTATCGGCGCCGATCCTTCCTACATAAAGGAAGCCGATTAAAGCAGATCAAGCAAAATGTCGGACTCATCGGACGATGATTTGGTTTTGTTAGAAAATATTTATTTAAAAATGCGAAAAACAGCTATACATCCTATAAATAGAGAAAGGAAACGTTTCGGAGAATACCATCATTTATTTGTAAAAAAATTTAAATTTGATGAACAAAGATTTTATACATATACAAGAATGATTCAAGAAACATTTTATTACATTTTGGATTTAGTGAAAAACCGTTTGACGAAAAATTGGGGCAATTGGCATAAACAACCAATCCTTCCAGAAGAAAGACTTGTTGTCACCATTCGGTAAGTACGAAACAAATAATTTTAGCGCTTAGTTAATAAAAGATAAAATTATTAGATTTATAAAAAGATTATAACTTAGATTGATTTAATCTAAGGATAATAATTCAAATACAAATTATTTATTATTCGGACCAGCGCGTGTCGGCGCTTATCGGCGCTTATCGGCGCCGGTCCATAGAAAAAGGATCAGCGTCAATAGGCGCCGATCGGCGCTGATCGGCGCCGATCGGCTTTCGGCTTTCTTTCTGTATACGGCCTAATATCTTGTGTATAACTACATAGTTAATCCTTCGATTATTAATTCTATATATAACGGGTGGCATACAAAATAAAAGCTAAAAACTGTCCGCGTATGTTTAAACTTATGCAGCTACATTCGATTCCCAATGAACAAAGATAAATGTTTTAAAACTGTTGAAATTGAACCTATAAACAACTACCTCACAAAGGAATAAGGTTACATATAACAAAATGTTATTTCGCACATAAGACCTTATAAAAGGAACAATAAAACGAACTCTTGTTCCTTTTATAAATTATATCTGATACTTGGAAAAAACGATAAAAGTGAAAAAAGGAAAATGTGAAATCAACATTATGACCCACCTCATAAAGTATTTTTACCAATCATTGGCCAGCAAGTAACTTCGTTTTCTATTTACCAACTAATTTAATTAAGATTTCACGCCTCAAGTGAGCCTATATTTACCGAGACGGATCACACACTGACCCGTTATCTATAGAATCGTTGATTGAAGATCGTTTTTAAAATAAAACAATTATCCGTTAATTAACATCTGCACATTGTTTACCTACGCCTGAATATCGAGTTACTGCCGAAGCCGAAAAAGATCGCTTACGTCTGCAACGAGTAACCCCTTTGTTTACGTTAGTTGTAAGCGATTAAAAGTACCGCGTTCAAAAAGTCCCCTGACCAACCGAGGACACCGAGAGGCCGGAAACGACCAAATTACGCAGTACCCTTAGTACGAGTTTGAGCTCACGAAAACTATCATAGTTTTCGTAATTGTAAAATATAATAAAACTGTAACTGTAAAAGTAATTGTAAAATAATAAAACTATCATAGTTTCCGTAATTGTAAAACTCGTTGGTACTAAGGGTACAGGTGACCCCAAAAAAAATTGAACTCATGTAGAAACTATTAAGTATTATTCAGTGCTCATGTGACTAGGCGCAGTAACGCACACAATAAACTTAAGTCTGCGTGGCGCGCTACATTCGATTTAAAGAAATGGATTATCCTTTAAAACGTCTACTCTTTTTCTTAAACTTATTTTAGTCACAACGCAATGTAATCGTCGCATATTTATTTTCATAGCGGGTGCTGTTCTAAATATTCAGAAGACAACTGTTCGCACATCGTGTGCGTTGAGTCCGTAACAAGTCCTCGGCGGGCATTTTCTTACCGATTCGGGGACTTTTGTAGTCTGTGGACAAGAGTTCTCCGACTGCGTAGGCGATTATACTAACAATTCGATATTTTGACATTCGAATTATGTATTTTTTTATTAATATTCAAAAATGTATTTTTAATTTTTATATTTTAATCCACAGTCTAATACCACAATTCGATTTTTTACACTAATAATTTAATATGACTTAGGTTTGTAATTTGTTTAACAGAAATTATAAATAATATTATAATAATAATATTTTTTATTGCACACAACAAAGGAAACAATACATAAACATAAAATGAAGAAGAGTATACAATAGTTGACCTTACTGCTATATATATATTCATGTAGGTGCAAAATATCGTGAAACATGGACAGACATGACTGAATGTTTTCTAAAAGACAAACAAAAAATGCAATAAATTATAAATACTTCAAATGTTACCTGTACGCCCGATGCCCGCGGAACAATGAACTATTATTGGAGGTCCTCTACTGTGCCCCGCCCACGCATCTCCTAAGCTGTAAATAATATTCAATGGGTCATTATCGAATCTATATAATCCTATACATAATTTTCACGGCATAGTGCCAGACAGCGGTAATGAAGACACGTCACACATTTTAAAATTTAATGGTTGTAAAAGTGCCTAAATATAAAATATATTTTTTTTAAGCAGTTACATCTGCTTGATGTTTAAATCTAAAGAAAATATAACTAGAAAAAAAATCCACGCGGACCAGGTAGCAGACGGGACTCGAACCCGCACCCTTCGCTATCCGGGCGAATGCACTGACCAATCTGCTCTGACCAGTCTGCTGCCTGGTCCGCGTGGATTTTTCTAATTATATTTTCTCCCGGCTCCCGCTGCCGAAGAAACTCTGACCAACGTTGGCGACGGACCGGCAGGGTGCGGAGGTAAAAGACAGGGAGACGACCACAACACAAGGAACCTGGAGTGCTGTAGTTAAGAAGACAAAAAAAAGGCTCAAGCCCTTGTGCCGGAGGTGGTGAAAACGCAGGCGCCAACCTAGTAGAAGGGGCGGGAAGCCGAGAGTGAAAGTACCTAGCACTGCGGCAGTGGCCATCAGCCTGACGCCTGGCGCGAAGGAGGACGGGCTCACATACGCCAAGGTGATAGAGATGGCCAGGGGGAAGATCCAGCTGCAGGAATAAGTGGCGGACTTACTATCAAGGATAGCCAGACGGGGGCCAAGCCGGACAGTCCCGCAAAAGCGGACGCTCTTGCGAGGCGCCGCACCTGCTGCAGGAAGCGCAGCACGGGCAGCGCGCGCTTTCGGCTCCGCGTCTATGTATGTATACTCACTCGGCGAGCGCGGCGTGTTGCGCGCGCCGCACCTGCTGCAGGAAGCGCAGCACGGGCAGCGCGCGCCCTCGGCTCCGCGTCTATGTATGTATACTCACTCGGCGAGCGCGGCGTGTTGCGCGCGCCGCACCTGCTGCAGGAAGCGCAGCACGGGCAGCGCGCGCCCTCGGCTCCGCGTCTATGTATGTATACTCACTCGGCGAGCGCGGCGTGTTGCGCGCGCCGCACCTGCTGCAGGAAGCGCAGCACGGGCAGCGCGCGCCCTCGGCTCCGCGTCTATGTATGTATACTCACTCGGCGAGCGCGGCGTGTTGCGCGCGCCGCACCTGCTGCAGGAAGCGCAGCACGGGCAGCGCGCGCCCTCGGCTCCGCGTCTATGTATGTATACTCACTCGGCGAGCGCGGCGTGTTGCGCGCGCCGCACCTGCTGCAGGAAGCGCAGCACGGGCAGCGCGCGCCCTCGGCTCCGCGTCTATGTATGTATACTCACTCGGCGAGCGCGGCGTGTTGCGCGCGCCGCACCTGCTGCAGGAAGCGCAGCACGGGCAGCGCGCGCCCGCCGCCCGGCACACCGTAGTCCGGCCACCGCGTGTACTGCCCGTGCCACACGTGCCGGGACTCGTCCGTCTACGCAACAATATCCCGGTTACATTCAACACATTCTTACAGCTACTAGCAATGGCATAACAAATAAAATGAGTAACCTGATCATATAATAGGTCGCTTCCCTTCATCGACATCTAGAAAGGTAGTATACTACCTAGATAGAAGAAATCCGATGACTTTAAAAAATACTTAAATAGTTAATATAATTATATCCTGCAATTATACTTAAAAAGGCCCTTTCTCGTATGGCTAACTAATAGAAATGTACATTTTCGTCCCACCCTACACTCACTGACCCTCAAATCGGTGAGCAGCAGCCGCGTGACGGTGTAGTCGTCTTCCTGCTGCACCGCCTCGTTGGTGACCGCGTACCCGGCGTGCACGGCCCGCGCGCCCACCGCCAGAGGCCAGTACTGCCCGCACTTGACGCGCCCGCGCTCCACCGCGCGCGTCGTCATCACTATCACTAGCGTGCCCTGCTCCCATACCATCCGCCAGAAATCGCCGAACGTCTTCGGTAATGGACCTATAGAGCATAACAATTTAATTTATACAATAAAACAAACGACAGGGTGACAGCATTAGGGTTCCATTTTTACCCTTTGTGTACGGAACCCTTTTTTTGTGACGCAGGCAAAACCTCTGTTTACAGACGACGGCGCCTTTATGAGGCACACCGCCGAACGGACCTCACACCTAGGGTTGCCACCCGTACTTTACTATAAAGTATTGTACGTTATTTCGGGTAATTGTACTCTATACTTTATGCCAACAATAAAGTACGCGAAAATACTTTATTTAATGTGATTTGATTACTTGGGAATTAATTTTACATATAATATAAATAAAGAGGATAGGAAGATTTTTTGCGTAAAACGGAACAACAGTATGTATAATATGTCGCCCTTAGCCCATTCCTGCAACATTGTCGCGGCTGTATGGCTTTGTACAATGGTCTTACCCATTGCGGATAAGAACTACAGATTTTTAGTAGCCACAAATTATTTATTAAATATTGCTATAAGCACCGTAAAATATATTTTAAGCTTACTAATAAAGTGGATTAAAATGTACTTTATTTTGGACACAATGTACTTTTTTTTCTACCTTTCATATCCAATGTACTTTATTTGGACTTAAAAAAGGTGGCAACCCTACTCACACCTGCTTGTGTACGGAACCCCCAAAAGAGGTAGGGCATGGCGGATTTTAGCCCGTCTGCGGAAGTAACCTATAAATAAATATTTCCAACACCCACACCAATTAGCCTAGCTCCAAAGTAAGCACTATAAGGCTTGTGTTATGGGATACTAGGGTAACGGATAGAATACATATACTGTACATATATAAGTATATTTATATAGAAATACATATTAAATATTCATAACTTGATTACAAATGCTGGTATTTATCACACAAACATCTGCCCCCACCGGAATTGGAACCCAGGACCTCTCGAGTCGGCCACACCTTCAAAAACCTGGCGTAAAAACCACTCGGCCACGGAGCTCGTCAATTAATGAAGTGATCGTGATTATAAATTATATTTTTTTTACCTTTTAATTTTACCCTTTTAATTGTTTAAACTCCATGTAACGTCACACGATTTAAAGACAAACTCCCTAAAGCGTTTGTTTTCCATACAATGATACACTCCATATAGCATTACACCCACTCTCAATAACGACAACAATTACGTAATAAAAAGTACCTTTAAAGTTACCAAAATTAGTAAAAATCGCGCAGCTGTGTACACGTTCTTTTGTCGCTTTATTATCCTAGCCCGCCGTAATAAACTCGACTATCGGCATCATGCAAACCAAACTTTCTAAGAAATTCGTTCTTTTGTTTGCAAATTGGGCTTGCACGTGTAGGCTGTTGTTGATCATGACTAAAAAAAATATAATACAACAAAAGTTCAGGCAATAGCGTTCAAATACGTTTTTTTTTTAAGAACATAACTATTAGCTTGAAATGAACTTTTTCTTTTCATAATTGTGATTTTTCTTTTTTCCATTTAACGACAACTCTCTATAACGCCATAAAATGTACAGTCCCTTTAGTGTCGTTATATAGAGTTTACACTGTATAAGAAGTCAAAAAAAAAAACAGTTTAGTAATCATTTATTTATTTGTTTCGTATGTAATGTATTGTATGTAGTATATTATATGACTATATTTCTCGGTCCGCTTCAGTATAAATCAACCTTAAAGCTTTGAAAGTCAACGGGGTTTGGGCGGAACGACTGACAGTACCCGTCACTCACTTCCCCTTCTTCACCCCCTCAAATACCTAAACTAACGCTACACACGGCGTCTTAAGGGCAGTTTCTTAGCCATGTCCTTTAAATGTCATAGCGAAAAGTTGCACTCCGTGTCTAAGTGGAACACGCCTTTGAGATCTTATAATCATAATAATAATCAAAATCATTTATTCAGCTTAGGCTGTTACAAGCACTCATGAATGTCTAGAAGCTACGCCATCGGTTCGTAAATCTACGACGGGAGACCTTGTACTGAGAAGAACCGGCAAGAAACGCTTGATTATTTACAGAGTCATCAAATTGAAAAATGACTTCAGAGATCAGAAATCAGAAATCAATATATCTTTATTCAAATTGGATGTATAGTACAACTCTTTTGAATAGTCCAAAAAATTTTTTCCCTACCACTCGTTATGGACATATATTTTAGCTGCGGAGAAAAACGAGCGAAAAAAACTCCACAACATTAAATGGACCAACATTTATGATTTAGATGATTCATGAAGTCACCTTTCATTACATAATGATTAATTATACATTAATTGTTTACCTGCATTTTGATTGCTGTGTCATACAGTATAAATACAAATAGTGTTATTTATATTAATCTACGCATACGCAATCTACGCACGCGCACTATAATTTCGTTGACATTGGCATATCCTGTGAACATCATGTTTGTTTGTTATTAGATATATTTTTACGTTACTCCATGTAACATTTATTTATAGCTAGGCATCGTCAATACCATATAAGTCAAAACTTAAAATGCTAGGTGGCCGATAGATGAGTCCTGGAGTATATTATCCGTTCTGCACTACCTCCTAAATACGACTTATCGTAAAATAAGACCAGAGAGAAATAACTATTTGGCGCTGTATATAGGGAAAAAGATACTAAGCGCTGTGTAGAGTACAGTGCCTAATTTTCTCGCACCGATAACAGATAGGTGTCAAACTCAATCTACAATTATTTCGGGGAAGATGTGAGGCTCCATCAATGCCAATTGTAGCGTCGTCGTCGCATTGAGGTGAAGAATTATGTAATGTTTGTCTTGTGAAAACGCATCATTCTGCCAAAACATGCTACAGTTTACGTAAGTTTCATAATAATGCCAAGTTTTGTTACGTATAAAACATTGCAATTTTAAAAAGCGTAAACAAAACTTGTTTTGATATACCAAAAATAAATTTGTTTACAAACATGCCGATGTTATTTATCTGTTTTTATTTAACATATTTCTCTGTGTACAAATAAAAAAAGTATTATATTTAAAAACGAATCTGAATAGATTTCAAACGACTAAAATTAGCATTACACTTTTTTTTACATAATATTGCTTAGGCGCACTTTATCGTGCAGTAACATAAACCATGGAACACATTCTAAATTGTTTAAATACTTGTTTTTTATTAGAGGAAACTCCGATATTCTAAGTATCAAGTGGTATACGTGGGTCATATACGAAACCAACCAAAATAAATCAATATGATAATTTTCTCAAAAATGCTTGGAAATGTAAACATTATTTTTGACATTCTTCTTTGAGATAAATCGAAATTGCTGTTCTGACATACACGCAAGCAGCGGCCGGCAAAAGTTGTATAAAAATCAATATATATAACGGCCAAATAAATGTGTAATTTAAAAATGGAACGATCTACTTCTCCGAAACATGGCAACCAAAGAGGTAACTCATCAAAGGTTTTAATTAAATTTCAAACTGACTTGCAAATAGAAAACTGTTTATTGAAAAAAAAGATATGAATGAGTGTTGTTGTTCATTCTTCCTCATTGATTTTGAAAAGTACTGTACAAGCCTTGGCTACAACTAGGCATTGATGGACTTACGTATTTGTGGTACTGTTTCATCTCTCAAAACCATCCAAGAAAATGTTGAGAACCTTTGTAGTGACGAGGCGTCTAAGTGACGGCCAACGAACTAGCCATTAGCTTCATTTTATCAATATCAAACGCACGCAATTTATTTATTTTTAGAAACAAGTCTTCGTATTTCAATTTCAACACGAAAGTATGCAATACAGGAAACAGATAATGAAGATTTCAGTTAGTCAATCTATTATATTGAATTGCTTAAGTAAACTAACTCGAAATATTCTATCGAATACTCTATTTAAAGACGGTATTTCGTCAAAACAAATCTTGAAATAACAACAACATTAACAATGTTTTCTCAGTAAAACGCCGTTCGAGGAAATACTGTTTGGATTTATTTACAAACTTTCTGAGAATCGCTATCAAAATTATCGCTTTTTCTTACTTTATTACGTCACAATAGGTGTTCTCATGTTACTCATGGCCCTTATCTGAAAAATGATTTACTTTGGGGAAATTCCCTATTTGTATCATGTTTTAAAGGAAAAAGCGATTATCAAATAAATTTCTAAACGTACTATTTGATGATGATATCGTAGATATATGAAGAACTATGCTGGTTTATATATTGTGATGTTAATTTTTTCCACTGCCCTCTTTTACTCTACCTCAGAGCGCAGGGTAAGCGATGAAAGACAACCAAAAAATTCAAATAATGCTATAATTATATTTTACCAACTATGGATTCTAAAGAAGATTAATACAGTAGTTCTAAGTTCTAGTTTATATAAATTGCCAAGTTGACATGAAACATTATAACTATATTTTACTAACCCAGCATGTCACAACGAGGCTGAATACAGTAATTTTAATGTTAGAGTTTACACAAATTCCCCCAGTGGGCAAGAAATGTTATACTATATTTTACCAACTTTCACTCTCCTAACTAAGCTGAATATAGTAGTTGTGAGTAGTGAGAGTTTATATAAATTACAAGTTAGCATGAATCTTAGAATTATATAGACATCAGACATTCATAACAATCTACCATGTACTTACATCAGTTCTTAAACTATATCTAATGTATTTTATCCACTCTGCAATGGACTGTCCATTGAGAGACCACAAAGACTAGACTTAATAAGCTATCTAGTGGATTTCAGAGGTTCTACGGCTCGTTTGATCGATATTGGTGATAAACTTAGTTATTTATAGTTCTTAATGAGACAACCAGTTATATAGATATATATATATATATATATAGAAAGGGGTAGGTCGAGGTCCAACCTCGCCTTGTGGGACCTGCTCCACGCTCGCCCGGTGTTAGTTATAAAAATACCTTGTTTAGGATAGGTTCAGCAGTGTATGATCTGTCCGCAGTTACATGAAACCCTAGAGCGGCTTGCAACCTTTATTGTAATGATCTCACGAGTCCCCTCTGGTCCGTGTACAGAGAGAGAATCTCCTTGTTATTCCTCCAGTATTTCTTGAAGAGAACGTATAAGCCGTTCGAAATATAAAACTATCCGTAAGTATTTTGTTTCCTATCACAAGTTCTGCCCCGCCTTGCGAGAGTCCAGAACCGTCCACCTGTGAAACTTTATCAACCCGAATTACAGTTCGGTTAGCGTCTCCGCGCTATTTCCGCCAATATCCTTCAGAATATAAACTTTTCGGATCTATTTCACGACTCCGACGACGGGGTTATGGTCCTCCTTATAATATACTTTGGGCAGAAGAACTAAACTTTTCCGAAAACAGAATGTGAAATTTTTAAATGTTGTTTTGACAACCGAGCATAGATGATAGACCGCCCACTCCCGAATATGTGTCTATGATTTGTTTCTCTCTCCAACCGAAGGCAAAGGCCACAGTCAAACAGAGAGCCGCCGCATTCGAGATGAAACAACGAATCAACTCAAAACTATATAACTATGCTCGCCGTAAGCGGAGGAAAAGAGAGTACCTACCCAAATCAGCGAGGAAGTTCAATTTCGAGTAAAATCCAAAATCAATTAAAAACAACGCCCGATGGAGAACTCAAATCGATATGGGAAAAATCGTTCAAAATTCAACAACTGTCAAACTCCATCCATTCATCCACACGCACCAACAGAGATTCACTGCCTTTTTACTTTTTTTTTTTATAAGTCTCCAGTCGAATATTTTAGTCGAATAAAAGAAAGCAACTATTCCCTCAATGCCACCAACCCAATCAATGAAGTTTGACAGCTACGCCGACGCCAGCGGTTCGCTATCATAGACAAAACAGCTGTCCTACGTGTGTCAGTTATTTAAGTGTCAGTGTCACGCCCTGTTTAAAAACAAACACTACAATATTTGGAACTTATTATGTAAAATATGCAATGAATAACCAAAATAAGAAAATAAAGTAATTTTATAAAGTAAATTCAACGAACTTGTGACTTTTTGTGAATGATTTATTACCTATTAACATAGCGATTTCTTAAAAACAGCCAAAAGAAGAGCTTTAAAATTAAATAAATTATTATACTAATAAATTGTTATGTCACATATAGTGTTAAAGAATAAATCAGTGCGAATGACGCATTATAAATAATATATAGCGGGAAAGAGATGTGGTTAGGGTAGGCAATGAGCAAATGATACCTTATGGTAGACGCGACATACGCTTGCTTGTCACTCTTTTTGAAAAAAGAAACCTTTCTTACTTAATGTTATAAGTGCGTTTCCCTGTCTCTACCTCTTCACGCTTAAGCCGCTGCACAGTATGTTATGAGACCATAAAATTGGACATTCTTATTTATTTGATGAACTCTTTAGAGCTCATTTATACAAATATGAAAGTAAAACTCCCGTTTGAAAATTCCACGTAGTTTTTGAGATATAAAAATTGAAAAATATTATTCTTATTCTTTTTTAAAAATGAAAAAAACAATCTTACTCTGTAACTAATAATATTTTGTTGAGAAACGTTACAGTACTTCATAGAACTCTTTAAACTACACGTAATAAGCGTTTTAAGTGCTTCGTAAACGCTTGCAGTTAATTAGAATAAAAGATTTTTGTTATTTTTGTTTTTATTTTTTTCTTCATTATACCATAATATATGCAAACTTTTTCAATCGCAAGATATAGTCTGATATGTATTCTAGTTGTATAAAAAAAATCAGCTTAAAATGCCGTGGTATATTTGAGAAAAAAAATTAAACCTATTCACAAAATTTTTACGCGTCTACTAATCGAATCCCACCTGTTATATTCATAGTATTTAAAGGTCTAAAAATTGATATTCGGCGCCTGCAGTTGTTTTTAAATTTTTATTTTATATTAATGTAAATTTATTTTCAGTTGATAAAAATGTTATTTTCACATGATAGGACTGTTGTATCATCACTTGGGTCTTCAACCTGATCTTCGATACATTGTTCTGTAATATCGAACTAATATCGATCAATAGATTAAACTTTTTGAGATCCAATAAAATTAACTCAAAAAGAGGGTCAAATGTCGGGAAGGATATCTTCCTTCATAGGATAAGCTGATATTTTTTACAAATCTATGTTTTCACGTTTTAAAGGTTACCTCATAAATCTCATAATCATATAAGATCTAGTTTCTGCGTCTTAAGTTATTTAAGTTCGAACGGGAAAAGATAGGAATAGGGAGCGAGATATTTATAAGAACGGGTTTTTCATAAATATCTCGCTTTCTATTCCAAGGTTAAAAGCTAATTTTACTGGGCTTAAGTATTTTCCACCGACATTCAACCTTTGTCATCTCTGGCATTGTCTATAATCGAACACAAGATTGAATCTTAATATGTGTGATTTTAATAAAATATTTAAAAATCCAAAAGAAATATTGCTTTTAAAAAGTTATAAGAAATTTACAATTCTATGTGACAGCCCTGGTGCATATTTTCAGTTTGTTTTTTCTCAAATATACCACGAAATTTAATGCTGATTTTTTTTATACAACTAGAAAAAATATCAGACTATATCTTGCGATTAAAAAAGTTTGCATATATTATGGTATAATGGAGAAAAAAAAATAAAAACAAATATAACAAAGTTTTTTTTTTATTTAACTGCAAGCATTTACAAAACACTTTAAACGCTTATTACGTGTAGTTTTAAGAGCTCTATGAAGTATTATAACGGCTCTAAATTAAATGTTATTAGTTTACGAGTAAGAATGCTTTTCATTTTTTTAAAAGAAAAAAATAACTAACTTTTGAGTTTTTGTATCTCGAAAACTAAGTGGAATTTTCAAACAAAAGTTTTTTTATCATATTTGCATAAATGAACTCTAAACGATTCATCAAATAAATGAGAATGTCCGATTTTACGGTCTCATAACACACTGTGCGCTGAGCCGATTTAGATGAAATTTGGTATAGACACAGTTTGAGTCCCGGGAAAGGACATAGGATAGGAATTTTATCGTAAAAGTCATCCTTAAGAGGCAGAAAAAAGGAATGAATCTTTGTATGGGTAACCAATAATCTTATGCATACAAAGTCGCGCATCCACTAGTGTATAATATTTACCTTGCGTGCATATGAAGGCATTCTTCTGCTTGTACCCGTCTACATAGTTGGCGTTGATGTAATCCGTGGTGGGGTCGTCGGGGTCCATCTGCGAGAGGATCACGCGCGAGTGGTCGTAGCACAGCACATCCGTATACCGATTCTTGGCGAGGTTACTGGGCAATCTGACAACGTGACAAACAATGTTTGTTAACAGCTTTTAAAAAAACTTCATTAACCGCCAAGTTCAGGTTCGAATCCAGTCTAAAACTTGGACCGAGTGGAATTGTTTCTTGTAAAAGTTTTCAGATTTAACAATCTCTTCTAAGGCCCGTATTATAGAAAGATTCTCAGTGTTTGATCTAGTCTTGAGCATAGTTAGAAAGGGATATCGCTATGTGATATATACAGCGATATCCTTTTCTAACTGTACTTAAGTAAAGATCAACACTTAGTTGTCATTCTGTAATACGGGCCTCTAAGTATCTAACTAAAGGATTTAATTAACTGATCCGCAATCCAGGCGGTTGGTTACAAGTTTTTTTATTCTGAAACGTAGTTTCATGACCACTCGGAATGAATAGGTAAGTTTGTATCATATATCTATTACATTAACAACATTGCTTTGAAACAGTGGAAGAAGTGAATCATTAAAGGTGCCGAGTACTCGGCGGCGAGCCCGCGCCGGCGCAGCGGGCGTACGCGTGCCAGCAGCGCTGTATACAGTGAGGGTGGCATGATTCGCGCGAGCACTCACTTGGCGTGGTGGAAGGTACCGTGCGGCGGGCGCGCGCGGATCTACTCGTAGTCGGCGGCGAGCCCACGCCGGCGCAGCGAGCGCACGCGTGCTAGCAGCGCTGTATACAGTGAGGATGACATGATTCGCGCGCGCACTCACTTGGCGTGGTGGAAGGTACCGTGCGGCGGGCGCGTGCGGATCTACTCGTACTCGGCGGCGAGTCCACGCCGGCGCACAGTGGGCTGAAAATCGGCTTTCATAGACTTAGGGATTTCAATTTGCAAGTGCTGTATTTTTTGCTGGTTATCGCTTCTATTAGTGATCACTATACACAAAAAAGATATCAGAGTTAATTCTGCACAAAAATGAGGATATTATATTTTTTTTACGAATAATTTGTATGAAGGTAGTATGAAAAATAGAATTATCTCTTAAACGGCAAGGAAAACCGTAATATCCTTACAGGTGATTATAGTACTATTTATTTATGGTTTTTTGACATAATTCACATAACGGTTTTCAATGCCGTTTTTTTTTAAAAAAATCATCAAAATATTTTTATATAATATCAAACCTTCCGATCCTTTTAGTGTTAATGTTAAGAACATCCGTATGAGGAATGTTATCGATCCAAAAATTAAGAATGTATAAAACAAGAAATTACATAAAAAAACTCTTTTTATTGATTATAACTAAAAAAGAGGTAACAAAAACCGTACTGAAGTACTTTAAATACAATAATACAAATTTTAAGTTCAATTAATTTAAGAAAGAAATAAACTTATTGGTACAATAAACAATCAACTAATAAATAAAGAAATAATACAATAAACAAACCATACAATGAACAATAAATAACAACAAAACATGAAATAATATTATAAGTATTATAAATCTTCCCTGTCTACTTAGTGTTTAGTGCTACTTATTTATGATTTTTTAGCGTTCTTCACGTAACGGTTATCAATGCCGCTTTTTTTTAAAAAAAAACATTCCGCTTGGTGTCTATATTGGGAGAGAGAGAGACTTTTAACAGCATGACATAAATATGCATCACCTATATTCTCGAAGGAGTAGAGGTTTATAGTACACTCACACTATGTATATTTGAACTAGATATTTATCAACATAAAATGAGTTTGAAATACGACTATAAGACCAAATAACAAATGGTTTAGTCTTACAATGGTGTCGATTCTGGCAGCATTCTCTAAACTTAAAACTAAATTTAATATCAGTCTGTCCTTTTTATTCTATATAGAGAATGACAAGGATACACTGTTGTCAAATTTAAGTTTAGCTTTTGAGAATCATGCCAGAATCGACACCAATGAGTCTGAAAATAAGTTATTGAATAATTATAATCATTTAGTCTTTAAATAAGTCTGAATAGGTGATACAATGATTTGCAATATTACGAAACAATGTTAATTATAGACTACATTCACCTTCTTCCGATAATTAAGCTAATTTGTTAATTAGTTTTGCTATTATGAGTTCTATGGAACATTGTGACGATTGTATATTATCATTAGGAAATCTTTTTTAGCTTTAATGAGGGTAGTTAACTAATTATCGACGTTTTGCTATAAAAGGGATAATATTGTGCTTTATAATTTAGATTGTTCACAACTGTGTAACTGCTAATACTTAATCTTGCGAATAACTCTGCTACTACAAAATCTTAGAATGGAAAGTTTAATAACCAATTTGGACTTGTTTGTTCTTCTAAAAAGTGAGAGTACTTCATTTAATCATGAAGCATTGTTTGGTGCAATCGTATCACGCATAGGCGATTGCCTTTCTGCCGAAGATCGTGTAACTCTCAAAGAATTTTGTCGGAGATTCACGCGAGCAGCTTTACAAAGATCAATCAGAGAAATCAAACCGATTCCTTGATAATTTCAGAACACTGTACGGAAATTGGTTGCAAGCAAATATTGATTGGCCAAGTTGTGTGCAAACTCTATTTAATCAAGAACCAACTATTGATGAGATACCAAGAGCACACTCTGTCTCTCAAGAACCGTCGACGTCATCGTCTGTTGGAACAATGACAAAAAGGTCACGAAAACCATTCGAAGAGCTGGGAAGCAAACAGAAAAAGAGAAGATCTGACGATGAATCGGTATATGCAGCTGCAGCACGTTTAAGAGAAGAAGGGCATCCTCATATTGCATCTGTGATCGAATATATGATGAAAAATCCTGAAGCAGCCGTTAAAATTAATGAATCGCTTATAAAACCAGTGAAAAAAGTTATATTTACACCAGAGAAAGCGCTTGGATTGTTTGTTTCACTAAAACTGTCAAAGTGGCAATATATTACGTTGCGAGAAGCAGCCATTCGAGAAGGTGCTAAGGATATTTATCCACCCTACTATAAACTACAACAAACTAAGCTTGATTGCTACCCTCCGAAGCAATCAGTGTCAGTTACGGATTCATCAGCCAGGATTACACTTCAAGCTTTACTCGACATTACTGTGATGAGGATTATTCAAAGTCTTTCTGAAGATGTGCAAAATAAGCAGCTAAACCTGCTATCGAAGTGGGGATTTGATGGTGCCTCCAACCAAAGAAGATACAAGCAGAAAATGGAGAGTGAGCAAGATGATTCAAGCATTTTCATGACCTCCTTGGTGCCACTAAAACTGACAGATGGAGATAAAACTGTATGGATGAACCCAAAACCATGCTCAGCTTTGTATTGTCGTCCAGTTCAGTTCACTTTTGTAAAGGAGAGCGAAGCAGTTGTCATTGATCACAAAAGACAAATGGATGATGAAATTAAGGCCCTTATCCCCACAGAGTGCAGTAATAGCAACAAGGTGACCCATCAACTAATGATGACTATGATCGATGCTAAAGTCTGCACGTACCTTTCCGAAGCCAGATCAAATGCATCGTGCTACCTGTGCCTAGCAAAACCTACAGAAATGAATCGCTTAGATGCTGTAACATCAAAGAATGTATGTTCTGACTTATACGAATTTGGCTTGTCATCCCTACACGCTCGCATAAATTGCATGGAATGTCTGTTACACATTGCGTACAGGCTCGACTTCAAACAGTGGGCAGCGAGAAGTAACGAGCACAAAGAAATGTTGCAGACTAGAAAAAAATTTATTCAAAATAAATTCAAAAATGAGCTCAATTTGTTGATTGATATAGTTAAACAAGGCTCGGGAACTACGAATGACGGGAATACTGCAAGAAAGTTTTTCGAGTCTCCCAATAAAACTGCAGCTATTACCGGGCTGGATGAAGAGCTAATTAAAAGATTTGCAGTGATTTTGCAAGCAATAACATCTGGCGAGAAGATCGACGTAATGAAATTTAGAGATTTTGCCCGTAAAACAGCAGATTGGTACGTGGAATTATATAACTGGTACTATATGTCGTCAACCGTACATAAATTATTAATACACGGTGCTGATATAATCGAAAAAAATGATATCGTGCCAATTGGGACTCTCTCAGAAGAAGCCTCAGAGTCTAGAAATAAAGATTTTAGGAGGTTCCGGGACCATCATTCGCAGAAAAGAAGCAGGCAAGATTCTAATCAAGATATCTTAAACATGCTTCTTGTTTCTTCGGATCCTTTCCTAAGTGCACAAAGGCCTAAATTAGATGCCAAGAAAAAGCAGATGTTTTTTGCTGAAACTCTCGACTTAATTCAGATTCAGGAAACTGAGTTCGAGTTTCTAGATATATCCAATCTAAATTCTGACTCAGAATTGGAGACCGATAACGAGAGTGACAGGGAAGATTTATAATTCTTATTATAATTTTTCATGTTTTGTTGTTATTTATTGTTCATTGTATGGTTTGTTTATTGTATTATTTCTTTATTTATTAGTTGATTGTTTATTGTACCAATTAGTTTATTTCTTTCTTAAATTAATTGATCTTAAAATTTGTATTATTGTATATAAAGTACTTAAATACGGTTTTTGTTACCTCTTTTTTAGTTATAATCAATAAAAAGAGTTTTTTTATGTAATTTCTTGTTTTATACATTCTTAATTTTTGGATCGATAACATTCCTCATACGGATGTTCTTAACATTAACACTAAAAGGATCGGAAGGTTTGATATTATATAAAAATATTTTGATGATTTTTTTAAAAAAAAACGGCATTGAAAACCGTTATGTGAATTATGTCAAAAAACCATAAATAAATAGTACTATAATCACCTGTAAGGATATTACGGTTTTCCTTGCCGTTTAAGAGATAATTCTATTTTTCATACTACCTTCATACAAATTATTCGTAAAAAAAATATAATATCCTCATTTTTGTGCAGAATTAACTCTGATATCTTTTTTGTGTATAGTGATCACTAATAGAAGCGATAACCAGCAAAAAATACAGCACTTGCAAATTGAAATCCCTAAGTCTATGAAAGCCGATTTTCAGCCCACTGTGCGGCGCAGCGAGCGCACGCGTGCTAGCAGCGCTGTATACAGTGAGGATGACATGATTCGCGCGCACACTCACTTGGCGTGGTGGAAGGTACCGTGCGGCGGGCGCGCGCGGATCTCCTCGTACTCGGCGGCGAGCCCGCGCCGGCGCAGCGAGCGTACGCGTGCCAGCAGCGCGGCCGGCGTCTCGCCACCGCCGCCGCCGCACTCTTCGTCTGACAGACCAGGCGACGCCTCGCCAGACGACCACGTACCACGCGCTACGTGCAACGAGGAAGAGAATACTATTTATTTTGTTTTACTTTTAAAATATTATACAACTTTAACTTGAATTAAACAAAATGTTATCCACGATTTTTTAGATAACTGTAAAATATTCATTTAAAGATCCGTAAAAATGCCCAAAGTTATATGCGGATGACGTAAATAAATTGTGCGGTATGCCGACACGGGCCACATGCGCCATAACTTGTAAAAACCACTAAAACCGTACGTTATGGGACTTGATATATAAAATGTACCACGGAAGCGGATGGGACGAAATTCAACAAACGCCCGGTGCCAATATACTTTGTTTTAAAATCATCGCATTCGCAAGCACCCTATATACGTATTCTGCTAAGATAAAGTAATAATCGTGTGTCAACGATATTTTAATAAAACACAAAATAATAAACTTACTTGCTTACTTATTTTTATAGTTATCTATATGCATTTTTAGTTATAGCAGAATCAACACCCAGTAGGCCTATTCACTAACTGCTTTTGACAGATCGAAGTGATAATCACCGAGCTATTTAGTGATCCACTACTGCTTTATCATAACGCCATTAAGATACTTCTTATGAAAAGTATCGATGGATATGCAATTTTCTCCTTAGTTACACACTTTAAATGTTTAAAAAATTATCGACAAGGCCGGCTGGTATCTCGATGGGTGATAGAGATGAAGTCAATAAGACCATGTGCGCGCCGTTGCGGTGAGCACGAAAATGTCACAACAAAACCCCTATTACGAAGACTTCACAGCCTGTCAACGGGTCGTATATTATGAACAGTAACAGGAAAAAATGTAATTGAAACGTTCATAGAATGAATACTATTTTTATTGCCTCTATTAAAAATAATGAAAATAAAAGGGTCTTCATGCATGAAACGTTACCATGGCTACGTAGTGTATAGGTATTGCTAATTCATATTTTAATATTACAAAGCCTTCGTACTTGTACTCGAATTTATTATTCTACATATTTTTGACTAGGCACTGATTTAATTATTTAACCGTAAATGTTTGACAATTTTGTGATAAAATTGTACATTGTTCACCGAGAGGAGAGACTGACCAATTACCAACGAGGGTGTAGTTTGAGGCCCGAGGTGAAGCCAAGGGCCTTAATACACCTACTTAAGTTCTTCGGAGGATACATAGTGCTTTATATTATACCCTTAAGCTTCAGAATATAATATAATATATAATCTATAGTAAAAAAAAGCATGTTAAAAATGAAATTTCATAGACTTTTCTGCCCGGTCAGCGCATTAATATTGAATTTATTTACACTTTTCCTGCTCGCTCAGTAGTACAACAGTAATGAGGTTCTTTCTGCATCATTTTTAAAACAAGAATAAAACACTTTCCGAGAGCAGTTGTAGTATAAGTATAAACTACTGTATTCACGCGTACATATACCTACGTATTTAACGCGTAGTTAAATTTGATTCAAAATGATCACATACCGGATTTGGTGCATGCACCACAGGTAAACAAAACTATCATGTACTTATACATATAAATTGAAGTAAAAATTATGAATTTATCACAATACATACGAAGTCAGCAGGATTTGGTGCATCACAGGTAAACAAAACTATCATGTAGTTATACATATAAATTGAAGTAAAAATTATGAATTTATTTATCACAATACAGACGAAGTCAGCTATGTCCAAAGTTAAAGTTTAAATAAAAAGCTAGCTTAACACAGATTTAAAGACGATCAATCTTGCTAGATTATATTGTAGGTCTAGTTACTACGTACAAATAATAGGCGACTCCCGTAAAATAAACCATACTAGCAGATATCTCATCGAACGTATGCCTATAAACGTTCCGCGGTTTTAAATAAAGTCGTTTTACGATATTTACCTTCAAGCGTAACTCTTTCGAATCGAACGGAACAAATAATCATAAATTTTAACGACGCAGTTTCCATTGTATTCAAACAAATTGTTATATACATACCTATAAATAATAGTATTCTGTGTCTTATTGATTGTCCCATTGGTAAGTACATAAACTTTCAATAATATCAACAACGGTAAACATACCTACAATGTTTCTATCAGGGCCATTAGCATTCATGTTAAATCTACAGGATTTGTAAACAAAATAAAACCCTTCTGTCATAAGACATTGACAACTATTTTGAAACATTTGACAAGCAAAACTTGCATAAACTCAACGTTGGTAAAAACATGGACGAAAGATTTCTTAAATAAACAAGATTATTTAGGGTGTACGCAGCACTCAATGAAATATCAAAGATTAAGTATAAAAAACCGGCCAGGTGCGAGTCGGACTCGCGCACGAAGGGTTCCGTACCATTATCTATACAACATTAGACACTATATTATGTTATATATTAAGTCTGTTGTATGGGAAACCCCCTTAGATATAAATTTTATTTTTTAAGTGAATATACAACTAAATATCTGTGAATATTTCAAGCGTCTACCTGTTGCCATTATTAATATGTAGCAAAAAGCAGGAAAAAAAAATCATCTCCCTCCTTAAATAGTTATTTTATTCTGTTTTTAGTATTTGTTGTACACGGCTACAGAAATACATCCATCTGTGAAAATTTTAACTGTCTAGCTATCACGGTTAATGAGCTACAGCCTGCTGATAGACAAATAGACAGACAGGCAGACGAACAGTGGAGTCTTGGTAATTGGGTCTCGCTTTTACCCTTTAGAGTAAGGAACCTTAAAAATAAACGCGTAGCCTACATTATCTGGCACATTGCATTAAAATTAAAAGGTTGCGAAATAGTATCAGGATGGTTCTGTAATGAATTTCGATTTAATTTCGTAATAAATCAGATTCGTCTATTATTGCCATATGCCGATCCTTCTGTAATGAATTTCTTCCACTCTGTTTATTGAATCAACATTAGTAACTTCCAGAATGTTATTGCAAGAGCAAATCAACCGTAGGGTGATAGAACAACGAATTGGAAACTACTTATAGTGATAAACAACACATTTTTGGCCGACCGCACACCAATTCACGGTGTTGCGATCTCTCTAAGCTTTCAAATTCAATTCCCAGTCATCAGGTTAATACAGAATAATCTGGGTGTTTGAGCATCAGTGGGATCTGAGTAACGTATTTGATATTATCTTATATTTCACAAAACAAAAGATATCCACTTACTGCTTATGTCTATTTCATCTTCGTCTCCGGAATTTATGTGCCTGCTCTTCATGTCGCCATTATAGCCATGTGAATTTCTGTAAAAAAACATTTCCATTACATCTGTGGTATTAACAGTAAAGTACATTACGAAATTTATTATGCACGTGTGCCAAGATATAATTTCATGATTTCTGGGAAGACACAAAACGGTTTTATATCTTATACACGTGCACTTATTGAATATGCTACGCTATATATTATAATTATTTGTATTTTGCACATATTAAAAAACCGAATTGAGAAAACTTTTACTGGAAAATTTTTGAGTTTCGTACCTCAATCGGCAAATACGAAACCTTTAAACGATTACTTGGCTTTCTAGTAAAAGTATTCTGTAGATTTGTTAATCAAGCAGTTTCAAGCTTAAAACAAAAATTGAAAAAAACTAAATTGAAACGAATGTTGATGTCTATAAAAATTTAAACTTGATCTGCGAAACTGGAAAATAATATTGCACAGAGATGTGAACGCTTTATTTCACTAAAAAATACCTCGATAAATGACGCATATGCTACTTACTAGTAATGAATGTAGTAATCTACAAATTGACTAGTGACAAGGTGTTTACGTGGTAGTAGTTACAGTGAAATCAGTATAATACATGAGGTATCTTAAATATTTATACTGACACAATCATTTTCGCAGCAGCTTTTTGTAGCTTCAACTCAATCTTCCCGGAGTCTCAGTATCGACCTAAATTAAAGACGTAGCAGTGACTCTGAAAAATGATCGCACATTATCGAGGTCTGCTCCCATCCACTTTATCTTATTGCAGACATTGTTTTCTCTTTTCAATATAACCAAAAAGAGTTGTCTTCCTATTTCTGTAAGTAGATCTGTGTCAAGTATATTATTCCGTGTTCTAAGATGCTTCCATAAAATGAATCGTAATTTCCCAACTTTATAGAACAAGTATCCGGCAAATTGTAATACACCTTTTCAACACATTTGCTCAAAAACTGCATACATTGTTTGAAAATTCGCAATTACGGGTCACACAGTGGTGCGTGCGGTAATAGTATATTTCATTACGAGTGCGGAAAGCCTGTCATTGCAGAGTTCCGACAAATGTCTACCCGAGTCGAGGCGCAGCCGAAGGTGAGGGTTGACAGTTGAAACAAGTTGCAACGGTTCCGCACGTGTACTGAACAACAATTTTTAATACAGTTGCGAAAAAATTAAGCAATTTAATAAACTAAATTTTTGGAAAATGGCGCCATCCATAAAATAATATAAGCAGAGATTTTTTTTTCAAAGGGAACTACGCCCATAAAGCAAAGTCTTCAGTAGATTTTTTTTATTGATAGGTAATGAAAATGCAATTTAATGAGATGAAACGTAACAAAAAATCAAATCATTAAATCTGATATTGAAACAAATTAGTAGCTTCTTTTTAGAAATATTTGCATGCATTCCATCATAAAAACTTCTATGAATATTTTTAGTAAAAACTTCGTGGTTGGTTTTTTCTTTTTAATAGACATTATTTTGACAGTTGGGAAAGAGAACGCACGAGTTCGGAAAAGGTAAAGAAAAAGCTGGAATATGTAATAGCCCACATCCCGAACGCTATACGTCCCTACAATACGCCACGTTTTGAGCTATTGTATTAAAAAAATCATTACGCACTCTCCCATACATGGCATCGTTGGTATTCTTTTTTTAAATTCGATTCGTTTTTTTTTTTAAATTCGAACGAACCTCCTCGGAATCGCTTTTAGTCTATACCTATCTCTCACTTTCATACTGACGATGTAGCTCCAATTTTCACCACCCGCACGTGGCGCCATTTGGAAAAGCGCGCGGTTTTCTTATTAGAAAAAAATGCTTCATTACTTAAATTCTGTATAATGTTTTTGCAAATGTGTTGAAAAACGTTGTGACATTCCCGCGGATTGATATTACAAACTAGTGACTATGGTATATCCTCGACTTCGTTTCGGGCTTTTATTCGTCTACTCGATTGTAATAACCAACTTACCGCACTAATATCATAAATAACTATTTTGCAATGCTCGCGCAGCAGTTCGTGTGTTTCTATTAAAAATTCCGAGAAATTCAAATACGGTCAACATATCGTATCACACTAATATTATAAAGGCGAAAAAGTTTGTGAGTGTGTATGTTTGTTACTTCTTCACTTCTAAACGGCTGGAGCGATTTTAATAAAATTTGGTATGGAGTTATCTGACACCCTGGATTAACATATAGGCTACGTTTTATTGAGGGAAAATACCCTAAATAAACCGCGAGAAACACCGCGGGGCACAGCTAGTATAAGATATATGATATTGCAATATTTCATCTAGATTTTACCACTTTAAGCTGTAGATAAACATCAGTGGCGGGTGGTGGGGTGGATAAATTTGTCGTCTCTATTTATAAAAAAAGTTCTATATTAGAATACTTTAAGGATGCCATAACGAAAATTATCTTTACAGTTTTAGAATGTATGGTGGCAAATCAGAAAATTTACATTTAAATACTATTGCGTATTTACTAAGCATTACTAAGCATGACAATATTAAAGATCCCATATAACAGGACACGACATTACATATGGCATTAGCCGAGTGTAAGTTAATGTCCCGGAAACAAAATCTAGACGTGCGTCGCCTATAATGAGTTCTGAATCTCGCCTGTCCGTTGCCTGTGTTCTCTATTTGCGTGGAAAATTTTATAACTTGCAAATGGCTCACCCTTGATTTTGCTTGTGTTATTTTTTTCGTTTAATAATTATTAATCGTTAAATATATCTAAATAATAAAATCTTAATTCGTTTAATCTTCACTAATCATTTTATATTCAATTATAAGCAGAGAAATGTTTCAGCTTTATGTTCTTCTAAAAACAAAATCAGTTGAGATAATTCAATAAACTGTAATTCTTAACATCAAATTATTTCCCTAATAAAGGTTTAAAAAAATTAAGTCCATTTCTTTTCTCTCAAGTGTAGAAGCCCTTATAATGCCGACGTATGTTACCAAATCTGTGAACTCAATTCTCCTCACTGAAAATTCATTATATTATTGAAAAAGTCATAACATGTAATGGGTTATTCGATTCCCCTATTATGATACTCTGGCTCGGCAGGGCGTACTCAACAGAGTATACGGGCAGCCTGTTGATTAAATAACCCACTTCCTGATCATGCCCCGATGCCCGAGCGAGCTGCGTCATAATCAACATTACATTTTGTAGTCTTACTATTAATGCAAATAACGTTAGATATCATCTGTGTGAAGCAAGAAAGCATAACCGAAAATTTCTTAATGAATGACGTAATAAAAATAACGTACTGTTTAATAATTTCGTTACATTTCACATCAGAAACAAAAAAAAACTTTTCTCGTACTGACGACGAGAGTTAAAAAACCGAAATATCAAACAAAAGGTACAAACACATTATCGTGTCACGATTAAAATTATATTGTGTAATCTGACTAGGCACGCATTGAGTACCTATTAAGACAAAATACCCTCATCTACTCCGATACAAGAGGACTGATTAGTAAAGGTAACAAAAAAAATACAGTATTCTGATTTCGAAAACTACATTACAAATAATTAAAAAAAATAGAAAAAATCTATGAAAAAGAAGTCTTTCAACGGACAAATTTGTTTCGGAAACTATTGCAAGCGATGGGAATGTTTACGAAAAGATGTTTCAGACAACAACAATGCCAAAGGCGTTCCTTGAGGTATCTTTCTTTATATTGTTTCATACTTATGAGCGTGTTTTATTTATTTCTTTGTACACATCACTGTTAAGGCTTTGTCGACGCCGCAACGGTATTTAAGATATACTATATACATGTCAGCCGTACGACGCCCACTGCTGAACATAGAAATACTATATACAGGTTGTAAAAAAAATTATTGTAGGTGTAATGGATTGAAGTACTTATAGGTCTTTACATTGTAAAAAAAACGATTTCGTCTGTGTTCCGTTTTGAAGTTAATCATCTAATGTTTCATCATCAGTGAAGCACTTTCATATAAATGAAATAACTTCAGATATGTAGTCATAACAAGTTTACCATAAGTCAACCAATTAATTAATTAGTTGTGAGAAATGCTGTTATTGTACATCCGGTATATATTCATATTGGTAGATTACGTTGTTATAGGTAGCGGGAAACTTCTTGAAAAACAATAGACATACAGACTAGCGCCGCAGATATTTTTGTAAGTAAAGTTGCTACTGCGCGGGCTAGTCATTGGATGGGTGACTAAAAACTTATTATCTCGAAGTTCTTGAACACGTCCCGGCTGCACCTGCAATCTTACTAATCCGCACTGGGACCGTGTGTTGGTCACGGCACAATCTTCCTATTCCATCCATAGGCAAGGCCTGTGCCCCAGCAGAGGGGACATTAATGATGATGGGCTATGTATATATATTCCGGAGTGAATATACCTGAGCGGGCTGGTGTCGCAGGTGTAAGCCGGGTCGGGACATTAATAAGCTGATGATAATGATGAGGATCTCGATGGCGCGGGTGGCTAGCGCGTTCGGCTGCGATCGTTGAAGTTAAGCAGCCTTCGCAGTGGTCGGTCATTGGATGGGTGACCAAAAATCTTCTATATAGAGTTCCTCCGTGCTTCGGAAGGCACGTTAAGCCGTTGGTCCCGGCTGCATCTGCAGTTGTCAGCGCAACACAAATCCGCACTGGGCCCGCGTGGTGGGTCATGGCCCAATCTCCCTGTTCCATCCATAGGGAAGGCCTATGCCCCAGCAGTGGGGATATTAATAGGCTGATGATGATGATGAATGATGACAGGCTATGTGTATGTATTCCGTGGTGAATATACCTGAGCGGGCTGGTGTCGCAGGTGTAAGGCGGGTCGCCGCTGATGTGCATGTCCGCGGAGTTGTCGCACAGGCGCGCCGCGCGGTCACTCGTCATGTCACATCCGACCTCGTGGTCAATTATACCTGACACCAAAGTATGCAAAATAATTAACAAATTATAAACAGCTTAACTAAAATTATGATTATACACACGTCAAAAAAGCCTAAGCAACACGCATCATTTACAGAAACTGTTTTTATTTTAATTGCATTTTTTCTTAGCAAAGTAGACTAATATACAATATTTTTGCTCTCGAAAAAATAAATTGGCTAATTTAAAAAAAGGAACTTTTTGATTGTTTTGTCTTCATAAAGATATTACAATATGTAAAAATCGTTCAAAAGTTCAAAACAGCACATGTTGCTAAAAAAATTTTATGAGTATAAGTGCAGATACGTAGTTTCAACATGACTTGAAAGGGAAATATAATAGGGGTGATGACGGGGTACATTAAACAAAATTCTATTTAGTCCGTCAGTTAGATGATCAAAAAAATAATGGACACGTATTTTTTCTTTGGACAATCAACCAAAAAATGACAAAGTTATAGCGCGTCAAAGTTTATGAGTAGGGGCTCGGGACGTCACTTTTGAGTGAAAATTGTACTTGTTTAATTGTAAAACGTGACGTCATGCGAATTTTCAAATCAATATATCTCTGCAATGTTTATATTATGTGAAAAAAGAAAAAATACGTGTCCAATACTTTTGATAATCTACCTGATAAACGAAGAAAAAAAAATAGTTATCATCCCTATTGCCATTGAATGGAAGTCAATACTACTAATATAAGTGCTTTATGTTTTGCTAATTTTCAATATTAGCGCTGCTTGAGTCATTATTTCCAATGATATGTATAAAATTAAGTATTAACAATTCAAATATTTATGCTTGTAGTTTAAAGTACCTATTCTAAAATGTAAAAAATATTTAAATGCATCGTGTGCTTACCATTTTGTGGCTTTGCTGGGGGTATATGGTTGCTTATTACATATTCGTCAATAATTCCGTCTAACTTTGAACTTTGAATGTTGTTTGTGTAGCAATTTCTACAATGTTCCAACCTGCAAAAAAACCTTTAGCATTGTAACACGTTCGAAATACCTTCGGCATCCGCATTGATCGCTTTCGAGTGGGCGAAGGAGGTACTTACAAAACTAATGTTATGCGTATTGCAAAGCGTAGTGAAGTCATTGCCCTATTTAGCTAGTACAGATATGGTACGTGGACAATCAAATCATGGTTACGTAAGCACGGTATTAATGTGCCCAAGCGACTCAGTCATATGAGACGAATTTAAACACGTAGTACGTGTGTTTGATCAAGCGCGCTTGACGACTTTCGTAGCCAATCGGCAAACATGATTAGCCTGACATCGTCAGCTCCGCGCTCCCATTTGATTTTATCAAGCTATTTTGATAAAGTACCCTAGTGACCGGCACTTTACATTGCGTTATTAAAAGAAATATCTTTAAATAGGTCGACTTATAATTATAACAGCAAAACCTATAACTATTATTATTATCTAAATACAAAATTTTACGTATAATGGAGAAGCTAGATGGCATAGGTAGTTAGCGCGTTCGGCCTACGACCGTGGAAGTTCATCAACTTTCGCAATGGTCGGTTATTGGATGGGTGACCAAAAACTTATTATCTCGAGCTCTGCCGTGCTTCGGAACGTACGTTAATCCGTTGGTCCCGGCTGCATCTGCAGTCGTTAGCACCCACCAATCCGCATTGGTACCGCATGGTGGGTAACACACGGCCCAATTTTTCTATTCCATCCATATGGTAGGCCTGTGCCCCAGCAGTGGGGAAGGGGAACTTAATTGGCTGATTTGGCTGAATGATACCGTTGCTTATATTGATTATCGATAGTATTACGATAGACGGTACAGCAGTTTTAGGGGATAGAGGATGTGTATCTAAGGTCTATCTAACCCAAACCGAAGCGAAGCGAGAGCGAGTTACTTGTTATAAGCATAAAAGCTCACAAAATCACATATCAAAATATCAAAGAACTGAAGGCACCAAGCCATAAAAGTTTGTTAACCTAATTTACAACATCTTGCGACGGCGACTTTTCAGAAATCCTTTAATAGGGTTCCATCTATAACTATTTGGATACGGAATCCCAAATACACACATCAAAAGTGTCTAGGGATCAACATATATTTTTGCAATAACTTTTCTCCTGATTGATATTAATTAAAATTTTCTTTAAGGATTCATCAAATAAAGTGTTTTCGTTTGTCACAGTAACGATAAACCAAGTCACCTTTGCATTAATAAAGAAATTTGCCATTTTCCTAATAAAGGGATTTTTGACATTTGAACCACTAACACAAAAGTTCGAAAAAAAGACTGAAATAACAGTTTTCTCTAAAATTTTATTGGGTAACTTAAACAATTAATAATCCGTATTTCTACCGCGAACACTAACAACACAAGAACATCGGTTTGGCATACTCAAAATGAGTTCATCCAAATCACGCTGTGGAATGGCCGCCCATGTTCGTTGCAACAACAAAAAAAGGTCTTCTTGCGACTGGATACCCTCCATATTCGGCAGAGCTCTTCTCTGTAGCATATCCCATGCATGCTCAATCGGGTTCAAGTCTGGCGACTGAGCAGGCCAGGGCAGGACATTGATGTTAGCTGCGGCGAGAGTCTGTCTTACAACTCTTGCGGTGTGCGGTCGTGCATTATCATGCATTAACTGAAATAAGGGACCGATTTGCACTTGTAGAGGAACGATGACGTCTGATACAATCGTCTCAGCATAAATTTGAGCGTTGAGGTTGCCTCTGATCCAAATCAACTCAGTTCTTCCGCCGATCCAAATACCCGCCCATACCATGATGGTTCCACCACTATAAGGATGGACTTCCTGGCAGGATTTTAATCGCTGTTGGCGTCCAGGGGTTCTCCAGTGTCGTATACGTCTTGTATCCGGTCTCATACCAAAACGAGACTCATCAGAAAAGCACACGAAACGCCATTGTTCTTCTGCCCAATTTCTGTGTTCAAGAGCCCATTGATATCGAATCCTACGATTGTGCATTGCTATAGGTGGTACCCGTAGCGGTCTTCGGGAATGAAGGTTCACTTCATGCAAGCGGTTTCTGACTGTTTGGTCGCTAATTAAGTTCCCTGAAGAGTGATGAAGCCTCACGGCTAACATCATGGCGGTTATTGTTGGAGCTCTTCGAGTTAAGATTTGAATGTATCGGTCTTGTCTCCGTGTGGTGCAGCGATACCGTCCTCCATGGCGCTCAGCCACGGTACCAGTGCTTCGGTATCGTGTCCAAAGTCGACTGATAACACTCTGACTTGTATTCAGAGCTAAAGCCACAGTACGTTGCCGGGAACCAGCTTCTATCATTCCCACGGCACTGAGCATTTCTTCCCTGCTTAAATGACGTCGCCGCTCCATAATAACGTTGGTTTTAATCAGTAGTAGGGAAACAGTAGCACTAATAATGTCTTCAATGCGTTGTATGTTTTTATAGGGAAAATATTGACAGCTGATTTTCATCTTTTACTCGAATTTGATTCACAGTTCCTGATTCAAATTATGAAATGCACCAAAAAGGATCCATATAAATTTATAAAATCATAAATTTATTACAAAGCCACATCTCAATCTCAAGAAATCCGCATAAAAATGCTTGATCCCTAGACACTTTTGATGTGTGTATTATTTTTAAAATACAGCTACACCAATTTTTAACGAAAGATGATTAACAGATTAAAAGACTAATTTTGACTCATTGCTTTGAAATGAACATTAAGCGGTTTGGGAATGAAAGTGAGAGATTACTTGGAAATGAAAGCGTGACCCAGGGACTTCGCGTAGCGAGAAACAAACTTGCGCTCCTCAAACTTATAAGTATGATAGTATTCCGTTCTTTAAAAAGTTGGATGATTTTTTTTTATACTGAATTAAAATTAAATGGAAACTACATGTCACTACAAAAACATACTGGCCAAATCGGGCTAACATACATTATATTGCACATACATTATTACACGTATTGCGACCTCCGTGGCCGAGCGGTAGGAATGACACCGAATTTCAAGGTATCGCCTACTGATAGTTCGCATCACAGTGGGGCAAATCTTAGTATGATGAATCGAGCATTTTTCTAAGTCATGAACATGTATATATTTCTAAATAAATAGATATACTTATATGTATCAGTATAAGCATTCTATCCGTTACCCAAATACACAAGCCTTACAGCGCATTTACCCTAAGGGCCAAAAGGGCCATGGCCCGGGGCGGCAGGTTGCAAGGGGCGGCTGCAGGAGCTTCGAGGGGCTGGAGAAGTTTTAAAAAGGCATTCTTTACTGACCTATATTTTGCTTTGATTTACCGATTTATAAATATGCCACTGGACTAGGCGAAGTGGTGTGAGTGGAAATATTTATTTATTACTAGCTTTTGCCTGCGGCTAAGCTCGCGTAAGATTTAATTTTAAGTGAATGAATGAATTTCACACTCAATTAATAATAAAAAAAACGTTGTATCCCTTTGGAGGGTGGGTTTAAAAAATCTTAGCGCACGCACATCATAGTAGCTATATGTCTGCCAAATTTCAATGCCATTCGTTCAGTGGTTTGAGCTGTGCGTTGATCAGTCAGTCAGTAACGGTTGCCTTTTTATATAAATATATAGATTTGTACCCACCAAGCGGCGTGGTCGGGGTCGAGTTGTCCGCCCAGCTGGCGCGGCAGGCTAGCGCGTGGCACGTGCACGCCCAGCTGCGGCGCGCTCACCGTGTGCACGCGCTCGCGCAGCTTCTCGCGCACGAACAGCCGCAGGATGCGGAAAGGCGCTTTGAACCACAGCGGCGCGGTCACTATCAATACTTTCTTCAATTTGGCCGGATAACCGCCCTGTAACAACACAGGTAACACTTTATTTACTTCCTATCTACAAATCCATACTTCTATATCCATCCATACTAATATCATGAATAAATGCGAAAGTGTGTGTGTTTTATAGATTGATTCTTTTTCCTGGCACATCATTTAACAAGTCATTTTTAACGAGTTAAGAAAAAAAATATACTTATGTATAATGCGATTCAAATAAGAATAGGAAAGCCAATGAGCTCTATCTGTCAAATGTCGCTTGAAAAGTACGGTTTGCAAAAATAACTTGGAACCCTTTTTAGCACTCCGCTAATTCAAGAATAAAAACCAAACATTTATAAACACACAATAACAAATATTGATAATTAATATCGGTTGATATTTTTTTTTCACTTATTGAGCTTTGGGCATGAATGGTTGATAACCTAAATCGTCAACCAAATGTCACTTTAAGTTGCGTTCAGAAACTCGATTTCAAACTTTCGTTTACATAAAGGATACATGTTCGTATGTGACCTAGTAATAGCGCATGATTATTCATAACTACTCAGGCGGTAATGCAGAGATGAGCGGAATAGAAGAGCTAGATTCTGATTACTGTTTTTTCTCAATCTTAAATGTTATTAAAAAAATCTGATGCTTTTTCTCACTTAATCTTAGTCTGTAAGTTTTATTAAATAAAAACTTTTTTTATGCTCACTCTACCTATTTGGTTTGAATTGACAGCTATGACATCACAATATGGCGTCCAGTCGGTCCTATTCTTAGTTGAATCGCATTATAGTTTTAAAAGCATAAATCTCGGTGTTTTGCAACGCGCTCATAACGCGTTAAATGTAAATTATTTCATTAAAATAATAAACAATAATGCTTAATGAAAAGAAGACTAGTTTTTCAAATATACACTTCTGGACACATCTATTGGCCCACCTTAGAGTTTAGGTTTCGATGGATCCTACCGAAATATGATTGCTAGATTGAACAAAAACTGTTGATGCAGTTTTAAATCTGATACATTTTACCATCCTTTTCGATCGTATTGTTTTAAATTTGAATTCAGAATACCATACGACATGGAGCTACGCCTAACAAGTCGGATATGCGCCTTGTTAAAGGCAATTGATTTTTGCATAAAAACATGTTTTATCAAATAAAGGTTTAATTTAATAACGCGTGTTGCCTCCATGGGCATCTACCACAGCTCTCATACGATTAGGCATAGAGTTTATCAACCGCTCTATGAAATTTTGAGGGATCATCTCCCATTCCTCTTCTATGGCAGTTTTCAACTCCTGCATCGTCTGGGCAACTGGCTGACGAGCCCTAACACGTCTTTTTAGCTCGTCCCACATGTGCTCAATGGGGTTCACGTCTGGGCTTTTGGCTGGCCAGTCCATAACTGTGATGTTCACATCCCGAAGATATTCCCTGACGATGCCGGCCGCATGGGCTCTTGCATTATCATGCATAAAAAGGAAATTTGGGCCCACATAGTCCGCGTATGGTATCACGTGAGGTTCTAAGCACTCACGAATGTACCTTTCAGCATTTAATGTTGGCAGCCGTGGTCCTGTAACAACCTCAAGTTGAGTTTTGCCGCTCGCGGATATACCGCTCCAGACAGTCCATGAGCCACCGCCATAAGCAACCCTCTCTTCAAAGCAGCATTGTGCGAAACGCTCTCCCTTACGTCGGTAGACCTTCTTCCTTCCATCATTGCCATGTAACACAATTTTAGACTCATCAGAAAAGAGTACACTGCACCAATCTTGCTGTGTCCAATTTAAATAACTGCGTGCGAAATGAAGGCGCGCTGTTCGGTGGGCTCGCGTTAGTTTGGGCCCATTAGCTGGCTTGTGTGGTATCATATCGCGTTCTTTTAACCTTCTCCGAACAGTTCGAGCGCTCACAGATACTCCGTGGAAGTCGCGAATTTGTTTTTGTATCTCAATGGAGGTAAGGTGACGATTTCTCAAGCTGGTCGTCACGATGAATCGATCCTGCCTTTAGGTTGAGACCCGAAATCGTGGCCTTCCTTGGCGACGAACAAAGCCGCCAGTCTCTAGGTACCTCCGATAAACATTTCGGACCGCAGATCGACTTAAATTAAGTTGAGCACTCACGTTTCTTTGGCTGTGTCCGGCCTGAATAAGTGCCACAGCTTGGGCGGCGACTTCAGGTGAAGTATCCATAGATTATTGATAGAACCTCACCTTAATGTTAAGAATAAGTAATGTTTGTTGCAAAACCAAAGATATCAATCACTTTTTCAAGAATTAAATCCAAGTAAACCAATAAAACCAAGTTTTCTTAGTATTCGATTGTTTGATATCAACAAACAGGCTCCAAATTGTCTTTTGTTTCTTTGAATTCTGTGTTCGAAATTCAAAAAAAGACTATTGAATGAAATTGTGAATGTGTCAGGTTCAAAAGTGCATAAAAACTTTTAGCTCGACCTAATATAAAATTTTAGCTAGGACCAAACGAAACTGAAAATACAAGGTGGGCCAATAGATGTGTCCAGAAGTGTATTTTGAAAGAAATAAGTTATCAATATTAAGTGAAATCAGTTTTAATTCTAATCTACTATTACATTGACAAATCGCCTTGTTTCAATAATTACTAATGTTATGATAAAGGACAATGTTAAAGTTGGCCTAAGAACCAACACCAATTTGGCATTTATGATAATTCTTAGTATATTTTTTGCGATAATTATCAGTATTTAGATTGTGACGGACACTTCCAGTTAAGTAAGCTAAATTAAAAAGTTAATAAATAATCTGAGACAATAAATACCATTTTATGTGTATAATCTATGACAGCGCATCAAACAAAAAACACTTTCTTCCTCATGCCGGCACTTCACTTGGCTATTCGTATTTGCTATTTAAAAACATGACATTAGTCTGTCCTTTTCATTCCTTATTAAGCATGACAAGGACAAACTGTTGTCAAGTGAAGGGCCGGCATAAACTCGATACTCTGTGGTTGCGGTGCAGGCAGTTTGCATTCGTAGTAATCTGTGGCATTCGTGCATTCTCGTCAGAGGGTAGAGTACTTTTTATATACGGAAAATTCTCGTTCGGATTACCAGTTGTGTGTGTTTATTTGCGATTGTTTTTCCTTTAATTTAAGTATTACTATTTCGGCTATCTAATATGCCTTCGATGTTACCAAAGTGCAGAGACCTTATTACCAAGTGCTAGTGAACCTGTGCCCAACATCCTGAGAGGATCATACTGCCAAATTATTCAAGAGCACCTGATACACATTCACGCTGCATATTTACACAATATACCTACATGTCTTAAACAAATAAATACAATATGATACAATTTTGTGAAAAATAGTCAATAAATAATAAGAAGCAAAACTATTGTTTTTATTTTATTCATGATTCCTACCTAAACAAGTTTTTCCTAATGGAGGCCATACACATTAGGTTTTGCATGATAGTTTTAGCCGAACATGCTTAACCGACAGGCAAGCCCTTACGTATGTGATAAAACTGTACAGTTTTCGGTGCATGTAACTCGGTTATGCATGTCGGTTATGAATGCACGGTTAAAACCATCATGCAAAACCTAACGTGTGTGGCCTCCATAATAGTTATTCTTTAAAATCGCACCGAATAAAATGAATTAGTTGTAATATTAATTCACTTCATACTGAGTTCATACTAAGTTCATAGGTTGACCTATGTTTCATTGAATATAAAGCATAACCTCAAAAAAAATTTAGATTTCCTAATAATTTAAGTTCTCGGAAGTGTCCGTCAATAATCTTTGTTTTTACAGTCATTTACTTGCGATTTCGAACCTAGAAAATAATATTTCATGATTGTTGGTTCTTAGGCTAACTATGTATGGACGCAGAACAATGTCCTTTGAAGTTATATTATTATTTAATAAATGTTATAAGGTATATTTAATTTTTGATCTTAAACGAAGATTTCACGAACATGCCTATGCCTAATGCCTAAGTTAGAAACAGTTTAAATTATGGACCAGAATGAGAATTAGCCTTATAAATATTCACGGTCAGAGGGACTGTCGCGAGCAGCGAAGGGTAAAATGAATTCCAACAGTAAAGTTCACCGAAGCCCGCCCTCACAACGAGTTTTTCTGTTTTTCATTAATAATTGTGATACTACTCATTTTTATTATCTAGTCTAAGGCCGCGTTGTTTCATCTGGTATAGTTAAATTTGACTTTACTTAAAATACTAAAGAAAAAAGCGGCCAAGTGCGAGTCAAACACACCCATGAGAGGTTCCGCAGCAGCAAGTAATATAATATTGAAGTTCTTGTAGTTCGTTGTAACTTGGATGTATTAATAATAGTGTATTTTTTTAAGGTAAATAGGGAAGATGCAATATTTTTATTTTTGTTTTCATTTTAAAGAATTCCATGTAGAATAAACCACAGATATATTAAAAAATTAAAACATTGTGATTTATCGGAAAAAATGGGTACGTGTACCAGTGGCGTAGCATAGGTCACTAGCACCCGGTGCGGATTCCAAATTTGCCGCCCTCTTATTTTTGCAATCCATTATAAAAAAATTGAGGCATGGTAAAAAGAGTACTTTTATTGAATAACACTATCCTATGTATGGGTATTTGGTAACAACAACAAAAAAATGACGAAAAAAAACTGAAAGAAATTAACTTTTTTTTATATTTTATTTTTTTTTCTCTATCTGCCACCTCCGCAGCGCCGCCCCCGGCAAAGTGCCCCCCCCCATGCTACGCCACTGACGTGTACTTATGTAGGCGCGTGAGAAGTTATCCTTCTTTGGCATGGTTTAAAATTAGTTTTTAATTGCATGCAAATAATTAATTATAATAAATTAATAAAAAGTCTGGAAAAGGACACAGTCAATAAAGTTCAGTTTTAATTTGAAAAAATAAATAAATAATCAAAATACTCAATTAAAATCGCTACTGAATATAATTTATTAGAACATATGTGATTTGCACTTGTATGAAACTCAAACACGTATTCCGAATATACAAAC